GCTGCCGCCGCGCAAGCCCAAGTCGTTTATGAACTTTACGCCGCCCCAGGACGAGCTCGAGGGCAGCAGCGGCGTGCGCCTGCGCAGGCTGAAGAAGTCGGACAAGATGATTGCCCAGCAGGGCGGCGACAGCTAGGTCTGTCAATCGGTCCGTCGGTCGGTCGGTCAGCCCAACCCGGGCTGGCTGTGTCCTCGTCTCTTTTGGCGCGCCGCCTCGTGCCGCCCATCTACCAGCATTTGCCCCCTTCATCGTCGTCTTCGTCTTTCCAGCATGTCTCCCTCGCTCCCCGTCTCTCTCCGCCCGCCGGTCCGTTTCCTATACAGCATCTCATCTCAGTACCATGACCGCCTCACCACCACCACCACCCTCACCGCCGCGTCGTCACAACGATGCGCGGTCAGTCCGCATTCATCTTCCTCGGCACCCTTTTCCTATCTAGCTCGATTCTCGGCATGCCAGAGGAGGGAGGAGAGCGTAGCGGAACAGTCGGGGGCCCACCCTACAATGACGACGACGATAGGCCGGCCGGCCGGTCTGGACTCTTGTCTCTGGCGGGCCCCCTTCCTCGATTCTCGTCGTCTCTGTGCGCAAATGACCGCTTTCGTCTTCCCATGCATGCTGCGTGCGCATCGACGCCGACTGTGACGTTTTGCTTCTATTGCTGCAGACCAGATCCGACCGACAGCGACGACGGCGGAAGGTTGGGTGGGAAGCGGGGCTAGGTCGAGGGGGCAGGTTGGTCGAGGACCGCCCTGCGTCTTTCAAAGTCGTGGGCGAGGGCTCGTGCGACGACGCCGTGGATGTCGTTGAGCGATGCCGACATGGTCGCCAGTGCCTGAATTCGCGCCGTGGCGGGGCAAAAAGGGAGTGCAGTGAGAGAACAGCGCCGTCAGCCTCGGGCAGGACCGGCAGCGCAGGAAGCGCAGGATGCGGCAACGAGCGCGTACGCATACGCCAACTCACCTCTTGCAGCCTTTCGTCCTGCAACCCTACCTGCGAGGCTGGGTCGAGGGCCCCACCGCGCACATCGAGACAGGTGACGCTCGAGAGGGCGGGCATGCCGCAGAGCAGGATCCTCGATGCGCCCCTCGCACCGTTGTTGCTCGACGAAAGGTCCGACGTGGTGGGATCGAGGATGAGCGGATATGGCCCCCCGGCGACGGCGGCAGACGAGGACGATCGAGCGGACGGGAGGAGCGCGACGGCACCGACGACGATGCCGTACATTTCGATTCCGGCCGATGCGAGCGCCGTCGAGGCGGCAATGGTGCCGGCGCTCACGCAGCTCTCTTCGGGTCCGTCGGACTCGAGGACGAGGATGTGGATGTCGAGCGAGGCCTTGGGGAGCAGGTCGAGGCGCAGAGAGGGAAGCAGCGCCTGCGAGACGAGGGCCGAGAGCGTGGCTGATTCCGTCGTCTGAGGGGTGAGGGGCGAGGGGAGGGGATTGGGCGTGCATCCATTCCGGCGAGGGGCTGTTGATCAGCCCACGTTGCCCCACCCTCCAAGACTTGGCCCCCTCGCCGAGCTAGCTGTCCAAACCGTCGCGACTCACCTTTCCAGGCCTCCTCCTCCTTCTGTTGCTAAACGGGGCAAACTTGACCTCGACGTTGAGCTCGGCCTTGCCGGCGTACTGGCGCCCTTTGACCTGGCGCGGACCAAAGACGGAGCAGGCGAGTTTGAGGTTGCCCGTTTCGATGTACGCGCTGCCGCTCGCCGAGGGTACGAGTCCGGTCTGGAGGAAGATGGGACGGTGCTGCAACGGTGTCCTGCCGTCGGGGCGGGTCGTGGTGGATGAGGAGGTCGACGAGGCAGAGGGGCCGGGGCGGGATGTGGATGCCGATGTCGATGCGGATGCGTCGAGGGCGGGTAGGAGCGGGCGACTCTGTGGGCCGTTTACGCGGCGTCTGTCGAATGCTGCGGCCATATTGAGCAGGCGGGCTGTTGTCGAGGAGGGAGGGGTGCAGGGGGGTGTCGGTGACGGTGGTGGCGGTGGTGATGCTGCGTGGAGGAGGAGGAAGAAGAAGGTGGATGACGGCAGGGCTGGCCTGAGCCTGGCCTGCGTGCTCCACCCTTGCCGCTGAAAAATTATTCTCCCGGCCGGGCCTGCGAGGCAAAGCACAGCCCAACGACTTCGGAAGTCGGGCTGGCCTGGCCTGGCAAGGCAAGGCAAGGCGAGGCGAGGCAGGCTGGAGCGGCTGGACCGTGCAGTCGTGCAGGCACTGCATGCTGCCTGCATAGCGGGCCGCCAGCGGGACCCTGACCGGCTCTGTTGGCCCCGCACTGACTTGGACCTCGCCCCTCGCCCCTCGCCCCTCGCCCCTCGCCCTTCGCTCTCGCCTCACCTGCTGGCCGTCGATATCTTTGAGCTTGTCCCCCACAGACGGCTCACCCGGCCCCTTATCTCCTCGCTCACCTGCTGCCCTTGCTTGCCTTCCGACCGTCACCATTGCCGCCCTCGTCGACATCGTCAGGCCAAGTTCCGCTACGCACGCATCCGCACCCTTGCCCGCCATGTCCAGCAACCCGAGCGTCCACATCGTCTCTCACCCGCTCATCAAGCACCACCTCGCCAATCTCCGCCTCGCTGATACCAGTCCAAAAGGTGATCTGGACGACGGCCTGACCCTACTGCTCGCCATGCTCTCGAGATGCAGCGCCTGACCTCGTCTGCCCTGCCCTGGCCCGCCCCCTCGCACTACGACAGAGTTCCGCTCGCTCGTGGGCAACATCTCCACCGTACTCGCCATCGAGGCTACCAGCGCACTCGCCACAAAGGATGTACAGGGTCAGGGACCGCTCTCGACCTTCACCGGCCAGCAGCTGAGCGTATGTGTCGCCCCGTCGTCGACCGGTAAATGTCGGAGGGCCGCAGGGACATCCGTTTTGACCTCAAACCATCGCCCCGGCCCTCGCAGGAACGCATCGGCCTCGTGCCCATCCTACGAGCCGGTCTCGGCATGACTGAAGGTGAGGCCTTTCCTCGCGTCTCCGCATCCTCACCGCTGCTACGAGCAGCCTTTGAGCTCACCCTTTGCGTCCGATCTTGACCTCCGCCCGACCCTATCAGCCTGCCTCGATCTGCTGCCCGAGAACACCAGTGTCCTCCATATCGGCCTCTTTCGCGAAAAAGTCTCGCTGCAGCCCGTCGAGTACTACAACAAGGTGAGGCGAAGTGGCGGCGTCCTCGCCTCTGATAGGCGAGGTCCAACTGCACATGTGACCGCTGACCGGCCGCCTACCCCTCCTCATCTCTGCCCCACTGCAGCTACCTGCGACACCGACCGTGGACCGCGTCCTCATCCTCGATCCGCTGATTGCGACCGGTGGAACCGCGATTGTGAGTCGCATCCTGCTTTTGCCTCGTGTGAAGGCCGCTTGACCCGAACGCTGACCCTCGGCGACCTCTGCCACCACTGCTGCGATCGCCCGCAGGCCTGCGTGCAGATGATCCGGGACTGGGGCGTGCCCGTGGACAAGATCCAGTTCCTCTGCGTGCTCGCCTCCGAGACTGGCGTCAACAACCTGCTGAAAGCCGTGCCCGGGCTCGAGCTGTGGATCGGCCACGTCGATCCGGAGCTCAACGAAAAGGGCCTCATCCTCCCTGGTCTCGGCGATACGGGCGACCGTCTGTTCGACACGCTGGCATAGCGGGCGCAGGCCCAAGCTACTCGGCAGGAGACGCCGGCACCCGCCGCGCGGCAGCTGCGGCGGTCGTGCTTGCAAGTCTATTGTCCGTTCCGGGGAGCCGCGTCCTTCTACAGCGGCTTGACGCCGAACAGAGCGCGGAACTCTTCGAACAGCTGCAGTTCAAACGGGAGGTGGGGTGCCAAGTTTCAGCGATTCCGACCAACCCCACGTCGCCCCATCTCAACACGGCTGCAGCTCGACTCACAATCAGCGAGATGACGGTATGCGATCCGAGGCGAGCCCAACACATGGCGAAGCTGCTCGAGCACAGTCCGACAGGCAAAGGGACACGTTTCGTCAGCGGGATCCCGCCACGCTCGACGTTGCTGGCTCTGCAAGCCGATCTGCACCGCGCCGGCTTACCCCTTGTACAGCGCCAATGGACCTTCGTTTTTGATGAGCTTGCCGACGCAGTCGAAGGCGTTTTTGAACTCGCGCTCCTTGTCCTGCATCAGCCGCACCTTGATCGTGTCGAACGGCGCCGACGCAATCGAGGCGAACAGGCCTGTCGCAGCGCAAGACCCGAGCAGACGTCAGCAGGGCCACCTTTGGACGAGCGAGGCGGTAGCGGGCGAGCGAAGCAGGAGGGACTCACCTGCCACCAGACTTGCGCTAAAGTGGAGCGGCAGACCCTCGTCCATGAGGCCAGCCCTCTTGACCATCGACTTGACCTGGTCGTAGCTGCCAATCTGGCTCGAGGTGAGGACGGCGGCGCGGATCGTCGTGGGCCACACGCCGCGGTAGAGGGATTTGACGCCGCCGACAAAGGCACTGCCGCCGGCGCCGGGCGCCCGGGCTCCCTCCCTGAAGACTTCTGCGAACCCGACGAACGTGTTGCGGTAGGGCGGCCGACCGTTTGGCCGGTTGGCCTGCATGCGCACCTTGAGCAGATCTGTCGGGCAGGCAAAGGCGGATCCGATTGCGCCGCTCGTGATTCCGCTAAGGGCCTTGAGCGCAAACGACTGCTCCGAGACGCCCAGCAGGTCCGAGTAGAGGTCCTGCGTCGGTAGGAGGGCGGGGAGAGCGGGAGCGGCGAGTCAGCAATGGCCCTTCGTGGACCGTCGAGGGGGCGACCAGGTCGGCCGGCTGGCGTCTATTGCTCACCTTGAAGGTCTCGTAGAGGCCAAAGCGGACGGTGCTGTAGGTGAGTTCGCGGAGGCAGCTGGCGGTGACGCCGTTGAAGAAGCTGCGTGCGCCCTCGTCGCGCAGCATGGATCCGGCGACGCGGACAAAGTTGTTGCGCTGCTTGTCGCGCACGAGCTGCTGGCGCACCTTGACAATGTCGGCCGGGTTGGTGCAGCAGGCCGAGAGCGCGTTGCCTAACCCGGCGGCCGCAAACGTGGCTGCGAGCGTGTACCCTCCCGACGAGCGAGGTGTGGGCGCGGCGGCGGTGGCAGTTGGTGGTGGTGGCGGTGGTGGTGATGCCGGCAATGAAGATGGTGGGTTGTGGTGCGGGTGTTCTGCCGCGGCGATGGCATTGTCTGGCGAGAGGATGGACGAGGGCGTCACTGATGATCCCACTGGAGGGGAGCGGGTCGAGGAGCTGGCCATGTCGAGGGATGGCCTGCGTCTATGTTCGAATGCCGAAAGGCGAAGGCAGATGGTCCCCTGTGTAGAGCGATGGTGGCCGTGTCGATGGTGGTGGTGACGGTGGACGCGGTGCGTGTGTCGGCAGGAGCCAAGTCTGGATGCGAAGGATGGGGCAGACGAGGTTCGGTTGGTCGGGCAGGTCAAGCAGCCGAGGGCAGGGCGGCGAGGACAGACGCCGGCCTCATCGCGTGGCTCTGGCAGGCCCCTCTGGTTTCCCCGCACTCGTTGGCCCTCGCCCTAGCCTGGCTCCGCCCCCGGGCCCGGCAAAACCGCCCCCGACTCCCGCGGGTCCAAGACGCAGGTCAGCACTAAAGCCGATTTGGGCCCGATGCGGCGCAGGGTCCCTTTTGCACCCGATGCCAACTTCGACCACGGCTCGTCCCACCACCACCACCACCGCCGTCCTCGTTGGACCCGCCAGCCGCCGCAGCTTCACTCTCGCTCCTGATACTCTCGCTTCTCGCTGATCACCGTCAAGGCCGAACACTGACCGATAGGCCGCTCGGTCCGGGCTAGGTGGTCTCGCTCGCCGGCGGGTCCGCCTGCCGAGATGACAGCGACGTCGGAGCGACGCGGCACCGTCCCGTCCACGGCGATCCGGTTGGGCCGCGGCCTCGAGCCAAGTCACCACCGGACGAGACTCGCTCATTGGAAATCGAGACGAGTGACTTTGCTCGCTATAAGCACAGAGGGTTGCCAGCATGGCGGCCACGTTCTCGAGCTTTGGATGACCCACCGGCGGAGCCTCTTGGCGTGTTCAGCCCCGGCAAGCTATTCGACAGACGCCCATCGCCGAGACGACACTCGATTTAGACTGTTCGGCCCACCACCGATCCCGTTCCGAGGCTCGTCGCGCCGCCGAAGTTGGCAGGAAGACCGGCGGGACGGCGAGCAGACGGGCGGGCGCAAGTGCATCGCCATGCATTGCCAGCTCATCCAGGGCGCACCGGCTCCTCAATGGACGGGTCGATTCGGACAAGCAGCTTATCGATCGATCTCGCAAGGGAACCCGACAGCGATGCCGGATCCACTGGCGTCCCGCCTCGAGCTGCCCTTGAGTCGCTATCGACTGGGTGCGACGCTCCTCGCCTCGTTCTTCGGGCCAGGGCGAAGCGGCACATGTATAAATGTACGAGAGGCAAGTCAAAGCCCTGGAATTGGCTCGACAGTCGTCCTTTACCCACTCTGATCTCTAATCCTCACCATGATCTCCTTCCGCAAATGTTGCCCTCGCCTAGCAGCAGCGGCGCTGCTGCTGGTGGCAGTCCTACTGCCCATGCTCGCCTACAGCCGCCCCATGAACGGCGAGCCCATGTTCGGCGCGGCCTCGGACGCTCTCGACGCCATCTTCCGCGCTGACGACTACGAAGCGGCCGAAGGACTGTATTACGCCGCTGGACACGGCGCACCTTCTGCCGCCCGAGCCGCCAGACCTGGCCCATTTGCGGCTCTTCACCAAGAGGAAGACTTTGGCTCGCTGCCTGCCTTCACGCACCCGACATCCTTCGCCACGCTTCACAATGTGGACTACGAAGGCGACTTGACAAAGGCCAGCCTCGAGGAGCGCCAGCTCGTGGTGGAAAAGTTCCGAAACGACTTCCGCGTGGGCCCCGGAACCAACGTGCACTTCAACGACGATCCCAGCCAGCTCATGCCCCTGCGCCGTTTCCCTAACGGCAAGATCATCAAGCGGCACGTCGACTTCGTCAAGCGCATGCGCGGCACCGAGTTTTGGCAGTCGCCCTCGGGCGGGCCCGGTCGAGAGTACGTCATCAACGGCTACATCGTCCACCACCTACTCGAACTCGCAAGCAGCAGCGACCAGGTCCGTGTCTACTATGTCATGGCCGTGCCCCTCGAGGAGCTCGCCAGGGGAAAGACGGAGCGCGGCCGCCCGAGCCTCGCCAAAAAGGTCATCGAGGTCGGCCAGCTGGTGCTGCCTCTGAGGTAGCCAGCCGTCAGCCCAAGCACATGGTTTTTCTGTCCCGCGCTCGTCCGGCGGCTAGCTTGCTGGTGCCGTTGCCTCAGCACCGCAAGACGGCCGCGCGTCTGTCGGCCCTCGCTCAGCGCCGTATCGCTAGCCACCCTATGCCCCACTGTCCAGCTCACACAGATCCGAGTAATTTGACCACCTTCAACGAGTCGACTCTCTCTGTCTCCTGCTGGCCAACGATAGCGACGGCCGATGCAAGCCTGAAAGCGTGTTCGAGGTGCTGCTGAAGCAGCCGAGACTGTAGGAGAGCAGCAGGACGGGGATGTCGGAAGGACGGACAGAGCAGATGGCCGAGAAACACAGCTCGAGACGGGAAGGGCGACCGAGTCGTCGCGCGGAGTTTCCTCGTCACGCCGTCTCCACCGAGGCTATGCTCGCTCCTATCGACATCGTGGCCGTACTTGTTCTCGACCCTGACTTTCCGGAAGCTCGGTCGGCTTCTTTCACCTTCGGTACGGTCGAAGGGCATCGGCTTCACGAGCTGCGGTATCGTCGTTCAAGCAGCCGGGATGACCTTGCAAGAGCCTGAAGCCCCGGTCCATGGCTTGGGCGTTGCACACGTGAGTCCAAGCGGTCCCGAAACCCTCGCTGGCACGCTCGCCTCGGATCGTCTCGAGAGGATTTGGTGCGGCACTGACTCGTCATGAGGCCGAGGCAAGCCGGTCGCACAATGCCATTGATCTTTGGCGGGTCCTTATTTCTTGCCATTGTCGATCTCTTCGCCCCGGAACGGGCCGAGGCACTCATGCCTATCGGTACGAGTAGGCCCTATGATGAACCAGCGCCACAGCCCCACCTGACCCACCTATGCCCACATGTGCCGGGAACAAGTCATCTCGAGTGGGGTTACTTGGCGCTGACGTCGCTGAAGCTCGAGCGGGCCCTCCTATCGACAGAGCCCACCGTTGTGGAGCCAAAGTGGTCGCCGTGTCCTCCAGAGAGGGGCAGCGGGCGAGCATAAGAAGAGGACAGACGGGTCAGTCAGCTGTCGACCCGACCTTGTCCACGCCTCTCACACCCCGAAACAGCGACCACTTCTTTTATCGCCATGCTTTCTCATCGCCGAGTCGGCCTGCGACTGGCCTTAGTGGCGCTCTCGCTGCTGCTCCTTTCCATCACCATGCTGCAGATTGCCCGCTGCCGCCCGATGGATGATGGGTCGATGGTCGGTGCCACCTCTGAAGCTCTCGAGGCTCTCTATCGCGCCCTGGACCAGGAAGAGGCCGAGTCACTCGGCACCGTCGCCCACTCCTTCCAGCCTCACAGCGTCGGCCAGCCTGCTTCCTCTCACTCGCACCCCGGAGGCGCCTACCACGCTGTCGCTCAAATTGAGCGTCCCCAGCCTCTCTACCAGCTCCAGCAAGTCGAGCCCTTTGGGCCCATCCCACGCTTCGTTCATCCTACCGCATTCACCACGATGAACGCCGTCATCGGCTACGAGGACCTGGAAAAGGCCAGCGTCGAGGAGCGAAACCTCGTCCTGCAAAAGTACACCGATGACTTCGTGTATGGCCCCGCTTCTGGCATCCACTGGGACGAGGCTGCCAACGAGTTCGTTCCCTTCCGCTTCCGCGACGACGTCAGGATCAAGCGCCACACCGAATTCTTGATCCGCAGGCGCGGAACCGACCTCACGAAGCCGGCCAGGCCGGGACCTCTGCTCGAGTACATTGTCAACAACTTCCTCGTACGCTACATTCCCGATCTCGCGAGTTCCAACGCGCAGTTCAAGGCGTACTATGTCATTGCCGTGCCGCTCGACGAGGTCATGAGGCCGAGGAACTCGAATGGAGCCCCCATCCTGTACGGAAGGATCAAGGAAGTCGGCGAGCTAGAAGTCCCGACGGGGCGCCGCCGGCGCGCCTAGACAAGCGTATCGCAGCATGGCCGTCCCGAGCTTGTCTATCGTCTACCTCTCCTCGTCGCATCCTTTCTACTTATCGAATAGCGCCTCCTTCCCGTCGTTTAAATCATACAGACTGCGTCGTTTAAATCATACAGACCGAAACCAAAGGTGGTCCTCGAGCCCGCGCCTGAGCCTTTGTAGCGCTCGCGCGAAGGCAAGGCGAAAGCTTGCGCTTGCGTGTCTTCGTGTGGGCAGAACGAGGCGGACGAGTTGGACGAGGCGGCGGCAAGCATGCTCCGAGCCGAGTGGCAGTGAGAAAGGGTGTTGCGATCGAACTGGGGAAGGCGACCTGGCAAAGCGAAGCGGGGTAGCTGGGCAACGAGTCGAGAAGGCCAACTTGCATCGAGATCGCACGTACAAGCCGACGCCACACAAAAACATCGCCAACTGGGCTGAGTTGCTCCTGCTCCCTGCTTCCACGCTCGGTCCTTTTTGCCACCGTCCTCTGTCCGCGGCGCAAATCCCGTCGGCGATCTCTCCCGCAGTCGCCGTTTATACCTCCCTTTCGGCCACGCTCGGCGACCAAGACCGCTGTGCCTTCGGCCTATCAGCTCGGGCACCTGCGAGGCCGCAACGACCCCGGTCCGTACCATGCCGATCCGCGGCACACCGGTCCGTGACTTGCCGCTGATCGTGGGAGCAGTCGAGCCCCACCATGCTCCACACGGTTCATCCCTCAAATACATACATATCCAGGCCCCACCGGAGAGGGACTTCGATTCGCCCCGAGGGGAGACGAAGACTCATTCGCCGTGCGCCGTCGGTCGTCGCTGAGCCTATGTAGAGCCAGCACGACACCTGTGACCTTGCCCGTACATCTAGGGCAAGTGTCGGTATACGGCGGCGTCCCCGCCAACTGGAGCGGTGGATCCCCGCTTCACTCCGCCAAGTGACGAAGTAACTCGAGGCTTTCGTAGTCAATCGCGAGACTCCTCACGTTATCGTCTTTGGTGCGACGCTCTCATCGAGTGTGGAGCCAGTGGAGCCCCACCATGATCTCGCTTGAGGTGCACTTGGATCCATTTGGGACCGACTTGCTCGCCGTCTGGAGGCTCTAAGCCTTCGAGGCTGCGCAAGAGGTTCGAGATAAATAGGGGGTCGGGTTCGCCATCGAATCGGCCCTTCCATCATCTTCTCCTGCTCCTTGCCCTTGCCCTCCAACTCTCTCGCCTGAACAACCCATGATGCTCCTCCACCGTCGCTCCAAAGTGCAACAGGCCGCAGCCGTAGCGGCGGCGCTTCCTCTGCTGCTACTGGTCATCACTGTGCTGAAGCTCGTCGACTGTCGCCCTATGGACGATGAGCCGATGTTCGGTGCCACCTCTGAGGCCCTCGAGTCTATCTTCCGTGCCTTGGACCAGGAAGAGGCCGAGTCTTCGAGCGCCGTCCAGCCTCACCACAACGATGAGCCCGTCGCCCAAAACGTCCCCCAGTCCGGCTGGCACGGTGCCGGTTCAGCGGACCCCTGGCCTTTGAGTGAACTCCAGAAGGTCGAATCTATCGGCTCTCTCCCGACTTACATCCACCCGACCCTGTTCACCGAGATCAAACCAGTCAAGAGATCCGGCGACCTGGAGAAGGCTAGCGAAGATGAGCGCGCGCTTGTCCTACAGCATTTTGGCAGCAGATCGAGCCACTGGACCGACGATCCTGCCGAGCTGGTGCCCGACCGCCTCAGAGGCAAAAGCAAGCAGAGGCAGAAGCGACACGTCGAGTTCGTCCAGCGGATGCGTGTGAGGTTCGCTGGCGAGGTTACCAACACTGGAACCGACGGAGACTACGTGATCAACCGCTTTCTCATCCACTTCCTCTACGACCCTGAAGAAAGCAGGAAGGTGATGGGACTGTCCTTCTACGTCTTTGCAGTGCCGTTCGCAGAACTCCTGAGGCCCAGAGGCTCGCGTGGAATGCCCAGCCTGTCGGAGAAGGTCAAGGAGATTGGACAACTGAGCTTCGTCGAATAGGGGTTGCCCTCGAAGCCTAGAAGCCCAAAGGCTATCCGAGCACGGTCTTCGTATCGGTCCTAGCGCGTTACCTTGTCTGCCTCCCTGGTCTTGCTCTTCGCTCGCCCCCAAGTATCCCTCCTTCCCCTCCTTCCCCTTCTTCCCCTCCTTCCCCTCCTTCCCCTCCTTCCCCTCCTTCCCCTCCTTCCCCTTCTTCCCCTCCTTCCCCTCCTTCCCCTCCTTCCCCTTTTCAGCCCCACAGACGGCCCGCCTCAGCGAAAGAGTCCTCCCTTCCGATAGACTTCATGATTGAGCTCGAGCCTCCCGCTCGTACGGTCGCGTGTGTGTCCTGCCCAACTCTTCGCCTGTCACAAGGCCAAGGACATGTGTCTGCCTTGAGCAATTCGCATCCAGTCGGGCGGAGCGCGTAACGCTGCCACAACAGCCCGCGGCTGCCCACCGCCTCGCGGCCTTTGCAAGGAAGTGCCTCATCACATGTCCAGCCGCAAGCGGTCGAACAGAACTTTGACCGTGTGTGCGGCTTAGTTGGCCCTCGGCATCGATTGGTCCTCGGAAGGAGCGGAATTGAGTGCAGAGAGAACGACGCCCCGGGAGGACGACTACGCTCTGGCGGTATTTGTGATTGCGTTGCCAGCGGGCATGATCGATCGCCTCGAGGCACGAGCAGGTCAGGCATGTATAAGAGGGGACTGTTGTTGCACCGCTGGGTCGATTTGCCCGGACAACGCTTCCGTCCCTCGCCCTCCATCACCCTCTGCTTTCACGCCATGCTCCCCTTTCGCAAGTCTCATCCTCGACAGGCCACAGCGGCGCTACTGCTACTCATGCTGGCCTCGCTCATCCCGATGCTTGCCCTTGGCCGGCCGATGGAGACCGAACCGCTCATCGGCTCGGACCCAGCCTTACTCGAAGCCTTGTTCCGGGCCCTAGACCAGGAAGAGGCAGAGTCGTCGTCCTTTGCTGGGTTCGAGCGGCCCCAGGTCGACACGGCGGTCCCAACTGTTGCACAAGATACCGCCCCACCTGTTGCCCATCCCTGGCCCTTGTCCGCTCTTCGAAAGGAGGACAGCTTCGACTCCGTCCCCGCCTACACCCATCCGAGTTTGTTCACTGCCGCCAGACATGTGTTCCTGCTTGACGACCTCGAAAAAGCCAGCCCCGAAGAGCGCGAACTCGTCTTGCAGAAACTCGTGGACGACCTCCGTCAGAGAGGCTTGCTGATCTACAACGTCGACCGCTGCTTCTGGGCCGACCCCCCGTATGGTCTAATTCCCTTTCGCTACTGGAAGACGGGAAGCAGGATCAAGCGCCACATCGACTTTGTCAAGCGCATGCGCTACATGACCGCCTTTCGGCCGTCCCAGCAGCCTCCCGCCAAGGACTTCATCGTCAACAGCTTCCTGATTCATTTCCTTGCCGACCATGAGCGCAGCAACGGCATCTTCAAGGCTTACTATGTCATCGCCGTACCGCTGCAGGAGCTGCTCAAGCCCAAGAACACCATCGGACATCCAAGCCTCGCGCTTCGGGTCAAGGAGGTCGGCGAGCTCATGGTGCCTCTTGAGCAAAGGCCAAGGCCCTCGAAGCGCAAGAGCGGGACCACCAGTCTCGTGCAGCCTTCGTGATGGGTGAGATGTCCGCGCGCTTTGTTTCGGCGCTCTCAAGCTCCACGGCCCTGATTTGCGCTCGTTCCTGCTCAGTCTATTGCAGCTGTACCGCGCCATGTACCCCTCAACAAATCAATCTAGGTCCTCGACGTAGTACTTAGCCCAGCTTGGATTCCAAGGGCGACCGTGCAGGGCTCGACTAGCTCGGAGGGAGCACGCCCGTTGTCGGGCTGCTGGCGCCGCCGTCGCCTGTCAAGCGGTGCGATCGAGCAGCGTGACGGGTCAGAGCACCTCTCAAAGGCCGATGCAGGACGTTCCATCGCACGATCCTGTTCTGGTACTTGGTGTCAAACTCCTTCGAGAGCAGCGCAAGGCGGTCGAGGTGGTCCGCATAGGTGCTTTGCAGCCACCAAAAGTTGAGGTACCGGAACGAGTCGCCGGATCCCGCATAGCGGCTGAGCAAGAAACGCTTCAGGGCAAACGTCTTGGTCTGCTGAGACGCAAACAGCTGGTGAAGGCGGGATAGCTTGGCGACCACGGTTGTGTGCCATTCGAGCACGCTCGCGTATCCGGTGGCTTCAATGGCTGTCTCGGCTTCGGCGATGGCGCCCTGGAAGATGGATCGCTCCCGTGCTAGTCCGTAGTGGATTGCTGGGACAGTGTCAGGCTGAACGATCCAGCGGGCAAGCTGGAGAGCTTGTCGACGTGCCTGCCTGTCTTCTTGATAGCGGTAGTGGGCCCTACCGGCGCTCGAAAGCGCATCGAGCATAGCGGAAAGCTCGATCTGGTGGTGGTTCCAGACACGGTCCAGCTCAGGAATCACCGCCGGAGAGGGGTCCATCGCCGAGACTAGAGCACAGTTGAGGGCAAAGATCGTGACCAGGAGCGCCTTGACCAGCATTGTGATGCCAGGCATGGCGAGAACAAGCTGTAAGACACGCTTTGCAAGCGGAATGTTGACAGAGGGGATGGAGGGATGGTCAGGGTAGGAACAAAGCAGCGTCGAGCCCTTGTGGGATGGATAGGGGAAGGAGAAATAGGAAGAGAGGATGACGGTTGCCACCTAGAAAATGGCCGAGCGGACGAAGACAAGAGGCGGGGGCAGAGCAAAAGCGGTGCGACAAGTGCAGAAGCCTCCCCTCGGTCTCCCCAAGGACACAATTCTTCCCGTCCTTGCCGCTGGACGCATTCGCTGCAACCGGAGCCCACGGGATCGGACGAAACGGGGCCTGGAAGGGTCGAGTGCCGGTTCATTGATCGTGCATACTGATCGAGATGCGTCGGAAGCCTCTCCCGCGCCCCGGAACCGCCCATTCTGTAGTCACGGAACAAGGCCCGAAGCGGTTTCTTCATCTCAAACGAGGTGCGAGGATTGCTGCAGAAAGAGATGATGGCTGACAGATTGCGGAAAGGACGGGAAAGTCCAGAAGGGGAGCACAGTTCTCGCAGGGGAAGGTAGAGAGGGGCTATTTCCACGCTCACCTAGCCAGAAGCTCTTTGAACGTCGGACGAAGAGCTACCAGCATCACGCACGCTGTCCGGTAGGCGATGCTCGCCGGATGCAAGGCGGGCCAGGTCGCCCCTCAGAACCCCAAAGAGGTCCTCCCAGTCCGGCACCGCGCTGCGGTAATCGGCGTCGAGGCGAGACAGCAGGATGGCGTAACGGTCCAGCTGGTTGGCGTACGTGCTTTGCAGCCAGCGGAGATTGGTGTAGACGAGCGAGTACCTCTGCCTGCTGCGGTATCCGGAGTGTCGGCTGATCACGATCCGCTTGAGGGTCAGCGTGTCCGAGAGTTGAGCCTGCAGTAGTCGGTGAAGCCGGTCCAACTTGATCTCTACACCTTCGCGCCATGCGACCGCCGCACCTGCAAAGGATTCAATCATGACACGCGCCGCCGTGACGGCATGGCTGAATCTGTCGCGCTCCCTGTTGAGGCCAAAGTAGATGGCGGCCGGGGTGTGCCGTGTGCTGAGCCATGTACCGAGCTCGCTTGCTCGCTCGCGTGCCTGCCCCGCTCGCTCCATCGCAAGCCGCAAGTGGGACGTCGATCCGGGGTTTGCCCACCGCTGGTCGTCGGCCCAGTTCAGGAGCCTGAAAGCCCTGAACGTGTTTGCGAGCTCGGCCTGGTGCCTCTCCCACAGGCCCTCGAGCATCTCGTCTGCCTCCCCGGCCGGGCCTGGCGCCGAGGCACGGAGGCAGCTCGCGCACAAAAGGCAGAGCAGGACGAATAGTGTTGAGAAGCCGGATGCAGAACCAACGAGCGCGAAGAAACGCATGGTGATGATGGCGGGGGGCGAGGAAGGCCGGTAGTTGGAGATGCTAGTCGTCTCTGTGGGTTGTAGAAGACGGGAAGAGTACTTGATGTCTACGAGGTGAGGTACGATGATGATGGTATAAGACGGAAAGGGAGGTCAGACGGGAGGGAGAGGGTAGAGATCGGGGCCTGACGTGTGTCTCGCCGGACGAGAGTCGCCAGCTCGACCGGAAGCAACGGGTTTCGTACCAGATACGAGGCGCAACGTACGCCCCGACCTCGCCGACAGTGCCGTTGTTCCCATTGGATGTTCGTCGTGCCTCGTTGGGTAGCCACGGCTCAATTACCGTGCGACGGGGCTATCGGTTCGAGCCACGCCATGCCCGGAGTCCGACGCGGGTGGGAAGGAAGATGAAGGCAGACGTGATGTCGGCATGGCTCAGCGGGTCCGCCCCTTCGCCATAGCCACTGCGGAGCGAAGCTCCTACCGCTGCGCCAGAATGCCGGTCCAGTCACAGGATGAAACGATCATTGGGATCACTGCGTAGTCGCCACGCTGCGAAGCCGATCGAGGAGAACGGAGTGAGACGAAAGCATGTGGACATGTGCGCCTGTCTTGACAAGCTGGACGGATAATAAGAGCCCTGGAGGCATGGCTGAGAGTATGCTGTATGTTCGAAGGAAAGAGACACCGACATGACAAGGCCGTGGACGAGATCAGGCATAAGGGGGGTCCGGCGGGAGGGAGACGAGAGGAAGAGAAAGGGAGCGGCGTAGCATAGAAGACGTGAATGAAGAGGAATGGTACTCGCTCAACGACCCGGCGCCCCTCAAGCCTTCCAAGACAGGCTCGTACGAACGAGGCGATACAAGGCCTCTACCCGCGAGAAGGACCGCTACCAGAGCTGCCGACCCCGTGGCTGGTGGTAGGCCAGAGATTGCTGCGTGAGTCCAGGTGGAGCATGTTCTCAATCTCCTGCAGACCGCGGAGTTGCTCGAGCTGGTCGCCCTCTCGCAGTATATCGAGCCGCGACTTGAGGATATCGTGGTGCTGTCGCAGCTTCGGCGCGAGCTCACCGAGGAGCTCGGCGTACTGCTGCCAGAGCCATGAAGCCGACGAGGGTCGCCCGGCGTCCCCGAACACGCCGGCGTCGATCATTCCCTTGAGGTTGTTGGCGCGGATGCGGATGCTCTGGTACCTCTTCGCGAGGGCCTCAAGCCTCTTCCTGGACTCTACCAGCCGCTTCCTATCCAGTCCGTGGTCGAGGTAGCGCTCGATGTCGGCAGAGTAGCGCAGGTTCTTTTCACGGCTCGCCGTGAGTGCTGCCGCGATTGTGTCGCGTGTCGTCTGCCTGTCCAGCTGGCGTTGCAGGACCAGGGCGTTGGCTCGGATTGTCGACAGGCTGTCTTCGCCTGCAGCGGATCGGAGGGCGCGCGCGACGTTGTCGACCTCGCCCATGAAGCTCGACGGATTCACTGCCGTGACTCCGCCGCAGCTGATGACGAGCAGAACCGCCACGAAGGCGATCAGCGGCAGGAACGCCATCAGAGTAGAGCGGGCCCGGAAGCGCATGATGAGGACGATCGGAAGCGGTTCGGCCAGGACGAGGGGCCGAGAGAGACAGATGTGTGGAGCAGGGGGTGCGGGGCGAGGAAGGAGCTTGGTCGGAAGAGGTTCAGTAAGGGGATGGGCGCCAGATTTCTCCGCTTCTTATACCTTGGCAGCTACGAGAGCGTACCCTCGCCTTCCTCTGAAGAGGCCGAAGATGCCTGCGAGCCGCGCGCGACTCGGTGGCGGATCATCTGTGGTTGTGGCAGCCGGGCACTCGTCAGGTCGTCGAGGCGAGAGTGCGCCTTCTCCACCGGCTCGGGGCAAAGCGAATCGTGAGCACCAAGGATCAGGAGATTCAGAAGATCGTGGTGCAACGCAATCCTCTGTCCGGTGCGCCAGATCGTCGCCCCGAGCACGAAGGTACCCCTCGGCCGGTCGCAGCTCTCATCGTGTCGCCACGATGAGCAGTTCTGACTCTGTCGCAGTGCTGCGCCCCGGCCTGGCCGCGGCTGGTATGTCTGTACAAGGCCCTGCCGGGCTGCTCGCAGGACTGTTGCGTATGATTTGGTCTGCATATCTGGCCGCCTGGGGAAATGAAGAGCTTGCGGGCCGTCGTCGCATTGGGTGTTATGTAGTGCAAGCCTCTGCCTTAGCCTGATGATGGTCCTCGATGAACGAGGTAAGCCGACCTTTGTGCTGCGGCGTTCCCACCAAGACGGGGCGTGGGACAATGCCATTGGTGGGTCCGGCGGGCATGACAAAAGAGGAGTGGCTGGTGGGACCTGGGCATCTTCGAGGTGCCCACATCGAGGGCGAAACTAATGGCTCCCGGCTTGGCAGTGGGTACGAAAAGCCGGGCGCCGAGCAGATGGCCGCTGCGTGCGTACCCTTTCCGGCTAGTGCGGTCGTGGCGAGACGGTCGCAGCTCCTGTCTGTGGCGAGGCCCGCAAGCTTGTTCCGCTTCGGTATGCCGTCACCCGACCGTGGGAACTGTGAACACTGCAGGGCGAGACTCGGCCCGGCTCGCATGGCGACTCCGTCAGAGTGCAGACAGCAAGTAAGTCAGGCCATAAGCAGCAGGAATGACTCGGCACCCGCCAGGAGAGAGCGCTGAAGGGAGTCATAAGTGTGGAGAGGCGCAGAGCGACGGAGTAATAGGAGCCAAAGAGACGAGACGATGAAGGGCACAACACAGGCTGCGGAAGGCAGCCTGCAGTGGAGCTCTGTGACAATGCCGGACTCGACGGTAGGCGCGGGCTGCAGCGGCCACAGATAGATCGATGGAATCGACGAAGTAGTTTCAGCCGCGGGGGAAGCTGGCGTGTCCTGGACGGGTGGACCAGAGGCCGTTTTCGGCGTCGTGGTCAAGCATCTCTACGATCCCGGGCGGCGGACGGACACGTTCGAGCTGGCGCTCGTTGTGCACGTGGGGGTTGAATCGAGGATCGTACCTGTCGATGCGGCTCAGGGTGTTGTAGAAGGCCTGGAGCCGATCGTGCGACGACCTCAGCCTCGGGGCGAACGCGTCGAGGGACCCGACGTACTGCTGGTACAGCCACGAAGGTCGGTCGCTCTGGAACATGTTGCCGTCGATGAGCGTCTTGAGGCTGTAGGCGTGGGTGCGTCCAGAATGGTACTTGTCTCCCATGTCGTTGAGCAGCCATCGGGCAACGGCGAGCCTGTTAAGGTCGTCGGGGTTCTGCAGGGCGTCGCGCGCCTCGCCGGCGGTCCTGCTGTGGTCCTTTCGAAGGCGCACCATTGCCTTTCGGAGCGTCGCCATGTCCGGCTCATCGAGCTCGCGCGCTAGCTGCTGCGCCCTACTGCGGGGGCAAGCTCTCCTGTGGTCGCATCGGAGCGAGGCTCGACTTCATCAGCAGAACCTCGACCGGTGAAAGGGCCCTCAGCGCCGAAGAGCTGCCTCGCGAGCATCTGTAGTGCAAAAGATAGTGTCGAGTGTTGATGCAAGGACGGTATGGGTACAGGTGCCGGCGTGCTGGCAATCGAGCAGCGAGGTCGCCAGGCAAAGGAGTGACGATGGCAGAACATGGCAGGTGACAAGACGGCCGGGTCGGACAAGGACCGCGGCGGGTGGTATCGTAGGAGGCAAGCGAGTGTTGCGGCCGCGGAAGAAGGCAAGAAGCGGGCAGCCATCAGGGAAGGCGGCTTGACCCGGCCGCGCCGCCCCGGCCGACTGTCCCGCCCAGGCTCGTTACCGCCTTGCTGTCGAGCGGTAGGCCGGTGAGTGGATCGATGTTGTTGTTGGCCAAGATCTGCTTGTGGCGAATGAGCCGCGCCTCGTCAAATGACTGTCGAGGGGCGGCGACGAGGGTGGTGTGAGAGGGTTTCGGGCAGTCAGGGGTGTCGCTCCTTGCCCTTGGGGCTGAGACGAGACATATCGCTGGCTGCAGCCGATACTCACCACGCCGTACTGCTGCATGATGGCCTGGATGTCCATGGCGCCTCTCTCGTCGAGGCCGGACCTCTGATCGCCGTCGCGGACGTTTGCCTCGATGTCGAAGAGGGAGCTGTTGAGGCCTGCGCGAATGCTGTTGCCCCAGTCGAAGTTGCCGAGGCGGCTGTACCTGGCGGTGGAGGATGGCGAGGAGGAGAAAAAGCCGCCGAGCATGCCGCCGTGGGCGTCGTTGGGCGAAGGCTGGAGAAAGGGCGGCACGCGGTCCTGGAGGTGGACGGGCAGCAGAGATACGAGGAAGCCACGCTGCCGGTACAAGACGAAGGAGACGAGGAGGAGGAACGAGGCTGCGACGAGCGAGGAGTAGAGCATGGCGGGAAGTCAAGGCGGGGAGACTGGCGGACTGGGGGCCTTGCTCTCGGTGTCGCTGTCACTCCTGTGCTGAACGGTGGACGGAAGGCTGTTCGCGGTCGAAGAAGCGATGCCCAGAGCTGCGCTGTGGGGGAGGTGGAGCTGGAGAGGCGGTACGGGGAACCTTGCTAAACAGGAGGTGGTCAAAGGAGCGTGAGGAGTCGGCCGACGATGGCTGGTCGAAAGAGGTAAGATGGAGTGCGTGGTAGCAGAGGGGGCTAGCGGTGCAGCGCAGGTGCGGCTCGCGGCTCGCAGGCCAGTTCAAGAGTGATACGATCCCGAAGAGATGCTCCCAGCGCGCGAGAGGGTGCGCAGAGTGGCTGAGGATATGTAGCCTCTTCCTTGCCGATGGTCGAGACTGCGTGTGCAGGAAATGTCTGATGAGCTGTCGGTCGTCGAGCGGAGACGGTACGGTGATCTGCAACAAGGAGGTGGCGAGCAAAGGATTGCACAAGGAGGAGGCGCGATGGGGTGGGGATGCTGCCAAGGCTGGTGCAGCAGCGACTCGGCTCGCCTGCCAAAAGGACAACAGCCAACGTGGAGGGCGCCGCTCCATCCTCTTTCGGCCGATGCAAGCAGCCATCCATCACTCTGCAAGCCTGCTTCAGGCACCCAGCAGCACACACACTCTGTCTCTCTTCAACCTCAGCCCTTTGCTGCATTGATGCAATCTGACACACCCAGTTGCACAAGACATCAGGCTCTGCAACAGCCCAAGCCAAGCCACCCTACAGGTCCAATCTCAGCCATGTCATCAATCTGCTCAAGCTGAATAGAAGCAGGTCTGTGTGACAGGCTGTCAACCAGAGGTTCCAAGGCCCCACATTGAATTGCAATGAACCTGCCAAGTTCACAGCTTGTGTGCACATCATGCATGCAGGCCAAAGTGTTGGTTCCAGCAGTGCTTGATGGCTGTTCTGAGCTTGTTGTTGTCAGCCAACCTCTACCATTGTGGTTGTTGACCCCACACTCTTAGCTTGCTGCAAGGAGCGCCACCAAAGCTGCAAAGCTACACCTCTGAACATTTTGATCCTTTTGCTAATAAGGTGGGAGGGCATGGAAGCTTTGGCAAGATAGACCTTGACAATCAGGCAACCAGAGATACTTGTAACGGTCGACCTGGCATGGCGCAGAAGATTGTCCGAGGGGCGGAGAAGTCTCTGCGCGTCGGAGGGCGATCGCTTTGGTGCTCCCGTCAGAGGCACGAGCGAGGTTCGGGAACGGCGGTTTGATACCGAGGGCGACTGTGAGCACCGTTGGCAGGCGTCCACGGTCAAGGATGACTACGGAAGTGAGCTGGCGTGGTGATCTGTCGATAGACGTCGCAATTGCTAGACAACGGTAGCCTCGGGCTCTCACGTCGATGGAAGACGAGCAAGCGATGAGGACTGGTATTGACTAGACTGGATGAGGGGCATCCAGTCTACCGACGCGGAGGAGGACTAGGCTATATACTGTCTACCTACGGCGTCGAGGCATCTCTGCCTTGACCAATCAGGAATGGCCTCTATTGTCCTATTGTCCTCCATTGTCATCCCAGGGCGTTGCTCCTAGGTGGGACGCCACCGACGTGGCCGAGGCCTAGTCCTTGGCCCTCGGAGCGGATCCGAGGAGTCCTCCTGCCAGCAGGAGCAACTGCGGATCCGCTAGGTGCGTGCCGACGCTGCCCCGGCGCGCAGAGGATTGCTGGCGGCCGATGATTCCTCTCTGCGGCCGCGCGGAGAGAATTCACCTCGGCTCCGGAAATCCTCTGCCCCGCTGGCCCGCGCCGCTCAGCCCCGATTGGGCCTGGGCTGTGATAATACTCTCAGATGCCTGCCATCCGCCTCAGAGCCTCCCACCGTCTCCTCCCTATTCAGTTGCCCCACAAAGTCACGCCAAACCACAGCATTCACCACAGTTGCTTTCAGAACAAGAGTGAGTACCGGTTTGCTCAATCTGTCTCGAGGCTATGTAGCATTCACCCTTTGCGGCACTGACATCTTGGTCGCTCGCTTCTATTTGGACAGACAAAGATATCGTTCTGGCGCTTGCCTCGCGGCAAAATCTTCAACACCTGCTTCAGCGATCCCGTCGACGCCTCCGATGCCAACTGTACCACGGACCTCTCCAAAGTCTCCCGCTCAGAGGCCAACATCAAGCTTGCTGCTGCCGGTCCCAGCTCTGTTTCCCTGACCATCACCACCACTGCCAACATTGATATCCTTACACCTGCACACTCCCACAACCTATCCTGGTCCAACCCACCACCATAGGCCTCCATACAGCCCCCAAGGGCTTGACAGAACCCACATCAGCAGTCACCCAATGAGCTGACAGGCACCCTATGTGCCGCTGCAGCTTCAACAACCTTCTTTGTCACAGGCGGTCTCAAGGTCAGTGTTGCTAGCAGCTGAGCGTGACACGGCTCTGCTGTCCTTCATGCTTCTGATCTGACTGTCAGGTGCGCTTTGTTGTCAAGGTGAAGCTGGCATTTGTTTGCGCGTGAGCTGATTTGCATATTACAATGGCTTTGGCTAAAGCGTGCTGAGGGTTGTGTGATGAGGCAGTTGGCACGCGCGGCGAGCAACTATCCCGAGTTCTGGTGGATTTCGTCCACTACGGGAGCTACATTACACCTTCATGAACCTAAACAGCCCGCTCAGCTTGACGTAGCGGCGGCCGTTCTTGTCGAGGTACTTGGACACGGTCTCGCGCATCGCCCACAGCTCGGCGGCGTTGCGGTCGAGCGTGGCCAGCGCCTCGTCCTCCTTGCCCCGCACCGTCAGCGTCTTGGCTCGCTCCCGGATCCGCTCGCCGTCGACGAGGCTCTCGAGGTACAGCAGCTGGTTGTACAGCTGCTTGTCGCGGTACATGAGCTCGGTCCGGCCCTTGCAGCTGGCGTGCTGGCGGTCCGACGATGACGCCAGCGACTCTTCGAGGTCCGTCGAGGGGCGGTTGGCGTCCCTCACCGCCAGGCAGCGGCGCGGGTAGACGGACGCCATCCGCGTGCGCGCGCCACACTGCGGGTCGTTGCACTCGGTCCAGCCCGCGTAGTAACGCGAGATGAAGCTGCGGATCGCGAGCTCCAGCTGGATCAGGATACTGGCCATCGGCAGCGGCTGTAGGCACTCGGGCTGCGTGCAGCGGATGCCGTCGCGGCCGATGGCGTTGACCTCGGTCGTGTGCGCCGACCCGTCTGCCGGCCGCTTGGGGATATGGATCGGGCCGAAGAAGGTCGAAGCCTGGCGGCACGACGGGCAGCGCAGCACCAGCGGCTTGCAGTCGGCGAACCGCACCTCGTCTGGGATCTGGCTGTCGAGCGTGACAAAGTCGCGGTCGAGACCCGCGCCCCCACCGCCGCCACCCCCGGCCGAGACCGTGGCGTACTTGGACGGATCGAGGCCGAGGCACTCGGCTAAGCGCGACCGATCGGTGCCCTCGATAGACTCGCAAAGACGCTCGACGGGCGGGAGGATCTGGAGCGCCAGGTAGTGCTCGTAGTCGATCCGCAACTCGGTGTCCTTTTTGCGCAGCTCGTCCGGGTGGTGGGCCCGCTCGGCCTGGGCCGTCTTGGTGGAGCTGGTGCCGTCCTCGCCCAGGCAAAAGATGTAGGGGATGACGTCGCCCATCCGCGCGCTGCCGCCTCTGGCCTTGAGCCGCAGCGCCACCTGAACGTGCGGCTGGGATTTGCTGTCTGGGTAGTCCTCGGGGTTCTTGCCCAGGCGCTTGTAGATGATGAAGTCGTCGAGGGCGATCTGGCCGGTGCGGATCTGTTGGCCCATCTCGGAGAGGTAGTCGTGGATCTGTTCGACGACGGTCTCGGTGGCGCTGCCCGAGAGGATCTGGCTGAGGACGTAGTTGGAGACCGTCTTGCTTAGGGCCGAGTACTCGCGGCGCTTCATGTCGAGGCCCTTGATCTCGGTCGTCTTGCGCCCGGCGTCGTCGACGAGGACGGCGGCGTACTTCTTCTTCTGCAACAAGAGCATACGCTCGAAGACGCCGTCGATGTCAATCTCGAGCAGGCGGTAGCGCTCGTTGACGGCCTTGCGGAACTCGTGGCCGATCTTGATGGCGTCGCGGTACTCGGTGGCGTTGGTGTTGATCATGACCGAGTCAGTGTCGCCGTAGATGACATCCAGCAGCATCGACTCGGCCAGCTCCTTTGTGGCCGTCAGGATCTCTCGGCCCTTGAACGTCGTCAGCGCCGCCAGCGGGCGAGCGTAGAAGCGCGAATTCTCAAAGCCGAGGCAGCCGTACATCGAGTTGGCCGTCAGCTTGAGCGCGAGCTGCTTGATGTTCCACTGCAGCAGCTGCGACGGCGTCGCCGTGCGGTCCTTCATCAGCGACTTGACCTGCCGACGTCGCTGCACAAGGCCAGCGATGATGCGTGGAAGCACGCCCTGGTCGACATCTGAAGACGGCACCTCAGGGATCTGGTCCGGATCGCTGGCGGAAGAGGCGGTGGCGTTTGTGGTGGCAGTGGTGTCCGCTTCGGCCGTCGGCGAGGCCCTGGAGCTGCCGCCGCTGCCGCCCTCGGCCTCGACGTCCTCTAGGCCCTGCGTCGGCGGTCGCTCGACGGTGGTGAAGTCGATGTTGAACTCCTGGATGATCGAGGGGTAGAGCGAGTTGAAGTCCATGACGAGGATGAACTTGTCCCAGAGTCCACGCTTCGGCTCGAACACGAGACCGCCCTTGAACTTGTCCTTCTTGCTCGAGGTCGCCGCGGCGTTGGCCGTTGCTGCTGCCGCCGCTGCCGCTGCGCCGCCTCCGGCCTGCTTGGAGGCCTTGGCCTTCTTGGCGGCGACCGCCTCGGCGATCTGCTTCTTCTCCCACAGCGCAATCTTGTCAGGGCAGATGTACTTCTGGCGATGGAAGTCGTGGAGCAGGATGTACTCGTTGCGTTCGGCACGACCGCCGTTGAGCGTCTTGTTCCAGCTGTTGCCGGCGAGGTTGGTAAGCTGCTTTGTGAGCGGGAGGATCTGCACCTTAGCGGCGATGGCCATCTGGAAAAAGGTGTCGACCTCGCAGTGGCGCACGAAGGTCAGCAGCCGCTCGGGCGAGGGGGCGAGCGAGTCAAAGTACGACGCCGTCTCGTCCGGGTCGATGTCGTCGCGCTGGATGCTGAGCTGGGTGCCGCACATCTCGGTCAGCGACCAGGTCGTCGAGGCAATCATGCTCTTGGCATTGTCCGACGTCAGGTCGCACACCAGCCGGCCTGCGAGGATCTTGAGGTTCATGCCCTGCTTAAGCGTAGGCCACTTGGGCCGGCGGAAGCGGCCGATCCGGCTCCAGTGGTCGGCCCGCAGCTCCTTCATGCGGTGCAGCAGCACGTCGAGCGAGACGCCACCAAACTCGTGGCCCACGATGACGTCCGGATCCGTCAGCTGGATCTGGGCCAGCAGGCTGTTGAGCAGCATGCGCTCGTACTTGAGAGTGTGCACCTTGGTCTTGCCCCGCTTGGCCTCGGCCTCAAAGCCGGGCGGGAACATGCTGCCGAGAGGTCGCACCGCCGTGTAGATCGAGCAGGGCAGATTCTCGGGCGGGGTTGGGTCCTCGATCTGGTGGTCGTGCCAAGTGCGCGCGCTGACCGTGACCAGCTCGCGTTTATTCTCCTTGTGGTTGACCACGCTGCGCGTCGACAGCGACATGATGGTCAGCGGCGGCATCTCCTTGGGGGCGGCCGCGTCCGTGTCGAGCACGGGGCTGATGTCCTTGGGGTCGTCGATGGTCGTCTCGAGCTTGCACCACGACACGGGCGTGCCCGTGCTGAGACTGGCGTTCTGCACCTTGAGCCAGCACGGTCCGAAGATGCGCCGCTTGACCACCAGCAGCTCAAAGGCAGAAGTGTTGGTGCCAAACGCCTTGGAGAAGGTGCGGCCTTTGAAGTCAAACGGCAGCTGCGGCTCATCGAAGCCATAGCGCACCTTGAGGTAGTGCGACTCGGACGGCACGCCGGCCTGCTCGAACGCGTACTTGCGGCTGACCCACTTGGACAGGAAGCGCTGGACGCCGTGGCGCTGCGAGAGCTCCTCGAACTCGTCGTAGACGTCGTCTTCGCCGACGGGGCGGTCGGTGAGGTGGCCGTTCTCGAGCTGCCTCTCGCGCGGCAGCAGGAAGACGCAGCGCTCGATGCCGTTGACGGTGAGGCAGCAGCTGACGAAGCGTCCGCTCTCGCGATCCCGCACCTTGCCCACGAGGTAGACGATGCCCTTTTCGCCCTCGAGGTAGTCGAGCCAGTAGAAGTGGAGCGTCCGGCCGTCATCCTCAAATGCGCGGATCTTGCCGGAGGCAAGGTTGGAGCTGCCCGCGACGGCGCCGGGGGTCGTAGCGGCTGGACCAGCTCCCTTGATAGCAGAGGTGGCGCCGTTGGTAGAAGGCCCGGCTCTGCTCGGCGTCGATGACGAAGCATCCATCCCGGCGGTTGTGACATTCTTGAGCAGGTTCGTGTGGACCGACTGCCAATGGCTGTTGGGCGTCTTGATTCTGCCCTCTCCGCCCGCTTGTGGTGCGGTGGGCTTGTTGGCGGGCTTGGGCGTCGCCTCATCGTCCCCAATAGTGGCCCGGCTTAGCTTCGGCGTGGCCTTGGGCTGCGGAGGCGGCGCCTTCTGGCCGAGCAGGTTGACGGTCTTGGCGGGCGCCTTGCCCACCGTCACCTTGCGGATCGAGATGTCGCCGTCCTCGTCGTCGCTGATGGCAAGAACCTTGTCGTCGACGCCCTCGGCCCGCCTGTGCTGGTCGGCAAAGATGTCCTTGTCGTCGTCGGCATCGAGGCCGAGCGAGCCGATGCGGCGGGGCAGGCTCCTGGCCGCCCCGCGCGCCTTCTTGCTCGAAGATGGCGTGTCGTCGCCGCCGCCGAGGTCGAATGGAGGGTCGCTGCCGAGGTTCGGGCCCCACGGCGGCGTGTCGCTGCCGGTAACGTGGACGCTGGGGGGCGCAACGCCGTCGCTCGAGGGCTGGAGCGAGTCGCTGGTAGCCGGACCAGTCGAAGGGCTGGAGAAGCCGCCGGCGCTGCCGAGCTTCGAGGACCGGAAGCGACCAAATGTGTCGTCGTAGTCGTCCTGCTTGCGCTTGCGCGCCAGCATCGATGGAGACGAGATGCGAGCTGCCGGAGATGGGCTGGCGGGCTCGCCGCTGCCGCGAGAGGCGGATGCCGCGTCCGAGCCCTCGAGGTTGCCCATGAGCCGCGCCATGAAGTCCTCCTCCTTTTCCCTGCTGACGGCGGGGCGGTAGGCGTCCATGGCATTGCTGCGCGAGGCGGCAGGGACAGAGCGACCGACGCCGGCTGGCTTCATGGCGGCCTGTTTGGTGAAGGCGGCCGATAGGCTGGATTTCGAGGCTGCTGCGGTGGCCTTGGAGCTTGCGCCCTTGGCGTCTGCCTTTGCCCGTGCCTTTGTGCCGCGCTTTGGCTTTTTCCGGCCGGTGCGCTCAAAGTAGTCCTGTTCGTCCTCTGTGTCTTGGCCGTCGTCGTCCGAGCCGTGTGGCTTTGCCCACTCGTCCTGGCCGTGGTCGACGTAGCCGCTGCCGTCGTCGTCTTCGATGAAGTCGTCCTCCATCATCCTGCCGCGGACGATGGAGCGGTACTCATCCTCTGAGACCTCGTCGTAGATGGCATCGTCGTCTTCATCGTCCGAGTACAGGCCGGCCTTCTGAGAGGGTGGAAGGACAGTTCAAGGGGGCCTCGGGTGTCAGCGTCGATGCGACAGGGGAGAGGATGCGCGGACGCGGCTCTTACCTTTGGGACGGGGAGGCCGTCTCGCTTCGCCTTGAGTGCTGCGAGGGCGTTGAGCTTCTTTGCTCTCGCCGACATGGTGTGTTATGTGCGTGGGTGGTGGCCGCGGCTGCCGTTTGTTGGCTGACCTGTCGGAGCGGGAAGGATATCTGTGGCCTGGCGGGGCGGAGCGCGCGGCAGCGAAGTCTGTGGAGGAAGGGGGAGGGTCAGGCTGAGATGGAAAGGGATAGGTGCGAAGAGGCGTGGAGTTGTGGTAGCAGTGTGGGGCTCGATGTGGCAGGAGGCAAAGGAGGTCTGGTGGCTGGGAAGGCGGCGTGGCCAAAGGGGACGAGGCGCGGCGTGGGGGCATCGCGGCCTCATACCTGCGTCAGGCTGCCTGGCCTGGGCTGGCAGGCAGGCCTGGCGCGTGTCGCTGTTGGATTCCATCAACGCGACAACGGGCTTTGGGGAGAAAACGCGTCGGTCAGCCGGCGCGTCTTTCAAAGTGGGGACAGGGGAAAGAAAAAGCGCAGGCCCGCCTGGCCAGGCAGGGCAGCAGGCTTGATTCGGCCGACAAACCACAGATGGGCCGGGCCTCTCTTTTTCCGGGCGCTCGGGCCCACAGCCGGAGCAGCAGCGGGGCAGCCGGCGCGAGTTGGAATTCAGGAGGCGTACGTGGCTGCTGCAGGCCTGCCAGCCGCCTTGTCAGGCCAGGCCTGACTCTGGCCCTTGGCCAGCAGAGCAGGCAGGCAGGCAGGCGGGCAGGCACCGCCCGAGACCAACACCTTCTCTCTGTGCGCTTTCATCCGAGACACACCACCTCGCCACCGTACCTTCACACAATTGCTTGCCTGCCTGCCTTTCAGCCCGCTCGACCTCACATCCTCTGCACCGCTTCCACCGGCCTGCTCTTTTTCTCCTCCTCCAACATCAGCAGCACCGCCGCATCTCTCTCGCATACAGCCACAGCCGCTGGCAGCAGCCGGCCGAACCGACGCAGCGCTCCGGCTGCCCTGATACTCGCTGCACAGCCTCTTCGCCACCTTCTCTTACCACCCACGCCTGCCGGCTCTTCCGACGGCGGCGACGAATCAGGGCAGCTCACTATGGATCCGACGTTCGCCTCACCACCGACCCAGTCCCGCTTCTTGGGCGAGGAGCTCGACTTTTCCAGCCACGGTCACCGAGCGCATTCCCGCCACTCGTCCCTCGATGATGGCGAAGACGGCCTGGACGGCCACCACGATGCGTTCGCCACCTCGCTGTCCAGCCAGTTCTCCGACCTTTCCGGCCTCGGCGGCCATGCCGGCGACCTGGCTAGCGAGCTAGCGGGCGGCAGCCTCGCCTCGGAGCTCTCCGCCGAGCTCGAGCTGGACCACGACGAGGACGAGGAGCAGCTGGGGAGGGGCACGGCGGGGTATCCGGATCATCGCGTCGGTGACTACAACGGGCGCGAAGGCGATGGCGACGCAGATTCCCAGGGCGAGGGCTATCGGACGCCGCCGAGGAGGGGCACTAGGCGGAAAGGCGGCACGAGGACGCCGGGGCCCGTAGCCACCTTGGCCGACTCGCTGGCGGCCGAGCTCGACCCCTCAACACCCCAGATCAAGCAGGAGGTCACGCCCATCCACTCGCCCTCAATCCTCGACACGCCGCACCTCGACAACTATACCTCGAACGTCCACGAGATGGAGGAGTCGCTCCGCACCACCCGCCAATTTCTCGACCGCCTCCGAGGCGTCGGATCATCCATGCCGTCCTCATCCGCCCACGCATCAGTACCAACAGCGACCGCGGCAGCGGCGGCGGCAGCAGCGCCGTCTTCCTCATCGTCGGCCCTCAACCCTTCGGCGCTGGGCGAGGACACGACGCACATCGAGCAGTCGGCCGCCACGTTGGTGCGATCGCTCTACGACTACGCAAACGAGCGCGAGACGCAGATACGCGAGCTGCGCGAGATGCTGCGGGCCTTTGGCAGCAACGACGCAGACTGGCTCGCGGCGCTGGCAGAGGTGGACCCGCTCGATGACGACGGCCAGGACGGCCAGGGCAGCGGCCCGGCGGCCCCGCTGGGAACAGGGCCCGTCGAGCGGAGGACGGTACGGAGGGAGGACGAGGACTTCCTCGGCTTCGCCACGCCCCTGCTTCCTCGGCCCTCGTACGCCTCGGACCGGATCGATGAGGTCGACGACGACCACGAGGAGGATGACGACGATGACCCGTTCACGAGCAGCGGTCGTAGCCGACGACGCCGCGACGCCGACGGCCCTTCGCCCCACTCGCCCCTCGCAACGCACCTCACGCATCTCCTCACGACGACCTCGGGCCTCATCACGTCGCTGACGACAATACATGAGCATAGCCAGATCTCAAAGTCGGCCATGAACGACGCCGCACGCCGCCTCCGCTCCATCAAGACGGTCATGACCCAGTGGCGCCAGGAGCTCGACGGCGTCGAGAGGAGCAGGGAGCTCATCGAGCGCGAGCTCGCCGCTGCCGCGGACGGCGCTCGTGGCGCTGGCAGTGGCGCTAGCAACGGTGCTGGAGCGGGGGCGGCCGCGGCTGCGGCTGCGGGACAGAGGCAGGGAGAGGTCGAGCGGCCCAAAGACGTCAGGGCGTGGACCCGGGATCAGATGGATGGATTCGGCAGCTTGCTGGAAGAGGCGGAGAGAAAGGCGAGGCTCCTCCTCACACCCGTCTCGTTCCAAGTGGCCGTCTAGATGGTTAGGAGAGGCGGGCTCGTTGCAGTCGACCGCGAGCAATGGGGTCCTGAGTCACCGCAGCGCAATGCAAGTCAGCGAATCCAGCAACGTAGCTGTCCGACCATGCATGACCATCGATCGAGCAGCCGCACATCTGCGCGAAACGGCGTGCCTCAAGGTGGCGTGATGCGGCTCATGCGCGACCCTAGGTCGAGAGGGCTGCGTTCTTGTGGAAGTAGTACTGCGGCGGCCAGGGGAGGGAGCGAAGGCGTTTGGTGAGCGACGGCCGCTGCCACCACCACTCGGCAGAAGGTATATCGACGTCCTCGCACCAGGGCGGACGGCCGCGCGGAGGGGGGCAAACTCACCACGAGAAGGTCCATCTTGTCCCTCTGCACCTCTCCCGCCTTGGCGAGGATGTCAAAGATGACGGCGTACTCGCCTTTTAGCTGTCGGTTGGCAGCCGTCAGGACCTCGACGGCAGCCTGCCGCACGCCCGGGTCGGCATGATGAATGGCGTCGTGAAGCAACGATGCGACCGTCGGCAGCATGTCCTCGATCAGCTCGGCGGGAAGCCTCTCGGTCAGCGTCTTGAGCGTCGAAAGACCCAGGATGTACACGCCTTCCTCGGCAGATGGGCGGGCCGTCGACGACGCCGACGAGGAGGGCGAGGAAGACGAGGTGAGATGATGTGCGGTGCAGGATGCCGTGGCCGAGTAGCCCAGCAGGGGGTCCGTCGACGACGCCCACGCAGACAGGACGGCCAGGCACGCCGTCATGCCCTTCCAGTTGGGCTTGGCGTTGCGCTGCCGCAGCGTAAAGCACAGGTCGAGGAGCTCCGTCTCCTTGGAGCATGCAACGAACAGCGGCTGCTGGTTCTCAATGAGACGGTGAAGCACCACCAGACCCGCCACCTGCAGCTCGGACGCCGGCGTCGAGAGGACAAAGGCAAACAGCGCAGAGAGGAGCCGCGTGAACAGCTCATTGTCCTGCCACAGCTCCACCGCGAGGTCGGTGTCGCTGCCGGAACGAGCGGCGGCACGGCCACCAGAGCTGGAGGAGCCGTGGACCGACTCCTCGGCTTCGCCCATCTTGGCCAACCCCTGGGCGCCGCCGCCACCGGCAGAGGACGAGGCGGGCAGGCGTCCTGGCCGCAGCACCGGTTCGTCCTCGGCTGCCTCGGCGCTCGACACTGCGCGACGCGGCACCTTGAAGTCGGAGCTGAGGCGCAGCAACCGCTGGAAGATGCGCCGATCTGCCTGTCCGCTGGCGAGCGCCGCGATCCATTCGGCGCTCTCGGGCTTCGACTTGGCCGGCGACATGGTTGTAGCGGCGCTCTCGAGCCGCGCGGCACGGCTGAGGAACCACTTGTGCGGTCGGTCGGTCGTTGTCGTCTCTGGTGCTGTCACTGTCTCAGCTGGCCCGAGCGGACGGTTCTCCTTGCTCGATGGCGAGACCGGCGCGGCTGCCGCCGGTGATGCTGCGAGCATGTCGACCGACTTGCTGGCCCGGTGCTGACGGTGGACCGTGTCGACGCTATCGCCCGCTTCGCTGCTGGACGCCTGCTGGTCCTGGCTCGACGTGCGGTTCGACAGCGGGCTGGGCCCGCGATGGAACATCGAGGCCGGCCGCGGCAAACCGGACCGCCTCTTGGCTGTCCCTGGCGTGCTAGGTGACGATGAGACCGTTGGGGAGTGCGGCTCTAACGGAAGCTGCGTTGCGGACACGCTGCGGCTCGGCGGCCCTTGCGGCTGGGAAGGTGCCGGACGTCGTGACGCAGGTCTGGCCATAGGCGTGTCCATGAAGGCCATGCTGTCGTCTCCGAGGCCGTAGGCGCCTGCGGTGCCCGTGCCCTGACCCGGCAGGGAGCGGCCAGGCAGCTTGAACGGGCTGTCGAAGTTCATCAGGTCGACTGAAACGTCCGCTGGGGCGGGTAGCTGCATCGTCTCGTCCTCGTCCCCCCCGCCGCTGGCAATGCGCTGCGTCACGTCTCCTTCGTCATCGTCATCGTCCACATCGGCGCCAACGCTGTCACGGCTGTCGTCGAGGTCTTCATCTTCTTCCTCCTCGCTCGGCTGCATGTGCCTGCGCTGGCCGGAGCCGTTCGAGCTCGCCGACGGCGTCATTTGCGCGGGTCCACTGCCGTTGGACGAGGTCGAGATCGCCCTCTGCCGCAGCGATTGCAGGCTGGCGGGAGCACGCGGCGACACGTAGGCGGTCGGCGACCTTGGTCCGGAGCTGGACCCATTGGACGAAGGCTGAGAGACGATGCTGATGGTCCTTGGCCGTGGCGTCGAGGCTGAAGAGCCGGGCGGGCTCGTGGGCAGCGGAACTTGCGCTGCCTCGGCCCTCACCAGGCTGCCGCTGGGGCTCATGGCGATGCCGTTGGGCTGGTGAGAGAGGTTCGTGGAACGACTGAGCCCGCTAACGACTCGTCTCGCCCGAGGCGTGCCTTCGAGCGGGACGGCGATTCGCTGCGACGGCGGTTGTCTCGTCGCCTCGGACGTGGCCGGCAAGGCTGAAGCCGCAGCAGCAGCCGCTAACCGCGCCTCGTGAGCAGCTGCGGCCTCTTCAGCCATCTGCCTCTCCCGCTCCTGCGCCGCTTTCGCCGAGGCAGCTCGCTTGGCGGCCAAGATGGCGCTCGACGGTCCTCCAGGTCTCCGAGTGGGGATGCCTGATCCCTTCGGCTTGACCTCGATCGCCGCTTCCAGATCAAGTCCTGGGGGTGCCGACGCCATCACCTGCTTCTTTGCTGTCGTATCGAGAGCATTGAGCAGCGACTTTGCCTCGGCGTTCCACACCGCGAAGAACTTCCAAAAGGCCTCGCGGGACTTGGACCGCACCTCTGGATTCTGATCGCACAGGCCGCGGCGGAAGCACTTGTCGAGGATGTCGAGGCCGCCGTGCGATTCGATGCTGTGCTTGCGCTGCGGCACATGGGCGGCCAGCACGACGACGAGATGATCAGCGCCGGCGATGCGGGTGGCCACGTTCTTCTCCTGCAGGCCGTGCCAGATCTGCTGGAGGTAAAGATGCCGGTAGGAGACGTGGACGAGGATGGCAGCGGCGGCCTCCTGCGTGGCGTTGGCGATGATCTTCTTGGTGAAGCCCGCCATGCGCATCAGCGCTGTGAGGAAGCTTTCGACGCATGGTGCCAGGTCGTCGCCCAGAGCCACCGCCAGTTCCGCGAGGAGCCCCGCGGCATGCATCGATAGCGTGGTGCGGAGGCTGGCAAGGGACTTGAGGATGCCTTCCTGCAGAAGGCGGACGCATGTCACGAAGTGCGCTTCGCCGAACTGGCGTGGGATGCCGGCCTTGATCATTCCTCGCATCTTGATGGTGCTTTGCTCCCGCTGTAACCAGTTGTGCTCGGTCTCCTTGCCTTCGAAGAAGGGCAGGAAGGATTGGAAGGTGCGCTCCAGGTCGCTGCGGGAAGCGACGTATACAGTCTTGATGTCGTCGGATGCCGGCAGCGCCCCCCTGCTCCACAGCGACGAAGGTGTAGATGTCGATGCCGATGCTGATGCTGCAGAGCCGTCGACGGCGGCTGACGGAGGGTGACCACCTTGGCCGCGCGACGAACGCAATGCAGATGCGCCGTTGGACGACGCCCCGGATCGGTCGACCGGCATGAAGCCCATCGGTTTCGGTGTGGGCGGGTCGGCTGCTGCTGAAGGTAGCGATGCTGGTGGCCCTCCTCCCGCAAGCACCTCGCGCAGTACAGCGTCAAGGACCTGCTTGCGCACGCCCTTCTTCTCGAGCTCCTTCTTCAGCTCCGACTTGGCCCCTGATGTGGCGTTGATGAAGAGGGCGACGATGGTCGTGCGAGACGCTTCCCTGACCGACGGGTCGGCGTCGGCCAGGAGGTCGACCATGTACGGCAGCAGCGGGCGGACCGGGTACCTCTCGCACAGCTGACGCAGGGGCCCCAGAACCTGCACGGCCTGCTCGCGGACCCGTGCAAACTTGGCCGCCAAGCCGCCTTCGCGGAGGAGACGCTCGAAGATGCCGAGCGCCGACTCGACCTCTTTGCCCTTTCCGCTCGAGGCTAGCTGGGCACCGCTGACGCCGTAGGCCGCCCGCCCGAGCTCGACGAGTGCGTTCCTGGCTGCCTCGCGGATCCGCTCCTTTTGGTCCCCGAGCTTCTCAATGACGCTGGGCGTGACGCTGCTGACTAGCAGGCGCACGTTGTGGTTGACGACGTTCTGCGGTTCCGGATGCTCGAGGTTGGGCGAGACCGGGTAGAGGAGTGAGATGTAGACCGAGAGGAAGAGGAGGGCGGCGCTGCTCAGGGCCTGGTTGGAGCTGCGCATGGCCACCTTGACCGCCGAGGTGATGGAGTCGGCTTCGACAACCTGGCAGGGCAGGGTAGATCAGGGAGTCCGGAAGACAAGGTGAGTCAGGGAGGGCGACGTCGGCACGGCGGGCGAATGCTGATGGTGGCAGAAGCGAGGTCCGGCACTCACATAGCCGGCGGCATCTATGTGCTCCTGTAGGGCATGGAAGGCAGCCACCTTTTTGTCGTGATCGATGTTGGAGTGAATGCGCTCCGAGAGCTCGTAGATGTGGTCCGGATCCGCCATGCTGACAACGGCTGGGACAGGAAGAGGGGCCAGGTCGGCCGGATGCGCCGACTGCGGACTAGCGAAGGCAAGAGACCGAGAATGAAAGCAGGACAGCGGCGAGAAGTCTGATCGCCTTTCGTGTGGCCGCGCTTCAAAGCTGTGCCGAGGCGGGTGCCTGAGGTGCCGGGATCGTCGCGCCAGGGTGTGGATCGAGCCAGGTGCGGTACGGATGACGTCCAGCTTCAGCCGTCGAGGACCAGGTGTGCTCGCTGAGGCGGCGATTGTTTCGGGCTGAAAGTTTCAGAAGCGCCGATGCGGTAGTATGAAGTGGTGTAGGCTGCGAGGACGACGGGGTGTTGGATGTTGGATGGTGGTGGTGGTGGTGTTGTTCTCTGAGAAGGAAGGCCCAGCCAACGCGCGCCACCGCCCCATTCGCCTGCGCCAGGCCGGGGCCAGGCCTGCCAGGCCCTGCTGCCGCCCGCTGCAGGGCCTTTCTTGGGCTGGCCTGCCCTGGCCAGGCCAATTCGCGCGCCACGACGCCCAGGCCGCCTGGCCCGCATTTCAAAGCCTCGGCCTTCGGATTTCGGAGAGCCGAGACGCGTCCTGCGCCAGCGCGTCCAACCGCCCGCCGCCGCCTCCCTTTTCTGGCCCGGCCTGCTCTCGCCACCTTGCTTCGTGCCTCCAGCGTGCAGCCACTTCGACAACGATCAATTTCTCGAATCTTCCTTCCAGTAGAACCACTCGGTCGGCATCGGATCAAAGACCGGGTCGAAGGCGATCAAGTCGGCCTCGCTGTCGTCGTCGCGGCACGGCTCTGGCCGGACCACTCGGTCGGGGGTGTCGAGGTGCTGGACGGGCTGCATGTCCTCGCCCGTCGTCCCTAGCGTGCAGCGATCATAGTAGTCTGTGGCTTGGCGGCGCAGCAAAGCCACGTAAGCGTGTCAACTTGGAGTACAGGACCGCTTCAAGGCCGCTAGGGGCATCGAGACTTATGCTCGACGCCGCGAATCAGGTCTCGGTGGCCATCATGGAGGAAGGCCGTCCGAAGCGTCTGAGAGAGAGGAGAGTCGAGGCGCACGGTTTGTAGCACAGATCGGAGAGCTCGATGCGAGGAACGGATCTGATAGGGAATGCAGGTGAAGGCGCAGGGCGCTCGATGTGGGATGCACCGGCGCCCGGCGAGGATCGCGAGGATACAGGGTAGGTGGGTACGAGGTACATGACGGCTAGATCGGAGCGAGGACTGTAGGACGATCCATAGGAGCTCAGTAGTGGATCTGATGGTGCGGTGACAGAGTAAAAGACAGGACGAGATGCGGGAGCGGAGAGAGAGAGTGCCATCACGGTCGGAGGCGGAGATGAGATGGTACAGGGCTGGGCGAGTTGGGTACATGGGAGAGAGGGAGGACGGTCGTCGTTGTATGTCTGTCGTCGAGCGAGGGGCGTCTTGAGGCGGGATAGTGACCTGGACGAAACGGGACGTCCAAATAAAAAGGGGGATTTTTTTGTCAGTTTGCCAGCGGGGGAAAGAAAAGGTCTATCCGCAACTGCAGACAGGGCACATCGCTGTGCAGGATCTGGCACATTTATTGTACAGCTGGCCAAACTGGGCTCGATTCTGAGGCTAGCCAAGCCGGGCCACATTAGGAGCTGGCCAGGCCGGGTGCTGACAAGTGGTGAGCAGCCAAAGACTACTCACGGGATGGATCAGAGCGGGTAGTCGCAGTCGGAGCTGGGATGCTCGTCGCCGCACTTGCTGCAGATGTGCAGGCGGTCGCATCCGGGACACTGGTTGCGGTTGTAGCGGCGGCAGATCTGCTGTCGGCGCGGGTGGCCGCCAACAAGGGGGACAAGACGGGGAGGGGCCGCGGCCTGGATCGGGCGAGCCATGGCGAGAGGGCCGCCGCGGCGGAGTCGGATGTCGGCGAGCTCGTGCGCAATGAGGTTGAGGACGCGGGGGAGGTGGTCCACGACGGCGGCTTGTTCGTCGAAGCGGGCCTCGAAACGTCCAAACGCGTCCAGGTGGCTCTCGAATCGACCATGCAGGGCGTTATGCCCGTCCTGGAGGTGGTTGACGCGGTGGTCGGCATTGTCGGCCCGCTGCTGGAGTGCATGGACCTGAAGGGCGAGTGCGGCGAGCTTGTGCTGATCGTCGGTGCGCTGGCGCTGGCCGCTGGGCTGAGTGCTACCATTCGAGTCGCGGCGGCGGCGAAGACCGTTGCGGGACGACGAAGGACCGGCGGCCGCGTTGTCGGCTGGTTCGACATTGCCGGCTTCGGGGGCGGGCACGAGGTCGGAGCTGTCGCTCCAGCCGACAAGGCGAGCGAAGTCGTTCATGATCGACATCCTGACCTGCAGTTCGACGAGGCAAAGATGGTTAGATGGACGTCAGCACGGCATATCAGAACGCTACAACAGGCTGGTGCGCTTACCTCTGGTCAGCGATGACGAAGACGAGGGGCCTCGGGACGGGAAGGCGACGAGGTGGACCGGGAGGGGGACCTGAAGACAAAGATGAGGAGAGATCCGAGGAGGGCGACCGGGATGAGATAAGAGAGGGGCCAGGACGGGGATGGGAAGGACGAGGGGTACGAGAGAAAGAAGAGGATGGAGACCAGGAGGAGAGCGCCTTGGGGGTTGGAGAAGGAAGAAGGAAAGAAGGCGAGCAGATCGAGCTATTTATGCCTTCTTCGGACAGGTTGTCAGGGCGTCCGCCAGGCCAGAAGGGCGCTCTGCCTGGGCCAGTACAGCGCTCAGTCTGGGCCAGTAGGGCGCTATGTCTGGACGCACTGCACCGGTTGAGACGACCAGCGCATCGAGAGAAGAGAGCACGAGGGGGACAAAAAGCCAAGGCGAGCAAAGGAGGCACACTCTACGGCTCGCATACGGGATCAGGGGGCCTGTGCAGGTGGCTTGCAGGCTGAGTCCAGGTGTATGGACCACGTTGAGGCCACCATCCAAGCGGCGGATCACGTCTGTGTACACAGCCATGGATCAGCGACCTCAGATGGTGCGTGTCTGGTCAGCGTTCATCGCCCTTTGCACTTACAGGCTTGGTTGCCGTCGATGGCGCCACGGTCTTGCCGGAGCCTGCAGTGCACTACCCCTGTCTCTGACGGATATTTCCGCCGATCCTCTCATTGCTCTACGATAGAGGCGAGAGGCAGGGTGAGAGGCCGGCGCGCCCAAGATGTACCGTGAAAGAAGGTCAGGGAAGCGCACAGAGGGGCAAAGGGTACGGTGGCGAGAAGAAGGCGGGAGTCAGTATCTGGTGCGGATGGTGCCACGGTGCCATTTTCTCGAGGGGCTAGCTTCTGCCTAGCCGCCTGCACATCCGCGCTGCCGACGTTTTGGCGTGCCTGCATCCGTTGCAAGGCAATCCCGCTGCAGCTCAAGCCCCTTGCTGCCAGCCACACGCTGCTACGCCCGTGCACGTAGCCGGGCGTTGACAGGGAAAGCACCCCCTCGTGAGCTCGAGTGGCGATCATGAAAGGCCTAGCACAGGTGCGTCGCCACCGAGCTGTTCGTTTCACGAGCAAGAGCATGCTATTTCAGCTGCCGCATCGGGCAAGATGAGAGAGGCTTATCAGGGCACCAGCATGCTTCGCCCGTCGTCGAGCGTGCTTCGAAGCTCTTCGATGCACCAGATCGCCCTCAGGGGCCGGGCACAGCGACCCCAGCCGGTGCAGGAGCGAGACGGAGCGACACCGATGCAGGTCAAGGAAGGATAGGTGTGAAAGCTTCGGCGGGACGCACCTCGGCGACTACGCAGACAAGGAGGACGTATACGAGAAGGAGTCGGCGACCTGGGCTGCGAGCTGGGCTTCCAAGCGCTTCGACGCATCCCTGCCTCGGCGGCGTCGATTTCACGGACGATGTCGAGCAGAATCGATGAGGCTTGGAACAAGTGCAGGCTCCACGTCAGCCGTTGCACGGCATCATGCTTTTATCCGTCCTCCCGGACGAGGCGGAGGAAGTGGAAGGCGGGCGAGAATGTTTTGGAGGCCGAGGTGAGCTCGATGTCCTTGTGCCAACCCGGACGCGGAGCCGAGGCCATCTGCGGATGATTTTGTGCTGCTTGGCAGTGGCAGATAGGCTTGGTGAGGGGAAGCGGCTGATATGGTAGGAGCGGCATCGCACACAAGGTGGGGAGCAAGGGCGCGGCCGTCGAGAGCGGACTGGGGCTAGGGCCTCGCAAGGGCTGGTGCTGCTCGTCGACTGGGTGACTTGGGCTGGGTCGAGATTGGGATTGAATCGCTCATCGTCCTTCCTGTTGCAAGATGTCTCGTGGTCGGGCGCGGGCGGAGCCGGACTGGCCATTTCGGTGGCGTATTGCTGCGGCAGGAAGCATTGCGAGGTTCAGTCGATGGTCTGGGTGGCTCTTTGTGTGGGTTCAGCCATCGAGAGCCGGCCAGCGAGTGCGCGCGACAAGCTTGCCCGCCTGCTGCCCGCCTGCTGCCCGCCTGCTGCCCGCCTGCTGCCCGCCCCGCCAAGGTCGGAAGGCGATCTGGGTTTTTGGGAGGCTCTGTCGGACCCGACCCCCAACCAAGGCCACCTTCCGCAACCCTCGCCCATTTGCCACCCAGCCGCTACCCACGCTGCACCAGCGACGCACTTCTCGATCTTGCGGCCCTCGCTGAACCGCTTCCATCCTCGCGCAGCTTTCCCTCGACCGAGTTCAACCCCGCCCTGCTTCAGCCATGCAGACGATCGAGCTCGATTTCTGCGCCTTCACGATCTCAAGCGACGAGCTGGTCCGTGTCGTTGAGCCGTCCTCCTTCGTCGGCCTGTTCGACCCCGAAGATCCTCGCACGCGCGATGCCGAACCATACGATGCGTGGGTCTATGTCGGCGAGATCGACAGGCACTGCATCCGCGTCCCCACGGAGTTCAAGCAGCCCCTCTGCAACGCAATCAACATGCTGCCTCGCGGCGAACGCTTCAAGCCTCATCCCGACTCGATGCTGCTCTCCTGCCTCGACGCGTCATGGGCCGACAGCCCAGAGTCCGGGTCTTCTTGGCACTCTGACCGCATCACGGCCCAGCAGCTCGTCGAAGCGCTGCACTCGGCTGCCTGCCCCAGGCTGAGGGTGTCGACGTCGGGCGACGATGAGCCCGCCCTTCCCTTGCCCCAACCAGAGCGACTGGTGGAGCGCGATACCGTCTGGATCTTTCGCACCAAGATCCTCACTCGAGGAATCACGGCGCTCAGAGCCGCTCCTGGAGGCGCAGCGCACACCTTTCCCGGATTTGGAGCGCTAGGCGAGGGATTCGGCATCGTCGACATCCCCCTGCCCTCCCGAACGGACGGCATCTACCAAGTCCGAGTGGGTCAGACCTTCCTTCGGGGCATTCCGTACGTCGGCGCTCTGCCGGATCAGACGTGGGACGACGACAAGGTGAAGGATGTCTTTGAACAGACCTCGCACAACTTCAGCGAGTGGTTCAACCACATCGAGATGTGGTGGCCAGCCTGCGCACTGTCGGGCGCCGCCGTCGAGGTCTTTGTGCGCGCCGAGTCGGTAGAGTCGGCAAGGCAGGCAATCGCGGCATCGGGGCTGCTCAACTGGCACGGTCTCGTCCAAGGTCGGGTGACCGGCTGCCCACTCGAGACACGCACCTTCTCGAGGTACGCTTACCTTTGGCACATGGGCAGGGCCAACGGCCTGGCACACGACGCGTGGGAGTCGATGGAGACATTCGACAAGGCCGAGGCCACGCGCATCCTATCGCGCCTCTTCGAGGCCATCAGCTACATCGTCCCGCTGCAGAGCCACCCCTCCGGACCTAAGCTCTTCGTCGGCGTCTAGTTCGAGGCTGGCGCGGAAGGTCTGAAGCATCACTGCGGAGACGTGTAGCCGAGGCAACGGCGCTCGGATCGCCACAGCTCGGTCAGACACCACCACGAGGCAGGCCGTCGAACTCTCCAGCGGGAGAAAGCGCGTCTCAGAAGTCTCTCTCTCTCTGCTCCCCCCTTGCCGACTGTTGCATGGCGACGCGTTGTGATTGCAGGAGATAAGGCCCGCAGCTGCTCATCCTGTGTCCGTCGTCCACCCGCCAAACGGATCGAGCCTGTGACGGATCACGCTCAATGACAGGCGTCTCCTGAAGTGGGCCTGCGATGATGGCGCCGGCCTGTGACTGTCGATCGGCTATTCGGGCGGCAGCGGCAGCAGCGTGAAGTATGGGAAGCCCGACGGCGGGTACCTGCAAGGGTCGACGTAGCCAATCTCGGCGTAGAGTCGCTCGATGATGCGAGTGGCCTCTTCTCGGTCGAAATCGCCCATCTGAGCCGTCGCCGTCCGCGACCTGTCCAGCGATTCGGAGAAGTGTTCCATGTACTGGTTCTTGCGGATGCGAAGGGTCTCGAGCTTGGATCCCGTCTGTCGGCCGGTGGTAAGGTCCTGCCAGTTGCGCAGGCCGGAGGCCTTGATCGCGCTCTCCGCGTCGTCCAGCGATGCGGCTCGCACCCAGATCTCGACGATGACACCCGCCAGCGTGCACTCGGAGTTGGACGTGTCGGTTCGGAACTGCCACCGCCCCGCTTTGCTCAGAGTCTCGAGATAGATGTCGCGCTCGTCCATCTCGTTCCAGTATGCGCGAGGGTTTGGCTCTGCGTAGCTAAGGGCATCCGGCAGCTGCGGGACGACACGGAGGTGGTAGATGCCGTCGGCCCTTGCTGGCAGAACGATGTCGACCAGCCCAAAGCCACGCCCGAGCTCGCCCATGCCTGGTACGTTGTGTGCCGTGCCGCCCGACTCGGCCCTGACCAAGGTGATGCCTCGAGTGAGAATGCCATGACTGATCTTCCAGATGTTGTTCGCGCGGGCTGGGTGCGTCATGTCAATGGGAAGGCTGCCTGCGAAGCGTGACACCCTCGAAGAGACCCGTACATGGCTGCAGCCGACCCTTCGCAGGGCCTCGACGAAATCTTGCAGGGGGAGCGACGGGACGCTCTTGTACGGTTTGGGGTCGTTGCTGAGGAGGGGTGAGGCCTTTTCGCTGGCGGTGAGGCCGAGGCGGAAGGGTGGTGAGTTCAACGTGCCGAAGAGGGAGTGCTTGAAGTTGGGGGGAATGCTGATCCTCGTGAAGTCGAAGTCGCTGAGACCGCCGATGTGCAGCCAGCTGTCGAACGGGTCGATGTCGGAACCAAACCGGCGACTCTGCCCCGGAAAGTGCTCGAAGAAAAGGACAAGCTTGGACTTGATCTCTAGGCGGAGGAAGTAGGTGGGGAGGGCGCTGAAGGCTTGGAAGACGAGACCTGTTTTGTTCATTGTGGAGGATGATACTTCATGCGAAGGGCGACGGCAGGGAGAGGGGCTTGGTGTGGCTGTTGCCGCTTGGCTGTGGCAGACAAGATAACAGGGCGAGCGACGTGGAGCAGTACGAGCTGCTGTGGTGGCGAATGGATAGGGGCAAGCGATCGTTAGGAAGGTGGCACCGAGTGGCAAGGAGGAGACGTCGAGTGGTGAGGTGGTAGTGTTGGGTGCGGTGGCGAGCGAGCCTTGAAGCCCGCTGCGCCGCTCTTTCCACTTGAGCAGGCTAGCGCGCTCGACGACCGCCTCGCCACGGCATCGCCGAGCTCCTGCTCGTTCGGCGGATCCGAGCACTGTGCACCCCCACTTGTCCGTGCTGCCGTGGTCACCGGGCCACCACTACGGCAGACTGGCCCTCGTTTGTCAGCTTCTGGAAGACGCCGATGCATGCCGTTACCTCTCGGCGCTGTTGCCTTGCTGTCGACGCCATCGGCCGTGCGTCGTCGGCGGGCAAGCTAGACACGCTGACGATCGAGCACCGGTGCCAGCTAGGTTCGAAACGCCACCGCAGCCAACCGTCTGCTGGCGAGCTCAGCAAAGCACCGCCACGCCCCGCATCCCAGATCGACCAGAACCACGTTCCTCTCCCGGCCCGCAGCTGGCACCTGTGGGCGCGGACAAGCTGGCGCGCCTCGTCAGGGATGGCTACTTGCCCGAGAAGGAGTTCGACATACCGCGTGTGCAGGCAGCGCGCCGAGACCGAAGCTAAGCTCGAGTCGAGCACGGGCGACGAGGTTGAGAAGAGCGAGTCGTTCCTGCCCGCTGTCTTCTTGAGATGATGCAGTCATGGCTGTGCAGAAACAGAGGCCTCGGTCCCGTGGAGGCGAAGAACGAGCGACCGGCGAGACGGGATCACTGCTCAAGTTCAACGCCGCACAGACGGAAGACGAGCCGGGTCGGGACGATGACTTTCTGGATTGATCGTGGAGCGAAATCGAGGAGCTGAGTACGAGGCAGGACGCGGCGAGGGAGGGCCGCGGTCACAGTCGACCAGAGAGAATCAAGATGAAGTAGTTGGGCACGCCCATCGGCCGCCATCGATTGGCGTCGACCGAGCCGATATCTTGCTGAAGGCGCTCGAGGATGCCAATGGCCTGTTGCACGTCGTGTTCGCCGATAAGGGATGCGGCTCGGTCCGCCCTTTCGATTGCAGCGGCAAAGTGGGCGAGGTAACGTTCCCTGGGCACCGTGATGCACTCGACGCTGTGACCGGTGAGCTGTCCATCCAGCAGCGGGCCCCATTGCATGAGCCCCGACTTTTTGACCGCCGCACGCGCTTCTTGCAGGGTGACCGCCTTGACGGAAAGCTCGATGGATGCGCCCGACAGCTTGCAGACACGCTGGCGCTGCAGTGACTGACGCCAGTATCGGCAGGCATCCGCCGCTATGCGCGGAAGTTCTTGAGCTGGGCGGAAAGAATCACGAGGGTGTGAGTCTGCCTGGTAGCCGCCGAGTCTTTCGACCAGGTTCGGCAGGAGGCGGACCTGGAAGATACCGTCGTCTCGAGAGGGCAATGCGAAGGTGAAGATCCCGAAGCCGCGACTGAGGCTACCCAGCATAGGCACTGTCTGGCCCTCGGTGCTTGCTCCCCGGAAAAGCGGAATGCCGCGAGTCGAGACCTGCGCACGGAACGTCCAGACGTTGTCCGTTCTGGCCGGATGGGCCATGTCGGCGACGAGAGCAGGCAATGGTCCCAGAACCACGATCCTGATGTGCGTGCAGCCGACCTTTTGCAGTCCGTAGACGACCTCCAGCACAGTCACGCAAGGTCGCTTTTGGGCATGCTCGCTCTCGATGGTGGGCATTTCGACCGAGCGAGACGAAGGGTGACGGAGCGCGACGAGCTTGTGGAAGAGGGGCTCCTTGAAAGCGCGTGGAACGAGGATAAGGCTGTTGCTATCATGTCGCTCGCAGAATCCGACTGTGACCCAATCCAGAAAAGCGTCGAGGTCCGGGTAGACGTACGGCCGGCTGTCGCCGACCAGGTCGACGCTGGCGCTCGAGCCCTCGGTGGAGAGGAGGTGCTCTGGCGACGCGCTGATGGCTTGGAAATGGAGACGATGGAGTACCATTGCAAATTGATGGTCCGGGGAGGGGTCCGAAGAGCGATGCACGGCTGGTGGGGAGGAGGTCGCGAGACGATGGAGTTGGTGGTGGTGCGGCAAAATGCCGTTTCGGGTGCTGCGTTTGGACATGGCTGCCCGCGCGTGCCCTCGCCGGCGGGCACGACAAGCCTCACCGCTGCAGGGAGGTAGAGCACAGGACTCGGAGCCGCACTTGTCAACCAAGCCTTGGGCCCCAGATCGGCCTGGATCTCTGGACGCTTGCCGAATCGGGGTGATTTGCCAGGCAGGGCCTCAATCGTAACTGGGTCGGGCCAGGGGCGCAGGTGCGAGGTGGGCCGGGGTCGGTAGGCGGGCGATCTGGCGGACAGTAGCACTACACAGCTTCCCACTAGCGCCACCCACAGGTACGCAGCCTTCGCACAAGCCTTGATTCTGCCTGCTATGCTGATTCGGGAAAGGAAAAGGCGCTTGGATGCGGTCTGGCCATGATTGAAGACGCGGATCCCGATCTCATAAGGTCACGGCACAGAACAGGATCTGATCGCTGTTGAGGGCGCATCCTCCTTTCCTGGTCTCCGCGGGCCATCAGGCGTTCCTGGACGCCAACAGGTTCGCTTTCGACGGGAATTTGTATGGGTCAACGTAGCCTATTTCTTCGTAGAGTTGCAAGAGAATGCGGGTCGCCTCGGCGTTGTCGAACCGTCCCATTTGCCTTTGAGCTCCCAGAGCCGTGGCCAGAGCTTGACCGAAATGCGCACGGTAGGCAGTCGGATGCACTGTGCACACCTCGAGAGGGACGCCGGTTTCTTGTCCCTGGATGAGGCGTGGCCAATTGAGCAGCCGCGAGGCCGCAAGAGCGTCCCTTGCTTCGTCCTCCGTCTTCGCTTCCACGTAAGCCTCTATGATGGTCCGTGAGAGCTTACAAGGCAGGTTATCTTCGAGCTCTTCCTGCCAGTTTATGGCTCTTCGAATGGCAGTGTCAAAGAGGCATTCGCTGTCGATCCTTTCGATCAGGATTGCGGATCCTGACTCGACTTCTCGATAAGCAAGGACGTCACTGAGGCCCTGGGTAATGCGCAGGCGATAGACGCCGTCGCTCCTCGACGACAATGGCAGATCCACCAGCCCAAATCCTCGACCGAAGGCTCCAAGGCTCGGAAGCGTTTGCGCCGGGGTGTCGGGGCCGGATCGTACCAGCGTGATTTCCCGCGTAAGGACGTATATGCGGAAGACCCAGATGGTGTCGAGACGATCGCAAACATCCAGACGCGCCAAGTCCTCCTTTGACTGCGTGTGGAATGAGACCAACGCCTGGAGTCTCACTGCTGTGCACTTGATGCTCTCCAGAGCGGCAACAAGGTGCTGAATGCTGGGGCGCACCGCTTGAGGCTGCCATAGGGCTACTCCTCCCGAGCTGGAACCGTCCGCCGTGGACATAAGCCGCTCATGCTGCGAAGACAGCCCTCGTTGGATCGCAGCGAGCGCATCCAGGAGCGGCTGCTTGATACCGGGGGCGATTGAAATGCTGAAGCAGTCGCTTTGGGCAATGCGTTGCCATGACGCGTAATGCTCGAGATCGCGGGAGGGTCGGGGTGCCCTCTCGACAAGGCAGAACCAGTCTCTCGGCTTGAGCACCTTCAGGAGATTGGCGGGCGAGACGGTGGAGGCGCAGAAATCGTATTCGAGCAGGACCATGGCGCCGAGCACGGTACGGTGGCAGTAGAGAGCGCGCTAATGCGACAACGGCTGGTTACGGTGGAGGGGCGAAAGGCGCAAGGTGTGAATGGGACTTTGCAGATGCCCGATAGGTTTGGCGATGTGAGGGGTGCAAAGGTGTGGGAGTGGTGGCGATGGCAGTCACGGGGATGGCGATGGTGGTGGTCAAACGAGACGCTCAAAGCGGTTCACCTCGCCCTGCCTCTGCTCATTTGTGCTCGGGTCCTTGCGCCCGCGACTTGGCTTTCCGCTCCGTGACGAGGAGTTTGTCAGCCTTTCCGCTCGGCTTTCTCTTCGCTTCCCAGCTGATCTACCGCTGGCTGGCGGCCAAAAGCACACGCGCGGGACCGTGATCACAGGCAGCTCGCAGGCGCTTCAGGAACTATGACGCAGGCCAGAATCGCCAACAGGTTGCCTCGTGCACCTCATCGCTCGTACTTCTCGCCATTACCTCTGAGAACGCTCACCTAGCTGTGGCACTGAAACAGGGGCCAAAGGGCCAAGGTGAGATTGGCCCGCTGTGCTCAGGGCGTACAAGCCACGCCGACAAGCACGGTTTGCCAGGGCCGGAGCGCAAAGGGCACTCGGAATGCGTGGGAAGGAGGAGAGGCACGGCGGGAATGAAGTGGCGCTACGACTGGTCGGGGCCGGAAGACTGTGCGATCACGATGCTCTCCGAAGCATTCCAATCACGAGCAAGCATGGCAAGGAGCCTGTCCGGCTGGCAAAGACAACGAGGTTGCGACGATGCTTGGAGGCCTAGAACAGCTAGAGTCGCGCTCGCGGAGGTCCGACACGCAGCTCTTGTTGACCGCCGGCGAGCCCCACGCCGCTTGGTGGCATGCGAGACGGAAAGGTGAGCGGTGGAGTCGGGTCTCTTGCAAGCGATGCTGTTCTGGAGAGGAGCGGGGAGCGCGAGGGGCAGCGACACCCAGGATCGAGGCGTACTCCGACGCAAGACCGAGTCAATGAGCGGCGAGCCGTGGCATCGGGACAGATCAAGGCCGGGCGACGTGCCTGAAGATCAGATGTGCACGTCGGAAGTCGCCATGCAGGAGGCACAGAGCAGCACGTCGAAAGCCGTCGCGTCAAGAAAGGCAGGGCGGCATGTCGAACATCGTCGATACGCGGCGGCGGAGCAGCGCGTCGAAACGCCGTGGCCCAGCTCAAGAGGCGAGGCGACGGGCGACTTCAGCTGGCGAGCCTGGCCCGTGTCTGCGAAGCGCCTGGAGCACGAGCGCGTATCGTGAGGCAAGCGGCACGGAACGATCCTTCGTAGCGGTTGTCGGGAAGCGAGGGGTCGATGCTTCGCTCGTCGAGGTCTCGTGATCGGCTGGAAGAGGGGTCGGTCGCGGCTGGGCTGGATGCAGAGGACTTGTCCTGGAGGCTGGTCCCGACGCCATTCCCCCTCGGCGGCGGCGTTCAGGCCCGTCTTGACTGCAGATCGCTCATCGGCTTGTTGCGACGGAGTAGCAGCCGGTCAGTGCAACGCAGGCTGCTTCGACGTTGTCGGTCGGCCTCGTGCTTGACGCGCGCGATTATGACTTGCTACCGGCCGCAAGACCGGTGAAGCTGGCGCTTCGAACAGGCTCACGGCGCAGCGCGGAGGAAGTCAAAGGCGTCGATGCCGTGCGGGTACGCGTAGGGATCGACGACGCCCAGCTCCCGGTAGAGGCGCATCGTGGTGCGCTCCGCCTCGTCCCTGCTGATGTCAGCCATGCCGGCGAGTTGCTCCCAGATCTCAGTGGTGACGGCGTCAATATGGGCGGCGTAGGCGTTCTTGCTGATTTGACGTATCTCGAGGGGAATGCCAGTGGGCCGACCTTGGATGAGACGGAGCCAGTTGAGCGCGTCTGACGCTGCAAGCAGCTGCTTGGCGCCTTCCAGCGTCGAGGCTCTGACGTAGAGCTCGACAGAGGCCCCGTAGATGCTGCAAGGGGAAACATGATCGGTGATGCAGTCCCGCCAGGCAGAGGCTCTATGCAGCGCTTCTTCAACGAGCTCTCTGCAATCCTCCACGTACCACACCGGCCCGATGTCCGACTCGAACTCGCCGAGCTCGCGCACGAGCGGCTGGACGACGCGGATGCGGCACAGGCCATTCCCGCAAGCCGACATCGGGATATCGACCGCGCCAAAGCCGCCGCCAAGACTACCGAGACTTGCGAAAGTGAGCGCTGCGCTGTCGGTGGGGCCTCGAAGTAGCGTGATTCCTCGTGCGAGCATCCTCAGGCTGAAGGCCCAGACTGGGTCGGCAGGGTTAAGCTCGTGCAGGTCGAGCAAAGTGGAGAGCTTGTCCCACAAGACATGGAACCTCATCGTGTGGCAGCCAATCTCCTCAAGAGCCCTGACAAGGCCGAGCGCGCTGAGCCCGGCTGATGTCCTGACGTCGTCGTCGGGGTGCCCGACCCAGGCGAATGACGTTGCGGCTGTGAAAAGCTGCAGCTGCAGCTTGAGAGGGCCGGCAGTGAGGTTGTCGTACAGGGGCTGCTTGAACTCGGGCGGGATGCTGAAGTGAGCGCAGCCACGACATCCGATCAACGTCCAAGAGCTGAACTCGTGAAGGTCAACGAACCGAAATTCGTCGCTAGGATCGAGGTAGACGGCCTGACACGCCACGGGCTGTTCGAGGAGACGAGACGAGGGTGCTGTAAAGGCGCAGAGCAAGGGTTCGACGAGGTCCATGGTGCTACAGCTGAGCGGAGCGAGGCGGTGAGGGTAAAGCGGAGGTGCAGCTGAGCAAGTGGACGAGCGCGATGGCGACGGTGGCGACGTCGGTGGAGGCGGTGGAGGCGGTGGAGGCGGCGGCGGTGGTGGTGGTGGCGACGAAGAGGGGATGGAAGGATGGTGGTGGTGCAACGGCAAGTCGTCTCACCCGCCACCCGAGCCGTCCTTGCCCGCCTGGCCGTCTCGTCAGGCCTGCCTGGCCGCGCCCCGCGCCCTCCAGCTCTTCTTTTTTTTTCTCTTCTTTTTCCCTGCCGCCTGCTCGGGCAGTCCGAGCACCTGCAGCGCTGCCCACCACTTTGCCCGACTCGCCCGAGATGAAGCCAGCTCACACTTTCGAGGCTCTGCTATCGACTGCACTCCGCTCCATCTGCCAGTCTCGAAGCGTATGGGTGTCGATGCGACGCGGAATCGAGCCGCTGCGTCGCCAGCGCGACGCCAGACGACGCTGTCATCGTCCGGATAGATTCAGGCTCCTCTTGAGACTCTCAGACCCTGCTAGTCGTTAAAGCTTGCCGTCACGAGGAAAGAGCCGTGGATCGAGTTCGGTGAAAATCGTGAATACAAAGGACAAAGCACGCTTCGCTCGTTACACTGAAGGAGGAGCCGATCCCTCCAGAGCTGTTCGACGATCGAGCTGCCCCAAGTAACCCAGCTCGAAACCGAGGCGCATGATGTTACGTGTGGCCATCGCCTCGTTGAACCTCGACATCTGCCTGCGCCTTCGTCGTGCCACGGAAAATGCTCGCTCGAGGTGCCGGAGGTAGGCGTCCTTGCTGATCGTGCGCGTTTCGATGACGGCTCCAGTCACCCGACCTTGGAGGAGATGCGACCAACGCAGCAGGTCGGATTGTCGGAGGGCCTCTCTGGCCTCGTCCTCCGTCCCTGCACTTACGCTGACCTCGACGGCTGCTCCGTACAGGTCGCAGGCCGAACGACGAGCGATTCGGGCCTGCCATGCCATGGCCATGGCGATGGCACCGTTGTAGCTCATCTCGTCCTCGATTGGGCACCAGAACCTTCCGATGGCTCCCTCGAGGCAGGAAAGGACGTCTGTGAGGGTGGTGGAGATGCGTACGGAGTGGATCCCATCGGCCCGGGCCGGCAACGGGACGAGGACCATCCCAAAGCCAGCTCCAAGCTGGCCCAGGCACGGAAACGTGTGGACAAAGCTATTGCGAGGCCCTCGCAGCAGCGTGATTCCCCTCGTGATGACCTCGGCGCGGAAGAACCAGACCAGGTCACGACGCTCCAGAACGCTCGAGCCGGCCAGGGTTCGTTCGATCTCGTCGCGGCCCTTCGCACGGATCCTGATCGAAGGGCAATTGATCGTTTGCAGCGCCTCTACGAGCTGAGCGGCCGTGATGCTGGCGTCGCTCGGCGTTTCACGTGCTGCTGCGAGGCCGAGAGATGCGAGCGCACGAGCGTCGGAGCTGAGGTTCAGCATCGTCGCGAGGGACGCGCCGATGAGATCATGGGCGAGGAGCCGCTCGTGTTCCTGCGAAAGGTGGACGCAGAAGTCCTCGGAGCGAGCGATGCACATCCATGTAGAGTATGGGTCGGGCTCCATAGCTGTGTCGTGTCCGGAGGTGTGCAGGTGCACGTCCGACGAGGGGCTGGTCAGCCTCACGAGGTCGGGAGGCGAGATGGTGAAGGAGCAGGATGCGAGCTCAGGCAGCCGCGCGTCGCCGCGAAGCCAGTAGGGCATGGTGGGACGTCGAGGGTGCTGACGATGAGCGTTGGTTGGTGTTGGTTGGTGTTGGTTGGTGGCAATGGTGGTTGGCTCGGTGGTAACGGTGACGGAAGTGGTGTGTCAGTGGCGGCGGCGGCGGTGGTGGAACGGCAGCCTCGGTCGACCAGGCCCCCGTCCGAGCTGGACGCCGTGCCCAGCTCGCCTGGAGCAGGCCGAATTTCCGTGCTCGCCCGCTCGCCTTCCGCTCGCCTTCCCCATCATCTAGAACTGAGGCCAGAGCTCGCTATCGCTCTCTGCTGGCGATGGCGAGATATAGCAGCTCAAGCTGAGCCTCATGTCGGTCAGACTCGACAAACAGAGCGTCACTCGGTGACGGAGACCCGAATGCGTGTCCACGAAGGTCTCGACTGGCGGCAGGACGGCCAGAGAAGAGAGGTCGAAGCTCAGGCGTGCTCACGACAAGTCGAGCTTCGCTGCAATTCGAGTCGGTCGATGAACGTCGAGATGGCATCTCGCGGTAGGCGCGAGCTCGACGCAGTGTAGCGGGGAGCAACGTCAGCGCTTCGGTGGCGAGCGGAAGCGTGGCGACAGTACAGCTCGTAGTGGGAGGAGCATCGACGGCTGTTGGCGAGCAACGAGCGGTAGGGCGGGATTGGAACTCGATGAAGTCGGGACAGACAGCGGACTTGGCGTTCGAAGGCATCGAGCTGGCAGTTGCGAGCGAGACGTGGCGACAGTCGACCGCTGTTGCGTGGCCAAATTCGGAAGAAGGATCGCGGCGGGATCTCAGTCGAGTGTGCGGACCAAGGCAGAGATGGTGGTGCTAACGATGGAGAGGAGACGAAGCGGAGCGAGACGGTCGCTGGTTGAGGGAGTCAGTCAAGATGAGACGGGGGTCCGAGCGGGCCCTCTGTGGGCGTACATCTCGAGCTGCAGCAACCCGGCTCTCGGTCAGAACGGTCCGGGCGACGAGACAAAGCAGACTCTCAAACAATGTCGGGCTCGCAAAAGGCCGCGGGATCTCATTGTTGCAAGGTGGGCCGTGCCGAAACGGCGGGCCCGCCCATCTTCGAGTCTACTGCATGGTGAGGACGGCGCGGAAGCGGGCCTTGTTGTCCATCATGTGCTGGTAGGCCTCCTGCGCTTTGTCCAGCGGGAACTCCTCGACCATGCACTTGATGCCGAAGCGCTCCGAAAAGGCGACCGTGTCTTCGGTGTCCTGGGCGTGGCCCGAGGGCCAGCCGTGGACCGAGATGCCCTTGGTGATCATGGCGATCGAGTTGAAGGGCACGTCTCCGACGGCTGTTTCGGAGAGAATCAGGACGGGCATCAGGTCAGCGTCGACGGTTCGGGAAAACGCCTCTGGATACTGGGCGCAGCGTCGTCGCCCAACTCACGGGTGAGGAGGAGCAACTTGCCCATGGCCTTGCAGCCAGCGACGAGGGGCGAAATGACCTTGGGGTTGGGGGCGGTGGCGACAACCAGGGCGGCGCCGCCCATCTTGTTGAGCACCTCGACGGGATCCTCCTTTTCCGTGTCGATGTAGTCGGTCGCGCCGAGGTTCATGGCAAAGTCCTTCTTGTCGCTGCCGCGCGACAGGGCGACGGTGCGGTAGCCCATGGCGCGCGAGTACTGGACGGCGAGGTGGCCGAGACCGCCGAGGCCCTGGATGGCCACGACCTCGCCGGGCGTGATGCGGAGCTGCCGGATGCCGTTGTACACCGTCACGCCGGCGCACATGAGCGGGGCCAGCTGCGAGGCGGGCGCCTCGGAGTCGATGCGGACCGCCGAAACCGAGTTGAGGATGCAGTACTCGGCGTCTGCGAGGCGCGACGTGGCATGCGGCAGGAGAGGTGGGGAACGGGGAAGGTACGGAGCGACGAGGGCGAGCGGTTCGGGTCAGCGGGTCCATCGTGCCACAAGAGATGGTCCTGTGCACAGGCACCGCCCTGCTGGCACTTACAGCCGCCGTCGCGAGTGATGCCGTTGACCTGGGCGTTGTCGCACATCTGGAAGTAGCCGGATCGGCAGCTGCGGCAGGTGTTGTCCTGGCCACCGTGCCATGCGCCTCCGACGCGGTTGCCCTCCTTCCACCTGTCCTCCTCTGGGCCGACGGCGACGATGCGGCCGATGATCTCGTGTCCGGGGATGCGGGGGCTGTGCGGGGGGCGAGCGGGCAGCAGGGACGGAGCGAAGCGGCTCGGGGATGTCAGTGACACGAGGAGAGGAGCAAGGGCGGCGGCGACCGCGAGGGCGAGGGCGACTGCGTCGGCGACTCACAGGCCGCCCATCATGCCCTGTCCGGCAAATGAGTCCGAGTGGCATACGCCGCAGGCCTCGACCTTGATCAGGATCTCGCCCTTTTTGGGTGGGCTGAGGTCGACGTCCTTGACGGTGAGGGGCTTGTTGGCCTCGGTGAAGACGGCGGCCTTGCACGACTTGGGAAACGACATGGTGGTGGCAGCGAGACGGGGATGTACGAGGTGCAGAGGATGGTGGTTTGGCGGCGTGCAGTCAAGGTGGTGGCAGCAGTAGTTGGGGCCGGGAGAGAGGGTTGGACTTTGGCGTGGATGGGAGCGAGGGATATAAACGAGACGAGGCCGCCCGGACAGACAGCGGACAGCGGCCCGCAGCCAGGATGATGTCGAACGACAGCGCCTGGCCAGTAGGCCGGGTCCACCAGCCTAGCATGCCGCGAGAGGAGAGAGAGAGATAGAGAGATCGAGGGAGGCGAAGCGAGATGGGCCAGGCTAAGGCATGGCATGGCGTGGCACGGCAAGGCAGGGTGAGAGGAGAGCGGAGGAGAGCGGAGGAGAGCGGAGGAGAGCGGAGGAGAGGAGCGCAGCCGGGCCATCCGCCGATCCCAGGCAGAGGGCCGCGGCATCTCCGTCGTTGGCTTCGGTGCTTCCGTCTCTGCGCCTGGCCCTGGCCCAACGGGCTGCCTCCACCTCCACGCCGGGTCAGCCCGCTGCCGGCTGGCCCGCCCTGGCTCGCTGGCTGCACGCACACGCCCGCATCGGGAGCCGTCCCGATGGCGCGGGTCCGATCCGAAGCTGGGCCCCCGGACCTTCTCGTCTTTGGCCAGCCTTGACCCCCTCTGTTCTCACCCTCTCCCTCTTTCTTTCCCTTTCCCCACCCATCATCACCGACACCACCGCCGTCGTCGCCACCCCTGTCACTCCCTCCTTCCTGTCCCCACTTGCCGTCGCGGACCGCACACAATGACGGCCCACCACAGCTCCGCAGAGCATCGCGCCAACGTGTCCTCCTGACCCCACCATAGCTACCCAACCCCCTTGTCCCTGCTCGGCCCGCCCGGGTCCCGCCCCTTCCTTGTCCCGCCATCATTCGGTCTGCGGCCGGGACTATAGCCTCCACGAGGACCCCGCCTCCGCTCCGACATCGAGGCAGAGGCAAAGGCGCTCCTCGGTCAGCGCAAACGCCGGAAGCGACTGCGCTACAGCTGCACTCAGTGCTCCAGGCGCAAGCACAGGTGCGACAGAGCCACTCCTGCGGCTTCTGCAGCGAACGTGGAGTATAACACGCCTGCCACCCGCCAGGCGATGGCGAGGCAGATACGCAGGAGCGTGTGAGGAAGCTCGAAGCCATCCTCGCAAAGCTTGTAGTAGCACGCCACCAACTTGGCCAGTCCGACTCTCCGCCCGCGCCCGACCACGGTCCATCTCGCAAGAGGCATGACGACGAGCGCCCTAATCTCAGCCTCGCCCCGGCTCTAGCGTCGCAGCGCTCGACGAGCATTGTAAACCCTTCCGCGCCCCATGCCTACCTCGACCTTCGGTCCGCTCTCGACGGCCGCCCTCTTGCCCCTCACCCTCGCCTTGCGGGCGACGCCACATCCACCATTCCACCGATCCCCCCCGCCCCCGCGCACTCAGTCCACCTGACTCGCGCCAAACGGCACAAGAGCAATCCGCCAGTGGTATCGGCCACATCGACACCGCTTCGCATCCGGGTCGGCACCGAGGACATCGAGCTCACCTCGGCCTTCAAGGGCTACTCGCCCGCCGTCCACTTCCTCCGCCTGATCCAAGAGGACGGTCTAGAGACCGGCGTCTTGCAGCGGCTGATGTGGAGCCTGCCTTCGTTTCAAGCCCCGTCGGTCCTGCTCGACATCTTCTTCCGCGACATCAACGCAGCAGTCCTCTCCATCGACGAGTTCTGGCGGTGCCGAATCTCCGAATCGCAGCTGTTGAAGACGGGTATTGAGCGCTCAATGGCCAGCTTGGGCTGAGAGGCGGCGCATCCCACCGAGGCACCTAGGGTCGAGCACAAGTTGGAGTCTGCTTACCACGACTTGGCTCCTGAGGCTTATGACAGCCCTCTGCAGGTCGGAGCTGCCAGGATCGCTGCAGGTGCGGGCGGCAGTGGAAGCGGTATTACGAGTGGCAGCTGGAAAGATGTTGGTACGACCACCGCGGCATAGAGCAGCAGCAGATTTGGCACGTAAGGTGGCTGGCCGGCGAGGCGCAAAGGAAAGGGGAACAGGGAGCAGCACATCAGCAAGGGGCCCGGGTGACGCCGTCAAGGCAGGGACGCAGGCCACCACGTCCAGCCGCACTCTAAAGCCTCCGTCGATAGTCCACGAACGATGTCGGCAAAAAGCGACCCAGTACAATGACCCACCGAGCAGCAAGCGAAGCGTTTGGCCTCGAGAGGCTGTTCGAGCAAGCCAGGCGTGCGTGCTTTGGCCACGGAAGGCCAGAGCTGCGTAGTGCGGCGTCCAAGTAGGCGACCGGGGTGGTGGATGCATGGATGAACAGAAAGCGGCGGGCAGGATGGATGGACGGGCGGGCGGACGTTCGAGCAAGCACGGTGGTGGTGTGAGAGACGGGGACAAATGGCACCGCGGCCGCCTGCAAGTGGGCGCACACGCGGCCTCCGTTCCACTGCGCCGCACATCGTCCCGCTTTTGCCCCGCAACGATCACAACCGATCTGCTTCGAAGTTTTGATGCTGTCAGGCAGGGTCGGGCTGCGCCATGCGGTTATATGGCTGCGGCGATCTGGCTGGGGAAGGACCAAGAGCTTGTCGGCACAGACGTGATGGTGTGGGTAATAGAATGATTGCGTCTGCCCAACGGCTGCCCTGGAGAGAGGAGCGACGAAGGGAGAGGGATGTTAGAGAGGCTTTCCTGGTCCGACAGCGCCCAATGCGGCGCTCGACGGACCGAGGCGGGGAATATGGGGGACCGGGACGGGGTAGAGGCGCGCCAGGCCCGACGGCGCCCAATGCGGCGCTCGATGGTCCACGGCGAAACCGGTAGAATACAGTATTGTGTCGATGAGGTCGAAGGGGCTCGAATCGGAGGGGGTTGCTGCCGAAGGGACGACCAATACGACGAATGCGAATCGATGAGACCCATGCAACCAATGCGGGGCCACCTGAAGAGAGGAGGATGAGAGGCGCCTGGTCAGCCGGCTACAGTGGCAACGCACGGCTTCGGTCCACGTGTACTCACCCTTTCAACGGCCGCATCGGCCGCCAGGGTGGTTGCCAGAGCACTTATTGCACTCGTGAAGGCGCTCGCACCCCTGGCAGTCGCCGCTCTGGAAGAGCCAGCAGACCTGCTCGCCGAGCGGGATGAGCTGGTTCCTCGCTCGAAGTCGAGACCGGCGACGGCGGTTGGAGGGGCCGGCGACGGAATCAGGGGCAGGGGCTCCGGCGGGGATGGCGACCGGGGCTGCAGCGCGGGCGGCGACGGGAACGTTGAAGGAGACGCCGGCGCCGGGGGTCAGGGGGATCATGGCCCCGCTCGGATCAATTCGCACGTTGAAGAATCGTTCCGTCAGCAGCATGACAGCCCGCGAGTTGACAACGACGGCGCTGGCCTGCTCCTCGACTTGAGTCTCGAGCTGGTCGGTGCGGCCCTCGACGCGGTCGACTCTGTCCTCCACGACAACGACCCTGTCTTGCATGCGGTGAAAGGTTGCGCGGAGGTCGTGCAGCTCGTTGGTGATCTCCGTGAGCTGCGGACGGTCGCCGATGCGGCGGCGCTGTGCCGGGCGCTGGTCCTCTTCGTCCTCGTCGTCACGCTGGCGGCGGGTGCCGCGAGTGCTTGCGCTCGGGATGGCCGTACCGCCCGCGGCGTTGCTGTTGGCGTCGTTTGGGCCATCGCGATGAGCGCCGCCCTGTTGGACCAAAGAGCGGCGGTCGGGGGCAGGCGCGGCCGAGGGGTTGGGCGGATCAATGCTGGTGTCGACGGTGGCGTCGTGACCCATAGGAGCGCCGCTGCCGACAGCAGGCGCGGCCGAGGGGTTGGGCGGATCAATGCAGGTGTCGACGGTGGCGTCGTGACCCATAGGAGCGCCGCTGCCGACAGCAGGCGCGGCCGAGGGGTTGGGCGGATCAATGCAGGTGTCGACGGTGGCGTCGCGACCGATAGGAGCGCCGCTGCCGACAGCAGGCGCGGTCGAGGGACCGGGCAAAGGGCTGCGGGTATCGCTGGGAGCTTCGTCTGCCGATGAGCGGCGGTCGAGCGTAGGCGGGGTGGAGGGGACGAAGGCACCAGGGACGACCAGGTCCGCGTTGAAGGCCTCGCGGAAAGGGTCGCCAAGACCGATGACGAAGTCAGGAGTCGACGGCGTCGGGCTGGTGTTGGGGAACGGCAAGCCGTCCGAGGCAGTGGTCCAGTCAAAGAGCTTGGAAAAGCGCATGTTCTGGGTGGAGAACGCAAGGCGGTGGGCGTGAGTGGCGGCGTCACGGCTGACCGCTGACCCCGGACAGGGCATCGGCGACAGTACTCACGAGATTCGCAGAGGAAGGCGGGATGGAGGAGCGAGCGGGAGGCGGAGAGGAGGAAAGGGAAGGCGAAGATGGGGAGAGCCAAAGGCGGAGAGGAGAAAAGGGAAGGCGGCGATGGAGGAGCGAACGGAAGGCGGCGATGGAGGAGCGAATGGAAGGCGGGGAGGAGGAAAGGGAAGGTGGGGATGGAGGAAAGGGAAGGCGGGGATGGAGGAGGGAAGGGAAAACGGGGTCGGCGGGGGCGGGCTGGACCGGTATTTGTACAGCCCAGCGGGCAGGCAAACAGGCCCGCTCGGACCAGAGTTTCTGGCAGCGTCGGGCTCGACCCGGGAGAGGAATGAGAGCAGCGGAGGGCAGGAGCACGCAACAACACGGAGGCAAGCCGAGACCACGGGCGCACCGATGCGCTTCGCAACGCCGCTCGAGGGCCGGCTCGCTGCCCAGGTCGCCGCTGGTCCGTGGTACACGGCTGCTTGCAAGCACGGCGTCTTTGGCAGACAAGGACACCGAGACGCGCCCCGCCGAAGCGTCCCTGCCCTACCTGCACCGGCGTCGCTGTGGCTTGCCCCTGGTGGGCGAGCTGGTGCATGGAACGGTTTCGAAGCTCTCCCGACGACGAGCGAGACACAGCGTACCGGGTCCCTGCCCTGAAGCCTCCTCCTGTATCTCGCCTCTCTGCCTGCCCGCCTGTTGGCTGATCTTTCACAGAGTGAACTCTACACGTGCCGACTTTGTACCCCTCCTCGCGCCTATGCTGTAGCGCGAGACTACAAACAAGCTGCCGCCCGGCCGAGCGTCAATAGGATCAGCTCCCAAAGACCTGCGCCTCTGGATGGAACGCGTCGTCATCACGAGCCCACGCACCCCTAGAGCGGGCAGCAGCTTCTCGCCCGGCATGTAGGACGGGCGCGTCTGGCTCCTCGCGCCGTCTGCGTGACACCGAAAAAAAGGTGCGGTTTTTGCTCGCAAAAAGCCCAAACCTTTCAGCGCTTCCAGGAGCAGCAGGAAGCCACGCAAAATCGACGCAGACTCTGGCTCACCATAGGTCTGGAAATCTGGCTCGGTATTGATGGAAAATTGACGTTATGGACACGGCTCAAAGGTTGGGAAGAAGCGGGAAACGCGAAGTTGGGAGAATGGCGCTCGTTTCGGGATCGACGCCAGCCGGTGGTGGAGAGTGCGGGCGTGGGTCGGTCAGCTGGCTGGGTCAGGCCGCCGCGCTCTCTGCCGCCACCATCTCCTGTAGCCTCCACCATCGCCACTACCTCGAGCTCGAGCTAGAGATCTGCACCGCTACAGTCGCAGCTGCCCATCCTGCTGCCGTGCTCGAGCCGGCTTGCGAGATCCGCCTCTCTGGGCCCCACACGAGCACTTCACCCGATATGGACACGGACCATTCCTGGAACGCCTAGGGCCGGGCCGAGGGAATCGAGATCCACCTCCCGCCTGGGTCCAAGCAGCCGCTCCTCGAGGCGCTGACGGCACCGGCCACCGGGCTGCGACTGAAGCTCAACCTCGAACCGACCACGTCGGCCGACCACGGCAGCGTTGCTACGGTAGGCAACTAGGAGACAAGCCTCGCCGTTGGCACCTTCGTCGAGGCGCCCTTGTGCAGGTTCACTGCTCAGGCATCAGGATGTCGTCCTTTCTTTGGGCGTACAAGAGCCTGCACCCGACCAATGCCGGCCATCCAAGGACGGGCACGTCTGGGGCTTCCATTCGACGGTCCGCACGAGCACCATAGCCTTGATACGCTCACATCCGCGCAGCCCTGCACGGGCAACGTCGGGCCTGGGCGTCCTCGGCGACGGACACGGCATGGCCACAGCCCCTCGGAGCGCCACTCCGGACTGCATCCTTCGGAACCGCCTGAGCATGGCGCTCAGCCACCAGCTCTGCGGCATGAGCCGATGAGGCGTATCGCACAACAACTGCCATCCGGAACGCCTCGACAACGTCAGGATGTCTCCCGCCTCTGTCCGGACTCGTAGCTCCATGCTGATGGGCGTTGGAGTTGGCGGTCCGCCCCAACCCTTTTGTTTGTCGACGAGCTCGGTGGCGGATTAGGCTCTTTCCAGGTTCCGCTGCCGGCACGAACTGATGGCATCCAGCACACCCGGCTGCGCCCCGGCGTTCACCAAGTGAGGCGCGGTTTCGCGGAACAGCTGGCCCGCTTTATATCCACAGGACGAGGCGCTGATGCATCCCTGCCTCATTCCACCTGCCGCTCCTCTGGGTGCTCTCCGGTCCCCCTCACAGATTGGAATCGCCACGCAGCGCAGGGGTCACTCGGTAGCGCGTCTTCCACCGCGCCGGCGTCATGCCGACCGTCCGACCCGAGCCGCTCGTCAGGACGCCGCAAGACGTGGGCTTTGTCAGCGTCAGGTTCTCGACTTCCGACTTCTACGACCAAGCGCTAGTCTATCAGCCGCTCGTCGACAATGTCGACGGAGCTCACGAGAATCGCGGCACCAAAGTCTCGACTCTCTGATACGCCACCCCGACTCGCAGATTATGCCCGCGCTGCCTGGCTCACCTTTGCCTCGGCCCGCCGCAAGATCCGCCGGGCGACGAGGCTAGAACAAAACGTCGAGGCATCCCATCGAGCAACCGCACCACTGGACCGGGATGGGATTCCCGTTGCCGCTGTACTCGCTTTCTTCGTCGGCGGTGCCCTCGTCGCCCTCCCTGTCGCCGTCGAGGTCTGAGTCGACCTGGACCTCGGCCACCCTCGACACACCACTGCCCGCATAGTCCGAGATGCTTTCGAGCCTCGTCTCGCCCGGCCGCGAAGCACGTGTACTTGCATGTCTCGTCGAGCGACCAGTCACGTCCCGCCCAGCCGCCGCCGTCGCAAGCCTCGCCGCTGCCACTGCTGCCGCCACTGAGACCACAGAGGTGCGAGCGCGATAGCGTCGGACGCAGCCCAGAGGCGGAAAGGACCGACGACGTCGAAAAGCCCTGCTGGAAGACGCTATACGGCTGCTGGCAAAAAGGATGGACGCTGCCGAGCCGGGCTGGAGTCCCGGCGCTGGTGATGAACGAGCTCGACGCCGAGTACTGGGAGCGCGAAGACGACGGCGTTCGCGCGGTCCAGTGTGCGTGATGACTTGTTGGTGCGCTCACAGTCATATCACCGGCGCCGCTTCCTCCTAGCATGTCGGTCAACGAGGCCTGGGACACGGGCAAGTGGCAGCCGATGCTGCCGCTGATGTTGCCGGTCCCGTCGTTGACGCCCCTCGACATCTCCTGGTTGTCGTCGTGCTGAGATCGCGCCTTGGCCTAGCCGCCGGGATTCAGCACGGTGCCAGGGCTCGATGTGCTGCTGCTCGAGGCGTGGCCGGGGCTGCGGTACAGAGCCAGCTTCGGTCGACCACCCCCTTGCGAGCCGTAGACACCCGTTATCTGGCCTTCGCACACGGGCTCAGGGATGGTTCAGCGTGAAGACCACGGGTTTTTGCATGCGTCGTCACCGCGGTCGAGCGAGCCAGCTGCCTCGATGTCGCCGAACATGTCCTGAACCTTGGCCTCGCCGGCACCTGCAGCAACGGCCTCGCCAGCAGCCTGTCTCTTGACCGCCCTGTGGGAACCCGTCGCCGTCATACTCCGGCCTCTCCATGGTAACGAGACTGAACGATACGTTCGTCGATTCTGGGGCGATGCCGGACATGCCGAGCCGCACCTCCATCCGCTGGGCAGCGTCTATATTGCTTAAGAGCGGCCCCGACCGGCTACGCGAGCACCGCGTACCTCATCCGACTCGACGTGGCCTCATCCATCCTTCAACGTCTGACGGCGGTCGCATTCTGCCGATGCGCTCCTCGGTACATTTCGCGCCGTGCCTTTCCTTCATCGACGAGCATGCAGATTTGCGACGCCAACCTGCCACAGTCGCGCTTGCAGCTGCAGACGCTTTTGTGGCCCGTCGGATGGCAGAGCGAATCCCTCGTCGCGGCAAACAATTTTGCGGGCTATCGTGTTCAGGGTTCTTCACCAGCCAAATCTCTTTTTGAGCGGTGGCGCCTGACCACTGGGGCTTATTTTAGGCCGAGTTCTTTAGAGTGGTTCGCCAAACCACTGGGGGGATTATTTTAGGCCGAAGTCTTTAGAGTCCTCCCCCCCGGTGGCCCCCTCCCTTCTCAGCTGTGCTTGCTGGGTTAACGCCGAGGCGCCTGACCGACCGATGCGCTCTTCTCGGGCACCAGAGCAGGCGACTGGCTCTGCCGGCCCTGCAGCTGAAAAGAAAAACCACGGGCAGGGCACGCCAAATCCGTAAAATCCAGGGGTTTGCGGTATGTCCGGGTCGAAAATGGGCTGGGCGCCGGCGTGGTGCGCCCAATCCTCGAGGTTAAGTCCGGAGAGCGATGGCGTGCTGGCCCCTATCGCCGAGGCTTGCGCCATTTTCCCGGACTTTGCACACCGAGGACGCTGTTATCGCCGGAAAATCTGCTTAAGCCCGTGAAACTCCCGGAGCTAACAAACCGTCGAGGCTGTATCTCCGTGCGAGATGCAGCCACGCCCACGTTTCCACCGGAACTCACCTTCTCGTAAAGTCCGGACGAGCTTGCCGGAAGCCCAAAGTCCGGGCCTCCGGCCAAGGTCCGGACCTAAGCTCACCGAAGAGGCCGTTAGCGCCGAGAATTCTGCACTAAGTCCGTGAAGTTTACGGAGCTAACCGTACCTCCGGGCCGTTCCCGCGTCGAAGCTACAGCGCGGCCGCTCGCCCTCGACCCATTGACCCCGGGCGGACCAGTCTGCCAAAGGCCCGGGGAGGCGGATGGACCAGATCGAAAGGTACATAAACCTGTCCAACCCCCCTTCCCTTCCTTCCTTCCCTTCCATTCCATCAGGAGGCCGCCAGCTGGCAGAGCCCCAGTGGTTGGCGCACCACTCTAAAGAATGCGGCCTAAAATAATCCCCCAGTGGCTGGCGACCACTTTAAAGAACTCGGCCTAAAAAATTCCCCAGGTGGCTGGATCGCCCAAGTGGCTGGATCCCTCTAAGTGGCTGGCGAGCACTCTAAAGACTTCGGCCTAAAATAAGCCCCAGTGGTTTGGCGCACCACTCTAAAGATCTCGGCCTCAAGAATAGAACCTGTAGTAGGGACCAAAGAGGTTGTCTGTGGTTGACTGATACGAACCACCGCTTGCAGGTTAGCCGGTAGTGGTAGCAGCCAAGAATCAAACGAGCACCTCCGCGAAGGCCCGCGAGTCAGAGCCCTTATGAGGAGGTCCAGCCAAGCTTGCGCATGGGCTGAGCGGATCATCAGTAGTATGTATCCGCGAGCTCGACACTTGGGATCGAGTCCGCTGTTCGACTGATGCCTCTGCGTGCGGCTTGCGAGGAAAGGGGGATGGGTGCCGGCCGGGCTGCTGGAAGGGAAATCCGCAAAAGGCGCCACGAGACTGACGCCGCGCGCGTCCGCGGCTGCCTAGGTGACCTAGGAGGCGCGTCCACTGAGGCAGACTAAGCCCCTTTGACCGCATGGACGGGCACGAGGATGGCAAAGGCCGTACGCTCCGCAGTGTACGAGCGGCTCGCATGCGGCTGCGTCGGGTCGGGACCACCCCGCCCCGCCCGTGCTCGCAGTCTGTCCGTCCTCGAAAGGCCGTCGCGTGGCTCGCTGTTCGCACTCTCGGTCTCCCGATTCCGCGGGCCCGACTCCTAACCAGACCGGACGAGCCGGAGCTGGAGAAGCGTGCCTCGGCACTACAGGTTCCATCTCGCTGCGGGCATGGTCGAGTCCACGTCGTTCCGCAGGCTGAGAGGGTCCGGCTGGTGCACCCTCGGTCAGGGCCGCCACTTCCGAGCGTGATCTTCTGCTGGCGTGTGATCTCTTCGCCAGGTCATTTGGAACCTGGAGCCTCGTGCAGCGGCGCGACGGCCACCTTGCTGTTGGCACGCCTGCAGTCCGGCTGGCTTTCGAACGCGTCCGCTGCTCTCCTGGCATCAAGGGCCCATCACGCGCGCTGACGCGTTCGCCTGATCCAGTCCTCCCCCTGAATGAACGCGTCGGACGCGGTTTCTGGTCCCGCTCGCTCTGATTTTCGCCATCCCGGGGGTACAGCCCGTCCTCAGTGGAAGCTCGGTCAACTGGCAGGCCCTGACCCTGCATCCTCGGCGATACCGTCCCAACCTCGGAATTCTATCGGCGATACCGTCCTTGAGCCCCGGTGTCCTCGGCGTTACCGCTCTGAATCCTCAGCGTCTCCGGCGATACCGGTCCTATTCTGTGATTTCACGGCGATACCGTGCTATCTCCTTGGTCCACCGGCGATACCGCTGCCATCCCTGTAATTCCCCTCGGCGATATGGCCTCCATTGCGTGATTCTCCCGGCGATAGGACGCATGCCTCGGATTTTTCGGTGCTTAGAGCGCTATGGCGCCATTTCTTCGGTGTTTAGACGGATCTGGGCCGTGATTCCTCAGGCTTTGGCGATCCAGCCCATGTCCGGGGGTACGTCCGTGTTACACGCGTTGCTCTTTCAGCGATTCGGCCAGTCTCCCGTGGCTTTCACGCTTTCTCTCGCTCTTTTCGCGCTCTCCCGGTTGTCTTCGACGGGGCGGATCCTCCACGGGGCCGGTCTGGCTCCCGCTGTTTTCCGTGATCCGCATGCCGGCTGTGTCGTGATTTCGCAGGCGAGGCGGATCGCGTCCCGTCGCGTGCCCCTCCCCGCTGGCTCCGTCTCGCTCGCCACGCTCGCCTTTCGGCCGAGCAGATTCGGAATGCCCGGCACCCTTCCTCGCATTCTGTCTGCCCTCCTGACTGCAAAAGAACTCGATCCTGGCAGGATCCGGAGTGAGCAGCAAGCCATCCAAAGAGCGGATCGTCCAAGTTGAGCCGACGCCGTGATGCGCCTTGGTGCGATCGTGATGCTGGACAGCCAGAAACGCCAGGCGCGCCTCACAGGGGAAAATTGCCCATGGGAGAGGCGCGTTCGCCACCTTTCCCCTCCTCCACCATCATCGTCTCCTCCTCCGCCGGTCCCGTCGACGGTCCCACCGCCGTACCGACGTTGCTGCCGCCACCTCTTGACGCTATCATCACCTAAAACCAGCACTCCCTGTCCCACTGCCTGCGCCCCGCTTCACCTCGCCTTGCCTCCCTCGCCTCTCGCTCTCGCATCGACCAAGCACAATGGCTCCGCTTCGCGCCACGTTTTGCGCTTTCACCAGCTCGCCCACAGAGCTCCTCAAACTGGTCAAGGCTGACTCTCTGATCTGCTTCGACCCTCCTGAGGAGTACGTGCCTCTCGACCTCGAAGAGTACAGCACCTGGGTCGAGGTCGGTTTTCTCGAGTCCTGGCTCATCCGTATCCCGCCACCGCTCTGCGACCAGACCGTCTCTGCCCATTCCGTTCTGCGCCTGGAGCTGCTTCCTGCTGCGACATCTTTTGCCCGCGTCGACGGCTCCTGCTCCCATCCATTCGAGACCTACAAGCTCACAGCTAGCCAGCTCGCCGAGGCGCTTCAGCAGGTCGCCTGCCACTCCATCAGAGTCAAAGTCTCCTGGCACCACGCCAGCTCTCTGGCCTTTCTGGAGCTGGCACACCACACCGACATCATCTGGGCGTTCGAGGTCGATGTGGTCACCCGAGGCATCACGCTCCTGCGCGGTGCCAGCAATAGCGCGGCGCAAGTGCTCCCGAGCCTCGGCAGCCTCGGCGGCGGTCACGGACTCGTCGACATCCCGCTCGCGGCACGTCGGGAGGGCGTGTGCCGTGTCCGCATCACCCAGGCACTCATTCGGACTTTCGCCGACTGGGAAGGTGGCGCGGAGTCCATCTGGCTGCAGACCGACAGCCGAGAGCTCGTCATCGCAGCCCTGCACAAGGCCGCTGGATGGATGGAGTGGGTCGAGACGGGGCTGTCCTGCGACCTCTTCGGGGCCTCTGTCGAGCTGTCTGTACGGGCCGCAACCGCCGAACGAGCCGAGCAGGCGCTCTCGGACTCGGGCATGCTCAACTGGAACCACCTCATCCAGGGCCGACCAACGGGCGTCCCTCTTGAGGTTCTCACCGTCAGCAGGGCTGCCTACGTCGAGCACCTTGACCACATCATCACGGCGGCACAGACCCACCTGGCAGATGCTCTTCAGCTCCATAGGGCCGAGGCAACGTGGATCGCGCTACGAATCATCCAAGAGATGGGACTCGTCGACCACTACGACTTTCCGCCAGGCACTCCCGCTTTCGAAGCCATGCGGACCTCGTATTGAGTCGATCGCCTGGAACTGTAGCGGACCGACCGACGCCTCGGGATGCAAGCCCTCTGCGCTTCCAGAAGGCTGACGTCGCTACAAAGGGGACCAGCGGCAACCATCGCGGCCCGAATCCTTGGGCGGCTCGCCCTCCCCTGCCAGATGAAGCTCGGCTCGACCACGGACCAGGCTAGAACGCTGCGGCCGACGCCGGCCCATGCCGGTCTGCCACACGGCAGGCTGCCGGTTTGTCCAGTCCTCGGTCTCCGCCTCGACTCTGAGCCCACTTCGAACGGCGAGACCGGGACATATCAGCGAGCTTCTGCCAAAGCGTAACGACGTGCCCAACGCCGCCTCGAGCCCGTTTCTTGCACACTCGCTCGCTCGTCCGCCTGCCCCACGAAGTCGAGCAGGAGATGATGACGAAGCTCGAGGATTTGTGACACGGGCGGCCGCAGCGTGGGACCTGGGCTCTCTTGTATGGCATCGATTCGGGAAGAGCAAGGACGAAGGTAGGAGCACCACCCTCGAGTCTAGGGCTGGCTCTCTCCCCGGCTGTTACGGCATGCCAATCAAGCAGATGCGACTTGATGCTGCCAGTGCGGACAGTCGCAGACCGCTTGCCTGGTCGAGCCGACTTCTGGTCCCGTCCAACGCTTGAGCTCGCCCATTGAAGGCAGCGTCGGTGCGAAGTGGGCAGAAAGCCTCGCAAGCCTTCGAGCAAAGCGGGCCCCGCGAATGCGCGGTCTGGGGCCGGACCCCGGCGTGTGCTGCGAAAGCAAAAGAGCGGGAGCCAGACCACGCCCCATCCTCGTCAGCTAGGCTACGCTTGCGCTGGTTGAACGGTCTGAGGAACAAGGAGCGCTCGCTTGCCCGATCCTCGGAATGGCCTCATTGCGTCTATCCAACGCACCCTGGCTACAGTGCCGCCTCGCTCTCTTCGCTGTGGCGACAAGACCGGGCGAGGGGCCCCGTGTCAATGGTCGTTCCGTCCAAGTGAGGTCACTTTGCCCGTCCTGTGCCTTTGAGGGCAAGCTTCCGAGCGAAGCCGTACCGTCCATCCGCTGTGACCGGTAGAGGGAGCGTCCATGAAAGACCAGCTGGGCGCGTTCGGCCCACTTCACTGCTTTGACCTGCATTGTGCGCCGCCGGTGGCCTCATTTCGGTTCCGCTGATTACGCTACATAGGCTTGGGTGAAGGCGCGGCCCTTTGGCCGTTTGCAGCGCTGGCTCAAGTTTGACAAGGGGCCCAGCCGAGCGCTCAGGCTGCGCGACCACCACGTCCACCACCCTCTGCCGCCTGACACACCAACGGCTGTTCGTCGCTCCTCACCACCGTTCTGCTTGCTACAGTCCCACCTTCTAGCCGTCTCTACCTGCTCCTGCCGCCACAGCACGATGGTCAGGCTCTCTGTTAGAGGATTCGCCCTCACCATCTCGCCCGGCCACTTGCCCCTTGTCTGGCTGTTCCCGCCGCCAGCACATCTTATCCTCTCTCGAACCAGCAGCTTGAGATTCCCCGACATCGAGCCGTACAGTTCCTGGGTCCGCATCGGTGCCGTCAACAATGCCGACGTCCACATCGCTCCCGAATGGAAGCAGCCCTTCTTCAACGCCATTACCGAGGCCCCGCACTGTGTCGACTTCGACATGAGCCCAGAACCGGCAGAGTGCGTCTGCATCCCAACAAACCATAGGACCTCGAGCCTCGACATCGACGACGTTGTCCAGATATTGCGGCAGATTGGCTGTACCGCTATCAGGGTCTCGACCTCGCAAGCCCCGCACGGGGACTACCTGATCCTGGACGACTCGTACCACCCACTTCGGCACGACAACCTCTGGACTCTTTGTGCCCATGTTACCACCCACGGTATCACTTTGTTGCGTGGTGAGGCCGACAACGGTGCCGTACGGACGCGGCCAGCTCTAAGCGAGCTCGGACAGGGCTTTGGATCGGTCGACATCTCGCTACCCACTCGATCCGATGGCATCTTTCGCCTCTGCATCAGCCAGTCCCTCCTCGACCTTTTCGAACGGACCAACCTCGCGTCGGCAGGCCGTATGGACAGCCTTGGTGGGCGAGAGCGCCTTGAGCGTGTGGCTAGGTTGGCCAACCGCTGGGCCGAGGTGGTCAGCACACGCGCTCATTGCGAGTCCACAGAGACGCTCGTCGAGATTTCGGTCCGTGCCGCAGAGCTCGAGGATGCCAAGCAGAAGGTCCGGGCGTCCGGCTTCCTCAACTGGCTGCAGCTCCTGGAGGGCGGCGCGACCGGACACCGTCTCGAGGAGCGTTCAATCAACATTGCCGACTACGTGCGCAACTTGCAAGACACCGCGGCGGAAGCTCGGAGGCAGGCGCGGGCAATGGGCGACTACGACCAAGGCGAGGCGATCCGCATGGCCACGATCCTTGACCAGAACATGGGCCACATCGACACCCACAGGTTCTCAGCAATCGTCTCCGCAGGCTCGTCAGGAAGCGGTTCAGGCTGAGGGACCGCAAGTTCGCATCGACCTGCTGCGCATCTGGCACGCCACGTCGGCATCGCTACGATAGCCCAAGGATCTGCGGGCGTCAAGACCCGCACTTCTCGCGTTGGCACACGCGATCAAACCGGCTTCGCGTTGTGGCTGCCCGGTAGCTGCACCTATTCTGCGCGCGCCTGTCCTTTCAACCCGCTTTCCCTCCATGAATGTGACCTTGATCCGTCCATGTGCCCTGGTTCCGTTCCTATGCCAATCGAGCATCCGGGAAGCCACGCAGCCTCGAGCCTCTACAGCGTCCGCACGCTCCGTTTGGATCGGCACTTGCTGCATCCAGGCTGGCAATCAAGCGGGCATCGACGCAACCGCAGAGCTCGGGCCACTTACGCTGCTGTCGGTGGACGTCTCGGAACCGTGGGTGCCGAGTCCAAGTACTCGGACCCACAAGAGGGTCAGAGGCCGTGCTGAACTCTCGGCCAGCCGCGCTAATTGGGGTGAGCCGGGTGGGGCAAAGGAGGAAAATCGCGCCCCGAGGCGTGAGCATCAGCTAGCCTGCTAGAGGCTGTCGGGCAGCGGCCCTTCTGCCAGAAGTAGGCCACCCCAGGCAGGTCGGCATGTCCGCCTGGGCTCATACGACAGCCACGCATCCGTCCGGCACGACAATCGTCTTCTCTACCACCACCACAATTTCGACCCGCCATTGCACCGCCGTCGCACCGCCTCTCTCACGCCAGTTAACAGCATCGGCAGGCACCCAGCCTCAGCGCAGACCACACCCCAGCTTGTCATGCAGCTTTGCTGCTGCCCCTCTCTCTCGGCCTCGCCATCGACTGACGCAGCCTCTTCCGCACCATGGTCCTCCTCGAACTCGTCTTCTGTGGCCTCAGCATCTCGACTGAGCAGCTAGGTCACATCCGGCACCCAATGTCCGATGTCAGATTGACAGACACGAGCCTCGTCCTCTCGCGCGATCTCGAGGAGTACGACAAGTGGCTCTTTGTCGGAGACGTGGATTCAGCTGAGCTCCGCGTGCCGCCTGAGTTCAAAGAATCGCTCTTCGAGGCGCTTCCGGAGTTCATGGACAGCGACGAGCCCTTGACGTACAGCCAACGGGACACCGGCCTCGTGGAGAGCCACGACGAGCGCCTCAACTGGAGCCCAGCAATCGTGCTCTGCCAGCTCGTCGATGCGCTCCGGGAGATTGGCTGTGATCGAGTCCGGTTCACGACCTCGGATCTCTTCCCGCACCACTTCATCGATCGGCCGCACGTCTCAGCCTTCGATACAGCGTGCGTCGACCGAGACACCAGCGTCTGGACTCTCCAGGCCCGCATCCTGACGCGCGGAATCTCTCTGCTCCGCGCAGAGCCCAGTAGCCTGGCGCGGACGACTCCAAGTCTAGGCAGCCTCGGCCGCGGCGGCTTCGGATGGTTGCAAATCCCGCTGCCCGGTCGCGAAGACGGCATCAGGGAGCTTCGTGTCTCGCACCGCCTCGTCACCGCACTGACAAAGACGGGATACTACATCGATCCTCGGCGCTTTCCCTTCGACATCGACGACAAGGGCATCTTCAACGAGGCCATCGGAAAGGCCAACTCCTGGATGGCCATGGCCGGCGAGATCCCGCCTAGCAAGCTGTACGGAGCAGAGCTGCAGCTCTCGGTGCAAGCCCAAACGGTGCAACAGGCGCGTAGCGCAGTCAGGGCGTCGGGCTTGCTGAACTGGCAGGGCCTCCTCGAAGGCCGCCTCACCGGCTGTCCCCTCGACATCCGCACGCTGGATCGAAGCAAATACCTGCAATACGTCGATCACACCATCGCCTCAGCCCGTAACGACGTCGAGGCTCTGAATCGCAACTTTGATCCAGAGCAGGCCGATCGCCTCGTCGAGCGACTCTGGCACGACCTCGGATACGACGACCCCCACTCTCACCCTCCCGACAGCAGCGAGTACGCCGATTGATGTGTCAGCTGGTCGGATGCAGCGCTGAAAAGAGGCTGTGAAGCCGCTGTCCTGGGCATCAAGCGACCCAACAACCAAGCAATCCAGCGTCCCGGCGACCCAGCGTCCCAGCGACCCAGCGACCCAGCGACCCAGTGACCAGGGGAGCAGACAGCTGAGCGACCCGGCGATCAAGGAAGCGCACGACGCCGCCGGTCAAGCGGCATTTGACGAATCAGACAGCACGGGAGATCGGTTGGCACATGCTTGCATTGCCGCTTGCCCCCCCTCGGTACTCTTACCCCAATGACCCAGTGTTTCTCGGTTGCAATTCTTCCCAGCAATTCTCCATCATCGACCCGCCGGCTCGTCCTTTTCGAAGTGGCGCTCGAGGATCCAGTCGGTCTGGACGCACGTCCCGATCTTGAAGTCGTGCTCTCCGACGCGGTGGAAGCCGTGGCGGGTGTAGAAGCGTTGCGCCTTCTCGTTTTCCTCCCACACGCCGAGCCAGACGGCGTCGTAGCGGGGCCTGGCGTACTCGAGTGCGCGGTCGAAGAGGGCAGAGCCGATCCCGCGGCCATGTGCGGCCGAGTCGGTGTAGATGCGTTGCAGCTCGATCCCCCTCTCTGCGGCGACGGACGAGAGGCATGGTTCCGACGATCCCGTCGTGAGCTGCGCGAAGCCGAGCAACCGGTCGGATGCGGTGTCCCGGGCGACGAAGAAGGTGTGTCGTGCGTCGAGCATCTCGGCGTGGATGAGGTCGCGGGTGTAGGTGGTGGCGAGGTAGGTGGCCATGTCGTCTGCGGGCATCGAGTGGGCAAAGGACTCGTAGAACACCCGTCCGCCCAGAGATGCGATCGCCTCGGCGTCGCTGGGCTCGCCCGGGACGATCTTGTAGTCGAGCGCAGGGGCCGTCGTTGCCGCTTCGGCGCTGGTGGGCTTGTGGAGCGAGGAGACTGCGGGAGGGAAGGAGACGAGGAGATGGGGAGGCGTGGACGCCGTCAGGATGTCGGTGCGATCGTATCGGCTTGGATTCGAACGAGGCGCGCAGGGCACGAGGCTACCTACCCGTCATGTCGTCGTGCTCGTCGTCTGTAGTCGGTCTAGGGCTTGACTGCGTGTAGTCTACGAGAGGTCTATCGAGTCGTATGAAGCTGGGGCGATAGGGAGCGCAACGATGGAGCGGGCAAACAACAAACGAGACGAGACGGGGAGATCGGAAGGTCGGTCGACGGAGCGAGGCAGTAGTTCAAAGCCCGAAGTCGAGTCACACCCGAAGTCGAGTCACACCCAGCGGCCATAGGCGGCCCAAGCGAGGCGGGTCGGGGACGGAGGGCGAAGCGAGGCGGCAAACTCTGCACGCGAGCAGGTGGAGGCATCGAGGGATGCAGAAACGCGCCTTGCAACGGCGCCTCGGCGAGAGGTCCAGTTACGAACGACACAAAGCCCGAAAAACGTCGCCGGCCTCGAGGCGAGGCACGGAAAGGGGCGATGGCCCACTTCCCACCAACATGGTCCCACACGGGGCATCCCAGCAGAGGCCAACCACCTGTTGGTCGCTCCTCTGGAGCTGTCGAGTTGTCCAGTATGGCCTCTAGTGCCCCCTTCTTGGTCGTCCAAGGCTCAAAGACCCCATGTCAGAACTGTCGTGCCCACTTCCAGCTTTCCGTCCTTGCATTGCATGACCTCGTTCCCGATCCTGCTTTCGACGTCTCCCCTTCCTCGTGGTGGACGGGAGCTCCGTCGGACAACTCCGGCGGAACATGGAGGGTGGCAGCAGCGGGCCCTCGACCCGGATGCCTCGACCTCGAACCAGCTCGAGCCAGACGATCCCCTCCTCCTTCCTCTCCCTCCTCGCGCGGAACGACACTGGTCCGGAGTCATGGGTTCAACAGGGGCCTTGCCAGGTAGGCCGTCGTGCATCGTATGTATGTACAGGACTCGGCATGCTTCGTGTCGGGGCGTTCAGCGTGGGCCGGGATGTAGGGCGTCTATGGCTGCAATGGAAAGCGAGAGCGGAAAGAGGAGCAGCGTGTAGGACAGCGAGTAGAGGTACCGTCCGTGGCGGCACACCAGCGGCGGGAAGGCGGCGAGGCCGCGCGATACGTTGCGCCGTACCCTGCGGTACGAGTCGTGCAGGAGCTTCGGGGAAGGTGCCGTCTTAGAGATCCAGGAGGGCTTGCGGGGCAGTTGGGGGACGAGGGTGGGCAGGACACGAGGGGTCGCCGTCGTGGTCGTCGAGGAGGACATGCTGCATGACGAGTCGTGCCATCTTCGTCGCGGGGTCGGGAGGAGCGAGGCAGGTGAGGCAGTGCCGCTTTCGCTGCGGGCGTCGGGACGGGGGAGGTGACGGTTACTCGGCCTTTTTGGACCTTTTGGTCCGCAGCTTCATCATGCCGTACACGAGGGCGTACGACGAGCAGACAAACAGGACGACGATGCCCGCGTCCCTCCAGCCGTACCCGTACGCGTTGATGTTGACCGTCCTGAGGAAGTCGCTGCCGCGCGTGTAGCTGCACACCTGGCATTGCGACGTCGCATCCGGGTTGAGCAGGTTGGCCGCCGGGTCGCGCGCGAGGAAGCCAGACAGGTACTGCCGGCACGTCTGGTTGGCGGGAGGGTTGAAGTAGGCCAGCTCGTCGGGCTTGCAATGCACGTCGCTGTCCCACATGGTGAAGGCCATCAGGCTGCCCATGAGGTACGAGAATGGGTTGATGTAGTAGATCCAGTACCGCCAGAAGGCCGTGATCTGCGAGTAGGGCACCAGCACGCCGCAGAACGACACCATAACTCCGATAAAGAGCGGGTTGACCAGCGAGGCGAAGACGGGGTTCGGTGCGTACGCCGCGATCATCTGGCCGATGCCGGTGTAGAGCTGAGCAGGGACGATGGTCAGGATTCGAGGCGGGGAAGCGTCAGCAGGGTCATCCTCACTCGCGTCCGATGGCCGCCGCCGAGACTCACCATCTCGTAGAAGATCATGACAAAGACGACCGAGGCGGCCGACTTGGACGCCGTCGGGAACCCGACCGTGTAGTAGTAGCAGAAGAAGTAGAAGAGGCCGCAGATGATGAGGTAGGGGATCTCCGAGACGATGAGGGCCGTCACAAAGGGCCCCCAGTGGTACATCTTGCCCTTCTTTTCGCGCTGCTCGTAAATCGACCGGCGCTCGATGAAGAGGGGCTGCAGCTGCGCAATGACGCCTGGCGCCACAAAGATGAAGTTGAAGATGGCAAACAGCTTGAGCTGCTGGTCGCCCACGCCGTCTCCCAGCTGGTAGAACGAAAAGCCGACAAACAGCGCGCTGAAGATGTGCAGCGCAACCTTGTTGTTGAGGTAGTCGGTGTTGCGGTAGAGCGAGATGTTCATGCGCCTAGTCACGACCTTGGTCTGCTCCCAGTACGACGTGGCGAACTCGTAGCCGTCCTCGGTGTAGCCCGGCGGCTTGGCGGCCGCCTCTGCGATCATCTCGTCGATCCGCGCCGACACCCGGGCGTGCTCCTCGGAGGCGAGCCAGACCTGGTTCCAGTCCTTGCCCTGCGACGCCTCGCCCGACACGACGTCAATCATGTACTCTGCCGGGTTGACGCCTTCGGGGCACGGCGCGCCGTTGCGGCCAAAGTAGTCCTTGATCGTCGCCGCATTGTCGCCGATGTCGCCAAAGTAGACCGTCTTGCCGCCCCGCGCCAGCAGCAGCAGCGAGTCGAACTGGGCGAACAGCTGCGCCGAGGGCTGGTGGATCGTCACCAGCACCGCCTGCCCGACGTCGGCCAGCTTGCGCAGGAAGCGCACCGTGTTGTAGCTCGCCTGCCCGTCGAGGCCGCTGGTGGGCTCATCGAGGAAGATGAGGATCGATGGCTTGGCGACGAGCTCGACGCCGATCGTGACGCGCTTGCGCTGCTCGACGTTGAGGCCGGAGCCGACACGGCCGATCAGGGTGTGCTCGAGGTCGTGCAGCTCGAGGAGGTCGATGATGGTGTCGACGTAGCGCAGCTTCTCTGCACGCGGCACGTCGCGGGGCTGGCGGAGGATGGCCGAGAACTCGAGCGCCTCGCGAACCGTGGCGTAAGCCTCGTGCACGTCGAGCTGCTCGCAGTAACCTGCGGAGCGCTGGAACGAGACGCTCAGCGGGCGGCCGTCGACGAGGATCGAGCCCTGGATGGTGCCGTCAGTCTTGCGCTGCGCCAGCACGTCGAGTAGCGTCGTCTTGCCTGTGGTTGGCGTGCCAGCGGAGCCAGGAAGGTGTGGAAGAGCACGGCAGGGTCAGCCTCTGCTCTCGTATCGGCGGGCACTTCACCACCGCCGCCCGTCTTGGACTCACCGGCTCCCGAGGACCCCATGAGAGCGCCGAGCATGCCTGGCTTGACGTAGCCCTGGACGTTGTCGAGGAGGATGCGGTCGCCGCCAGGCGTCTTGACCGTGTAGGTGAGGTTCTTCCAGGTGAAGATCGAGGTGTTGCGGTTGAGCTGGCTGGAGAGGTCGTTGTCGGCAGCCGCGCCGCCCTCGGTGGCAGCGCCGCTGGTCGCGGCGGCGGCGTCCTTTTCGGCCGTGGTCATGGCGGCCTCGGGGTCCTGGTTGAGCTTGAGGCGCTGGTGGACAAGGTGCTGCCGCTCGCGGGGCACGAGCAGCTTGCGGCCGCCGTCGCCCGCCAACTGCCACCTGCAGGTAAAGAAGACAGTGATGGCGACGAGGAAGACCCACCAGGCCCAGACGATGCCAAAGTTGCGCCAGAGGTGGCCGTCGGCGTACGCGAGCGAGTGCAGGTACTGCTCGCCCGTGAGCGAGGTGTTGCCGCGGGGAGCACCGCCGATGCCGGCACACGAGGCGAAGCGGCGGTCCTCGTAGCCGGGACCCGAGGGGACGATGTTGTGGCCGACGCACTCGATCACCTTGCCGCGGAACTCGTTGGCCATGATCGACTCGAAGGCGTACGCCAGCGGATCGATCCAGTAGAGCCACACGAACCAGTGCTTCATGTCCGGCTTGTGGATCATGTAGCCTGCGGTGCGGGGGGCAGCAGCGTAGGGGAGGACGGTGTCAGAGTCGGCGGAAGCGATCGGCGAGCGGGCAAGGTCCCTCGGTCGATGTGCATTGCCGCTAGTCGAGCGGCAGCGCGCTCGATTCCGCGCGATGTGGCGTCGCGGCGTCGCATCGCAGGCACTCACCGGTGTACATGATGAGGACCGTCATGGCGAGGCCCGAGATCTTGGCGGCCGCCTGGAAGTCGCTGAAGCCGGCGCCGATGGCCCGGAACAGGGCCGTGATGCACATGGTGATGGAGAAGACGACGGCGTAGAAGGTGAAAAAGGCGCCCGCCGACGACTCGAGGCCGACCATGAAGTAGAGGATGATGCCAAAGTGCGTTATGGTGAACAGGATGATGGGGATGTCGGCGGCGATCTGGGCGATGCACAGCGCCGACGGGTGGAAGAGGGCAAACGCGCGGTGCTTGGCCATGACCGGGCGTCCGGTGAACGAGTCGGTCACCTCGGACATGGCCGTCATGCTGTTGTAGAGGACGGCGAAGAAGAGCGCGCCGCCTGATCGATGCAAGGCGAGGCGCGGATAAGGACAGGGTCGAGGGTCGAGGGTTAGTGGGATGTCTCAGTACGGCTCCGGCGGCGACCGAGGCCACTCACCCTTGAGGAAGAGGCCGGCGCTGGTGTCGGGAGCGTTGTAAAAGAGCGATCCGATGACGAGGGCCTGGAGGAGCGCGGCGGCCTGCTTGATGATGAGCGTGGACTTGTCACCCCAGAGGATCTGGTACTGCCTGACGACGCACGCCATCACCTGCGAGGTCCACGGCGTGGTGAGCGGAGAGTGGGCGGGCAGGCTGCTGTCCCTCTCCTCGGTGCGGACCTGGACGGTGCGCTGGGTGTTTTCCTGCGCCTCCTGCGACAACGGGTAGCTGTACTCGCTTCGCATGGCGGCGGCGATGTGGCTCTGCTCGTAGGCGTCGCGGATCTGGGCGGGTGTGCGCGGGAAGCGATTCTCGAAGCCGGGGATGATCTTGCGCTCGGTGGGGACGCAGACGCCCGTAAGAAAGTCGGCCTTGTTGGCCGCAGGGTCGCAAAAGAAGCCGAGGGAGTTCATAAAGGGCACCGCCTCTTCGCGCGGGCCGTAGAACATCTCGACGCCGCCGTCGAGGACGAGGACCTTGTCGAACTGCTCGAAGATGCCGTTGCCCGCCTGGTAGAGGGTGACGATGGTCGAGAGGCCGAGGACGTCGGTCATGGCGCGGATCGCCTTGGTCCACTCGAGCGCGGTGCTGGCATCGAGGCCGCGCGTCGAGTTGTCCCAGCAGTAGACGCTGGCCCTGGCGGCCATGCACTCGATGATCGACACGCGCTTCCGCTCGCCTCCCGAGACGCCGCGGACGTACTCGTTGCCGACCTTGGTCTGCTCGGTATGCGAGATGCCTAGGGCGTCGAGGTAGAAGGACTTCTCCATCTCGGCCGCCTCTTGGGCCGTTTGGCATCCGTGCGGCAGTTTTGCGGCCACCTTGAGCCGGGTGGCAAAGTCCATCGTCTGGCCGACGGTGAGCGAGGGGAAAAAGACCTCCTCCTCGGTGTTCATCATGATGATGCCCCGGTGCTCCTGCGCCTGCTGGTGGTCGAGGCTGCCAAAGTGGACGTCGCCCTCGATCTGGCCGTAGCCGTTGCGCCGATTGGAGAGCATGCTGAGCAGCGTCGTGCAGCCCGAGTCGGGTCGGCCGAGGACGAGGAGCATCTCGCCGGGCTTGACGCAGCCGTGGACGCGGTCGAGGATGACCTGCGAGGCCGCCGGCTTTGCGCCGCCGGCCGGCTTAGAGAGGAAGCCGGGCTTGAACTGGGAGAGGAAGGTCTCGTTGTAGAGGATGCCGGTGTTGGAGCCCCGGACGGTGAGGTTGTCGAAGGTGACGCCGAGCCTGCGGACCATGGATGCGCCGTCCTGGTAGCGGTCGCGCAGCTCCTCGAGCTGCTGAGTCTTGCGCCACTTGCCCTGCTTCTCGCTGTTGGCGGTGGCCTTTTCGCTAGTAGCGTGATGTCCGTGGACGCTGGAAGGTGTGGTGTTGGTGGCGAGCTCGTGGTCTCTGATCTGGCCGGGGAGCGACTGGGAGGTCGAGTTGGTGGGGGTGCGGGCGAGCTCCTCGCGGCCGTCGCCATGGTCGGCGCGCGGGTCTGGAATGTTGCCTGACATGGCGAGGTCGGCGGTCGGGAGCGGAAGCGGAAGCGAGAGCGGAGGTGCCTCTGTCGATGCCGTCGCGCAGGGTGCAGAAGGGGTGGTGTTGGGAGAGGGGGGTGGGTGCAGGAGGGGAGGGAATGGGGAGGACGGAGTCCGCACAGATGCTCTTGCTGTCTGGCAGTGGACTGGAACGTTGGTGGTGAAGTGAGGAAAGACGAATGGATGGGTTCGAGGAGCGAGACGGGCGCTGCGTTGTGTATATAAGAACGGCTTGGGCGGGCTTCCAGCCCCGGATGGCGTGGCGCTGAGCTGGGCCAGTGGCTGTCAACATCAAGCTTGACGGGAAGAGTCTGTACGGCAGCAGTACGTGAGGCAAGGGCGACCGGTGAAGCCGGGGCTGCCATCCGAACGGAGGAGGGTGGGCGCGGGGCCGGCGTCCGGAAGCGCATTGCCGTGGTGACAGGACGTGCAGCATGGAAGCGTGGTGCCGGTGCGGCTTCCGAACGCCCTGCTGCCTAGCTCGCATCCGCGGACGTGAGGCGGAAGGCTGTTGCTGCCGTTGCGAGGGGCTGCTGTAGCTACGGTGGGCCCCTACCGTACGTTGGCCGTGCATGCGAAGGTGTTGTGTGCGTCGCCTGTTTGCGTCGTGGGAGGAATGATGGACCAGCGGGCGCGCGGGCGGGGACGAGGTCAGAGGGAAAGAGGTTGGAATGGGAGGAGGAAGGAGCGGCGCCGACAATGATGAGCCAACGTAATGGACCAAAGGGGGCTGAAGGCAGCAAGCAGACCTGCCCCGAGGTCGGTGCGCGGGCCGGACCTCTGCCTGCCAACCCATCTTCTTCCTGGCCCGCCAGCAACAGCTCGCCAGCCAGCCATGTCGATGGGGCTGGCGCTCCGCACGGCCTAGCCTACCTGCCTACCTACCTAAGGCCAGCGTCTGGCTGTCGGGCCTCGGCCCGCGCCGTCAAGCGTGCTGCACTGCACACCTGCGCGTCGAAACGTACCGCCTACCGTTTCCCAGCGCTACCTGCTATGGCCGTACCGGTGGCATGGCCAGCCCATCCCGAACAGCGCCACAGGGCTGCAGACGTAGTGCAGCACCCCTTAGCCTCTCCTCTGCCATGCTGCTCGCTGTACGTACTTACCCGCAGCGCGGTTTCCCGGCCTGTGTGCAGAGCGGCAGGGCCGGCCGGATTCGCCGGCACGCTGATGGCCGCCAGAGGGGTGTGAATCCGGCAGCGGGACGAAAGCAGCAGCGCCGTCATTGTCTGCCGTCGACCAACGATGGTCACAGATATGTAGGAATGCGCGTTGGCCGAGATCCTCGTCCCCCTCCCTGGCCTATCGAACCCCACCAAGGGAGCTGCGGAGACGTTGTCGCTCGTCGCGCCAACCGCTGCCGAGATTGCGCCAGACAAAGCCGAGTTCGGCCCAGGGATCCGTAGCAGTGGTGGCAGCTGGTGTGGGTGCCCAGCCTGCTCGTTGGTAGCGGACGAGGTGTGGTAGGCAGATGCTGTGTTGGCTGCTGAAACGGCGACTCTGACCGCGATACGACACGGACGGGCCCAAAACAAGCATCGAGAAGAAAGGGGAGAAGCCAGCAGCAGAGAACCACGGCTAGGCTCGCCCGCCTGCCTTGGCCTGCCCCAGGCTACCTTGCCTGCTCTCCTGCCCGCCTTGGGTCCGTTCGCCTCGGCCCGCCCGTTCCGACACGAGGCGAGGCGAGGCCAAAGTGGGGCCGCATCAGCCTAGCCGGCCTGCCGGCCTTGCCTTAGCCTCTGCGTCTGCCTCGGCGCAAAACCTCCGAAGCGGCGTCCAGGGGTCCCCCTGCCGGCGGGCCGGGGGCAGAGTCAAATCCCGAGTTCCGAGCATTGGAGCAAGAACGCCGTCTGCATCGGGCCACGTTGAAATCGGCATTGCCGAGGCCCTGGCAGGCAGATCGGCTTTGATCCGGCACGACTTCCGAGGCCCCATCCTACCGCCTCGACCAGCTTGGCTTCACCACCATTCGAGCGGGCCGAGCAGGGTCAAGCAGTCTCTTTCTGTCGAGCATCTCAAAGCTGTTTCAATGCGCAAGCCAGCATCGCCGCGCACACGGCACCGGTCGTACGAGCAGCCATCGAGTCAGAGGCCGGGTGCGACTTCATCTCGCCACGACCGGCCGCGCTAAACGCAGCCCGGCGATCAGCACCTACGCAGCCTCTTCAGCCCCATCCGGCGCAGACGAGGTCCTCGCTCGGTCGCTTTTCGGCAAGGGTTCCCACAGCTCAAGGACAGCACGGTATGGTGATGCCAAGACTTTGATTCGATGCACAGTCAAGCAAGTTTCATCCAACCTCGGGTCGTATGTAGCTAGAGTCGTAGAGGGCCGACCGGAAGGCAGGTCGGCAGGTCGGCAGCATCGGCGGCGTTGTGGCGGCGAATACGTAGCAGCTCGGAAGCAAGTCATGCAGGCCATGGCCCATAAGCAGGAGAAGGCGAAAAGCGGAAGTTTACCGGGACGAAGGATGAAGACTGAGAATGCCGAAGGGAGCAGAGGAGAGACGCTAGAAGAAGAAAGAGAAGGAAAGGCGCTCGTCGGCGTGCCAAGGTCCGGAAACTCTAACGTTTCTTGTCCTGTCGGCCTCGCCGGTCCCGCCGGATATGGAGCTTGTCTGTGGAAGGCCGCAGGTCGCGTGATGTGTCGCCCGCTCTTCTGTACCCCTTCCGTTACCTGGTCGAGTCAGCCGGCGCGGCGAGCCTGCCGCTCCGCCTAGTGCTGCTCGACGCCGGTGACGTTGAGCGTCTTGCAGTGGCTAAAGTCGCGCGGCTTGCGGTTGGCAAAGAGGTCCTCGAGGAAGGCAAACCAGCGCGGCGAGCCGGCGTGGATGATGGGCGCGTGGAGCACGTTCTTGTAAAAGACAAACTGGATGGGCGACTTGTTGTCAAACTTCTTGCAGTGCGCATCGAACGTCTCGTGGTTGATCGTCGGCCAGACGGCCTCGTCCATGTCGCCCTGGAGCACCAGCAGCGGCTTGGTGAGCCGGGCGCGTCCCTCGGACTTGATGAGCTTGGCCCACTGCAGCGCCTCGCGCGCCGTAGGCCACGTGTAGTCCTTCCAGAGCGAGTCGACCTTGATCGAGCCAAAGAACATGGTGGCGGCGGGGAAGCATCCGCCGGCTAGGTACAGGTCGAGGTACTTTTTGCCCAGGTCCGTCAGGTACCGGTCGCGGCTGAGGGTGGGGAAGATGCGTCGGATCGACTCAAAGACGTTGATCGTGTAGAAGACGCTGCCCTGCTGCTCGACCAGGGCGCGCGACTCGGTCGTGGCCAGGGTGCGCGCGTTGATCTCGCGCGGGTTCATCGAGGGGGCGAGCGAGACGCCGCCCAGGAAGCCGTCCGACGTCTTGAGCCCGCTCTGGTACTCGGTGGTGCTCCAGGCCGTCATGCCGCCCTCGCTGTGGCCGACGACGGCCCACTTGTCGATGTTGAGCTCGGGGATGGCCGACTTGGCGGCGGCGACGGCGTTGGTCACGTCGTAGGCGTGCGTGACGGCCTCGACGTAGTTGAACTGGGTGTCGCTGCCCTGGCCGGCGTAGTCGGGCGCGACGACGTTATAGCCCTGCGCCACGAGCTGGAAGACGGCGCGCCAGCCGTAGTAGAGCTGCGCCTGGTCGCTGGGCGCGCACTCGCGCGTGATGCCCGAGGTGCCGTGGGCCCACGCGACGGTCTTGTTGGACTTGACATATGGCGCCAGGACGAAGCCGGTGGCGGGGACGTGCTTGTTCTGGTAGTCGACCGAGACGTAGTTGATCCTCCACAGCGTCGAACCCTCGGGCAGCTGGCCAAACTTGGCCTCCTTTGGCCCGCCCGTCACCTTTTCGATGCGCAGGATGGTACCCGGCTTTGAGTCGGCCAGCGAGGGCGTCGAGGGCGTCTGGTAGAACTCGGCGGTGAAGACGTCGTCGACGAGGGTCGTGTTCCGGAAGCTCTTGACAAAGGCCTGGTAGCTCGACGTGATGTTGGCGAGGCTATTGGCGCTGCTGGCGTCGTCGCGCTCCAGAACGACGGGGCCGGCGCTGGTGGTGCCTGCCAGGAGGGCGACGGCCAGGCAGGCAAACGTGGATGAGAGGCGGGCAAAGAGCATCTTGGGCGTCGTCGGTGGGCGGGGGAGGGCGAGGTGGGGAGCAGGTGGACCGTTCAGGAAAGGGCAGAGGATGACCGGATCGGGCGAGAGATGGAGGCAGCTCGAGAGGTAGGGGCCGGGCTGGGTGGTGACCTTCGAGGTGGTGATGAGGGACAGGCTGCGATGCGGCAGTGACCGACGATGATTTATAGATGACCGACGGCCAACAAGAGAGGGCCAATGGCATACGGCGTGCGTGCAGGCTGGTGCTTGTGCCATGCGCTTTGAAGCGAGCGGCCACGCGGAGAGGAGGTAGCCTTGGCCAAACAGGCTAGCTACCGGTAGGATAGGCTTGTCGGGCAGAGCGACTCGGGCCACCTGGGTTGACCGACGTCTTCGTCGCCGTCGCTGTCGCCGCCGCCGCCGCCGCCGCGGGGGCTGCTAGGCGGTCAGCAGATGGGAAGCAAACCTGGATCAGACCGGTGCCGAGGCGGCGGCAGACGCGCGCAACGGCGGCAAGGTGGGGCGGCAGGTCTTGCAGCGGTAGGCCTGCGTCTGGTGTCGAGGGCATTGTACGACCGACAGGGCGGTGCCACAGAGCGAGCGGTAGGGCGGTACAGAGGGCGTTCGTTTGTGGATGCGAGCGACGGTCCTGCAAGAGTCGAGGAGGCCGACAAGGTTCGGTGCAAAGGCTGCAGCGCGTTGCCGGTGCGGCGCACTGCCGTGCGCGCCTGGCCGCGCCGCGCCGCGCACTAGGTTTGGGTGCAGCCTTCTCTAGCAACATGTGTGTAGCTACGACAGCTTGCAGCAGCAGCAGCAGCAGCATCAGCCAGACCCATGCGGGCCGTGGGGAAGGCTGGGCGGTAATACGGGGCCATGTGGTGTCCGGGGCGGAAGGAGACAAGGCATGCCAGACCAGCCGGCCTCGAGCAAGGCAGGCAGGGGACGAGGTTGGACGGGCCGTGGGGAGCGGCTGATGTGCGGCGACTGCGGCGACTGTGGGCGCCGAGAAAAGGAAGTCGAGGCCGCCTAGGCTAGTCGAGGAGGAGGGGGGGCCGGGCGTTGCATTGGTCGCGCTGCATGGCCGGACAGGTACAGATCGACGGTACGTAGGGCGGCTCGACCATGGACGAGCGCGCAACGAGGATGCATCAAGGCCTGAGCAGACGAGGACGGGGGACGGGATCAGAAGGGCCCAAGAGCAAGCAGCAGGTCAAGGCGGCAGGCGGCAGCAGAGGGCTGCACGGCTGCGGCCAATTAACTGCATGCATCCGACTTTTGGCCGCCTTTCCGCCCCACATTTGCAGCGCGCCTTTGCTTCTCTTTGATTGCCGCAGGGCCAATTCAACGTTGGAAGCTTCGCTCGCTTTGGTCGCTTCGCCTGCCCACACCTCGACCTCGGCCGTTGCATCCCCCCACGCCGTCGCCGCTGTCCAAGACGACGTACGACAAAACGAGGCACGGGGACCGCAAACGAAGCCCCCGGCCTGAGCTGGCGCATGGCTTCGCCTGGCACCACCGCAGCCGCCGCCGCCGCCGCCTCTCGTCTCGTCTCGTCCTCGTGTAGGTACCGTGCAGGTACCGCAACGAGGTGCTGCCGCCCTGCTTGCCGCCGTACCTGCTTTGATCAGCTCGGCTCAGCATCTCCCTCGCTTCCCTCCCATCAGCCTGCCCATCGACGGCGTCGAGGACTCGAGGAGCGTCTTGCAACAAAAACGTCACAGATCTCGACGTCGGGGATAAGGCACCATGGAAGTCGCGGCAGCCACGATAGCTCCCGCCCGCTCTGTCGACCCACTGAGCAGAGCGCAGCGTCGCGCACTCTCTCTTCCAGCTTATCGCCCAGAATAGCAGCCCTGCCTGGACCCCGCTTCGACGCCGGGCCGAAGAAGCGGTACACACCCACGTACACGCCTTGTCTTGCGGCGTTGCGTCCGATTCGATGCCCGGTGGACCGTACCTCGGCGTCGCTGCTAGGCGCAGCAGGTGGGTGGGTATCGATGCGAATACAGATCTGCCTCTCGTCTGTCCACGGAAGTAAGATCATCGACAGACCGCGTACGTGTGCGGGGTATGGAAAGGGGCTGCCAAGTTGGTGGTAGTTACAGTAGTGGGCGGGCGGCAACTGACTCAGGAGGCGAGCAACAGCGCAGCGCAGGGGCCTTGGGATCGTTCGGCAGCTTTGTGCCGCGGCCATCCATTCTTTCGACGCCTTAGACCGCCGCCCACCGACTACGGCGGTTGCACCCGTCACCGTCTCCTCGTCTGCGTCTGCGGCGGACAGTAGTGGTACGTTCGGGCGGGCGGACGGGCGGGCGAGCGGGCTTTCAAGGTGTGGTCCGTGGATGGCCCGAGCGGTACAAGTGAGGGTGCGGCCGTGCGGGGCTCCAGATTAGATCCGTTCCAATCCATCGACGGAGATACGCATCCGACTCGTCTCGTCAGTCGTTGTGCCGCCGACGCCGGGCCGCTTCGTCCTCCTGACCTAGCCTGCCTGATTGTTGGACAAGGAGAGCAAAGAGGTGGGGTGCCACCGCCGCCGCCGCCGCCGCCGCTGCTGCCAATGCCGTTGCCCGGTCGGCCTTGTATCGTACGGTCTCGACACTTCTATCGCACGACCGAACCGATACGTACCGAGATATCCCCTCGACGACCGGTCCTTGCTCCCCGCGCAGCACGGGTATTCCTCCTCCCCGCTCTGGTGGTCGCCGCAAGCGATCGAGCCACAGTACCGTCGGATCGGACTGGATTAGATCACATGGTCGATCTGCAGCGGCAACATGGTCAGAGTACGGGGGTGATTGCGGGGTAGTCGGTGCGATTGCGGGGGATCAGAATGAGGCCGAGGCGGGTGACACTCCCGTCCCGGTGAAAAGGCATCAGACAGGTCTCCGGTGTGTCACTCGCGATCCAGCCAAAGCAGACGGGGCTTTGCTGCCGTGATTCCCGCGCGCCCCTCTGCTCGAGGCCCAGGCTCGAGGGACGCCTGCGCAGCCTTTTAGGGCCGGACACCAGCAAGGCGAACGAGGTGCCACAATCCTCGTCCTACTACAACCACCGACACACCGCCCGCTGCATCCGGTCTCACCAGCGGGTCGTCTCTTGCCAACGCCTGCTCACCGGAGGCGGCATCCACTAGGCGTTGAAAAGAAGGACGAGAGCGATACCGACGAGGCAAGTGGCGACGAGGCCCACGGCGACGTACACCTTGACGCCCATGGCACCTCCACCGAGCTCGTCAAACGACACTTGCTCCCTCGCAATGTCGCGCGACATCTCGATGTAGTCGACCAGGCCCACTGCAAGCGTGAACAGCGAGAGGACGAGGAAGAGAACCGCAAAGAGCGGCGACGTCACCGCCCGGCTCGATCGCGGCGTGTCGGCCGTCGCATCGACGTGGGCGGCGTCGACCAGGGTGGGCACAGGTTCGAACGAGGCGGGCGAGGACGACGAGGGCGGCAGCCGGACTTGCAGATACAACGATCCGGACAGGATGAAGAGGAGGATCGATAGGCGCAGCCATGTGAGGAACGTCCGTTCTCTTGCTGGTGTTCGGATAGCGGCAGGGGGTGCAGGGAGATTCGAAAGCGAGGTCAGTCGCAAGGCGGCGAGCAGAGAGGAGGCATCCGAGCATATGTGCAAGCTTCGTGCGAGCTGTTGAGGAGCCAGGGACTAGACAGCCTCTTTGCCGCCTCGCCTACCCACCACAAAAGTCTCGGGCGGTATCGGCGCTGGTCAGGGGTGCCCGGGTGCTCTCCTTGATCCGCCGCCACAGAGGGTTGCGGTTTGGCGTGGGCGCTGATGGAGCAGCAGCGTCCGCTTGACCATCGCTCTGGTCGTGTACTAGAGCGGCTTCTGTGTCGTGGCGCTGCAGCTGTGATGGCCCATGGTTGTTCTCGTCCGACTCGGCCGGTGGCTGGCCGGGCCAATCGTGGTAGAGCGAAAGGCGGCTGCCGTCTCTCCGTATGCTTCTCCTTCTCCGCGGATCCCCTCGAGCAGTGACCGATGCTGGTGGTGTGGTCGCAGATCTATGCAATGGCTGCGTCGAGGTGGATGCGACCGAGTCGGGGCCGGCGCTGGGTTCGGGCAGGGTGGGGCTGCGAACCTGGGTCGAACTGAGAGGAGACGGGGAGCCTGAGCGGGAGCGAGGAGAAAGGACGCGAGGATGTGCGTTGGGTATGTGCAGGTTGCGGCGAGGCGATGAGGGCGATGGCTGCGATGTCCGTATGGTGGCAGTGCTGAAGGCGCTGGCGTTTGGGGACGTCATGGGTCTATGCAGAGGGACGAGAGGAGAGAGTGGGTAGGACGGTTCGTGCTGCTCGACATGCGATCTATGAGAGGGGCTTGCGGCGCGGGTGCTGATACCGATGATGCCGTGAGAGTCGAGGGCGCCAGCGATTGACGGCCAAGGGTCGGGCTCCGAGTCGAGACGAGGGTCGGGCTCCAAGTCGAGGCGAGTGGTGACCGCGTCTGACACGTCGTGCGTCCACGATGCGGCCGCGAAGGTCAGTATCGAGCGGCTGAAAGGGGGTATCGAGCTAGCCTAGCGGGTATAGGGGCGCGGAAGGAGGCGTGGATGGCGTCCAGGTCGGGTGGCGGTGATGGTGGTGGTGGGTTTGGAGGCCGTGCGTCTTCTTGGCGCGGTGTGGAGGAGGGCCAGCCGGGCCAGCCAGCCTCTTTTTTTCTCTCGTGCGGCACCGACGCCCTCATCTCCGTCCCGCCCCCCATCGCCTTCCATCCTCGGTCCAGCTCTCCTCGATCGTCTCGACTGCTATCTCGACACCGCCTCTCTCCAGCTTCACGACATTCGGAGCCAGAAAACGTCCATATCCTGCTTCCGTCAACGAGGCCGCGGACGGCAAGCAGCCCGGCGGCAGTACACCCTGCCGGCCCCCTCGTGACGCCTCGCCACGCCTCGCCTCGCCTCGCCTCGACCCGACGGCAGGCATAGCTTCCATCCGCGCCACGACAACGACCCACTGATCGCGACTTCTGAGCACAGCGACCTCAGCGTCACCTGCGTCCCCTCTCCGGCCTGTCCTGCCCGCGAGCGCGGCCCCTAGGGTCGGCCATGTTGCCGTCGTCGCTCTTGGAACGGTTCGGTCCGTCGGTCTGCCTCACTGCCGTTCGATCTCGACGGTGTCGGCTGCGGCTGGAGAGCAAGCGAGCCTCCTCGGGTCGTCGGACCAAGGTCTAGCGCCGCGACTCAGTGTCCAAGGCATCGGCGCTTCCAGCAACAACGACGAGTCGTTGCGCACATCCAAAGCGCCCGTGGTGGCGCGACTTAGCCTCAGAAGAGATCATATGATAGTACTGAATGAATTCGAGAGGGCTGGAACCGTGCCGGCTGGGTACAAGATAATGTCGGGGGCCAAGAGTAGCTTGATGTTGCCTGCGGACGGGGCCGAGAGAGAGATCACCAGAGATCACCTGAGGAGGGCGAGGAAAGGAAGCAAGAATATTATTTTGTCAGTTCGGGTTCGACACAGTTCAACGCTGGTGAGGCGTCGCCGGGTTATGGGCTGGCGAGGCGGTAGCCAGATTACAAGCTGGTGAGGCAGTAGCCTGATTATGAGCTGGCAAGGCAGTAGCCTGGTTGTGAGCTGGCAAGGCAGTAGCCTGATTGTGAGCTGGCGAGGCAGTAGCCTGATTGTGAGCTGGCGAGGCGGTAGCCTGATTGTGAGCTGGCAAGGCGGTAGCCTGATTGTGAGCTGGCGAGCCAATTGCCTGACTATGCACTGGTGAGGCGTTGAGAGCTGGTGTTACGTTTGTCAAGGCAAGGTACTCACTCTTGGTAGGCTCTAGCCTGTTCTGGATATATTTGGCATTTTGCTGCCGGGTGTCACCGGCCACAGAGGTCACAGTTGTGTTGACGGCTGCACCCTGCGCACTGGGGCTTGTTGAACTTCTTGCAGATCCTGTTGCTCCTCACTGTGTGCCGATTGTCTGCTGCGGTCTGCCGGTGCGTAGATGTGTTGCCCACCCTGCAGACACGGTTCCCCTGCTGCCCTCACCTTAATGGTCTGCCAAGGCTGCTCCTGCTTGCACACACCCGGACAAGCTTGTCGCCAGTCATGTTGTGGTGCTGGTACCTCTTTCTTGTGCGCGCCAAACAGCAACACAAGTGCTTGCAGCAGACCTGGCTCATGATTGCAATGGTCAAAAGCGCTTCCCTTTCTTCCTCAACTTGCCCTTGCTTTGAGTTGTGCTCCTGCTGCCAATATGTAAAGGTTGAGGGAGGCGGGTTGGACCAAGGTAGAAGGTGTATAGGGCTTATCCCTTTAAGGTCCTGGTAAGGCCTTGAGGAAGACAAGATGTCAACACAGAAAGGCTGGTGTGTCTGAAGGAATCTTTGACAGATGGTGGAGTCCTGACCTGTTGAGGCTGACAGGTGATGGTGAGGAAGGGAGAGATATTGACTGGCCAGTCCTAAAAAGGAGGGAAGGGTGGAGGTAGAGGGAAGGGGAATGTAAAAGGACTAATGCACAGAACACTGAAGCATTGATGACTGAAGCAGCACAAACATGGGTAGGGGGGGGGGGGGGGGAGGCTGCAGCAGGGTAAGGATGGGAAGCTGCAGCTGATGCAGCTGTTGCTTCATGCAGGGTCAGCTTGCTGTGGTCAATGCTTGGTTTGTGGTCAAGGAGGAAAGGAGAGAGACTGGTCAAGGGGAGTTGAGGAGCAGCACTGGCAGCAGATTGAGTGAGCTGTCTGATCCTTGAGGCCTTGTACAAGCTGTTGGGAATGCGCCAGGTGGTGTAGGTGTTGGCGGGGACCTTGAGGTGCCAGCAAGGCAGGGCATGCAAGGCAACCTGGAGTTTGACGTGATGGGGCGACGCTGGTTGAAGGCGAGTGGTGGTGGCTGCAACAGGTCACTGTTGGGAAGAGGAGGAGAAGAGGGAGGGAGAGGGGAGGAGAGAGGGAGGATCGGGTTGGTGTGGTGAGTGGGCAGTCCTTCGATGTTGTGAGGTCGGGACCTTCACCTCCACAGGCAGGCAAGCCTTGTTCATGGGTGCATGGTGACAGAAGATGATCAGCAAGCATGTCAGAGGCTCCAAGGGGGACCATGCATCTGCCTGCCTGAGAGGTGGCTGGCTGTCTGCTTGCTGTCCTCCTGTCTTCCTGCACCTGACAGCTATGAGCAGACTGAATTTGATATGCTCTACCTGCCAGTGTCTGCCCTATCCTTGCTCCACATAGCCTACCTTGTCCACTTGAACAGGTTTGAAAGGACTAATGCACTGATGCACTGATGCACTGAGGCACTCAGGCACTGATGCACTGAGGCACTGATGCTCCTTCCTCAGTCTGTCAAAGTCTCTGTCATCAGCCAACAGTTGTGAAGTTGCTGAGGGTTTGTCCAGTCATAGCTAACAACTAGGGGTATCTACGGTCCTTGGGTATCGTAGCGGTGCTACGCTTTTTCCTACGCTTTGAAAAATCTGCAACTACGATTTTTGGACCCTTGACCGTAGGGCCGCTACGGCCCTGGAGCGTAGGGAAGTGTAGGGCCCTACGCTTCCGAGGCGTGTAGCAGGCCTACAATTTTGGCACTGTAGCGGGCCAGCACGTGGAATACCGCACAGTCACCATACACGCACAGTCGTATCTACTCGACGGGGACAGTAATCCATTGCCATACTACCTAGACTACGTACTGTGGCAAAGCGGCGTGGCAAAGTGACAAAGTGGGCGTTGGCGGCGGCGGCGGCGGCAAGTCGAAGCGGCAAGGGCAACACAAGGCAAGGCGAGGCGGCAAGGCGAGGTGGCGCAAGTTGATGGCAAGCGCAGGCGCAAAGGCAGAGGCGGCGGCAACAGGGCACGGCGAGGGCGCATATTGATAGCGCCAGCAGCATCGGCAAGAAGGACAGTTGGAGAGGAGAGAGGAGGAGGAGCAGGCGTCAGCAATGCTTGCGCGTTGGCTGACAGCGCAGCAGGCACGCCGGCAAGCAGGTAGCGGCACTCACCATCTGAAGCGGGGCCGTAGATGTTGGTGCCAGCACCGCTGCAACTGCTGCTGCGGTGGCATGGGAGGGCAAGGGCGAGGCAGGAGGGCAAGGGCGAGGCGAGGAGGCAAGGTATGCGTCAGAAGACTCACCGCAGGCAAGGCAAGAAGGCCGGTCACGAAGGGTCGGCAAAGTCATGTTGTCGAGGCTGTCAGAGCGATCGATGCTACGACGCCGGCAGTGCTGGCAAGAGTCAGGCGGCGGAGCGGAAAGGCGGTGGGCAATGTCAATCATCGGAGACGTCGGAGCGCGCGCTCCGACGCCTCTGATGATTGACGGGGCGGGGAACAAAAAGGCGGCGCGGCGGCTGAGTTGCGGTTGCTGCAGGCGCTGACGGGTCCGAGGGTGGCGATGCTGGTGCTGGTGCTGGTGCTGGTGCTGGTGATGCCGAGTGTATGCTGGCAGGCGCTGGTGGGCAAGGCGATACAAGGGCAGCAGTCGGGTGGCGGCGGGTGGCGGCGGGTGGCGGCGGGTGGCGTTGGGTGGTGGTGGTGGTGGGTGAGGGACGGAGCGGATGGAAATGTGGAGGTAAGGGCAGGCGCGCGCGCGTCAGCCCCTTTTCGAAATTTCGATCGCGCGCTGGCTGGCTGGCTGGCTCGGCTTCGAGTTCCGAGCCGCCCCAGCCAGCCAGCCAGCGCGCCCGTCCCTTTGCCGCCGCTGCCGCCACCGTCGCCGATCCATCCGCAGGCCCTCGCACCACCACCGCCGCCATCGTCGACCTACCCAACGCCATTGCCAGACTGCCGCTCACGCCTTCCCGCCTCACCTAGCCAGCTGCGGCCTGAGCCTTCCGCATCGCCGCCGTTGCTCCAGTCAGCAGCATTCGCTACGGCTGCCTGCCCTCGCCCGAGCTTGACTGCCGCCCCTACCCGCCTCGATCTGTGCCTCGCTCCGCGTTGACGCTTGCCTTGGGCTCACCCCGCCAACATCTGCGCCGCCGCCACCGCTCACAAGACCGCCAGTAGATACAGTAGCTAGCGAAGCTTAGATTGCAATGAAGAGTATTGGCCAACCGATAGAGAAAGCAAGTCCGATCGAGGGTGGCAAACGTCGGTGCTACGCTGCTGCAGCGCAGCAGTGCTTCGGTTCAGGACGCCAGCACCCGCAGCCAGTCTACGCTGCGCAACAGCATCGAGAATGCTACGCTGTTGAAGTGTAGCAGGCCTACGGCTGTTAGCAGCATGATTTCTGCTGAGCCTCCAAAGCGTAGCGGGCCTACGGTGCGGCATCGGAGGGCAGGCTGCTACGATCCGAAGCGTAGCGGAATCGTAGGGCCGCTACGCCGGCCAAAGCGTAGTGGAGGCCCGATGCCTGGCGCGCAGCCGATCTGCGACCAAGGTCGAACCGTAGATTGGGTTACGATCGGGGATTTTCCAAACCGTAGTACCGCTACGGCCCCGAAGCCAGATCCCCGCTGCTGCTAGCTATGAGTTGGGGTCCCTTGGAGCAGGTGGTGCCAGTTGAGGAGCCTGGACGCTCTGCGTGCCGCCTTTGCCTAGTCCAGCGTCGCGGCCTTGACGGAGTCCGCCCGCCTCAAGGCCTTCATCACGAACACCATGTCCTCCGGTACGAGCTTCGAGAGCGCCTCGACGACCGTGTCGACGGTATGGTCTTGGGGCCGCAGCTTTCCCAGCTCCGTGACGGCCTCGAGCGCTTTGAGCGGTTCTGTGAACGTCGCCCCCTCGAGCGTGCGCTGCGCGGTCGAGGCACATGGTAGCGACACAGCGTGGGCCGGATCTTTCAGTTTCTTCGAGCTCGGTTGATGAGGAAGGGCTCCTGGTCCGGACTCACTTTGGCGAGAACCCGATCGTGGCCGGCCTCGGTCGTGGTGGGGCGCAGGCGGGATGCGCAGATGCGACCCCGCACGATGGCGACAAGTTGGAGCGCAATGACGAGCTCGGCCGTCGTCTTCATCGTGGCTCGATCGCAGTATACGCCAGAGTGGCGCCTGCGTGACAGTGGCGGGGATGTCCAGTATCGTCGTGGACGGGAGACGGGGGAAAGGGACCTACAGGACGGGACAAACACCGCCGTCGTCCCGTCCTTCTATACCCGTCCTCGACAAGCTGTCCATCGACCCCTGCTTGGCCCGCACTGCTGTAGCAGAGCGACGGAGAGGTCAGGCACGCACCGAGGGTGACTGGCGGTGGGGTCCCTGCCTCATCTCGGGGCTGAGACGTCGCGGTGGGACGATGCGGAGCAAGCTTCGTGGCTGGACCTGTGCAAGCAAGCGCACCGAGGATCGAGAACGCGGGACGTTCCCCACAGCCGGCGGAGCGTTCAATCGCAGGCAGAGGCTGTGGCCGTTGATTAATGATTTTATTCGCTGGAGGAAGACGACGACGACAAGAGCGCTCTGCTGGTCTTCAAGGTCCAGCGAGCTGGCAGTCTCGAGCGTCGAGCTTCCCCCCACCTATCCTACACTATCCTCGCCCGCCACGCAGCCCCCTTATGGCTGCGTGGCTGGCTAGCTAACGGGCAACGGCCTGGGTCTCAGGCCTGGACGATGCGCACAGCGCCCCTCCCGCCCTTGACGCGGAACTTGCCGTCCTCTGTCTGCTCGACGGCGCCGCGCCCAGCGACGACGTTGAACTTGACGTCCGTGCCGAGCGGCGGCACAATGGTGCCCGTGGTGCCCTTGGGCGCGTCGAGCTCCATGACGAGCTTGCCATCCTCCTTGCGCTTGCCCCACGCGGCGCTGATGATGCCGTGCGGGGTGGGCACGCGGCCGTGGTTCCACTGCGTCTTGAGGCCGCGCATGGGCGCGAACGCAAACTCGGTAAAGGCCTTGGCGGTGGGACGCACGCCGAGCGAGTACTCGGTCAGCCAGACGGTGGCGCCCGAGCCCCAGAAGTGGCTTTGGGCGGTGAAGAACTCGAGGCCCGGGTAGCTGCCGTCGTCGCTGACGTACTCCCACAGCGCGCCCGTCGAGTTGACACTCTCGGCCACCATGGGCGCCCAGGTGTCGTGCACCAGCTGCTGCGCCAGCTCCGTTTCGCCGCGCTGCGCCAGCGCGTCGAGCGTGAAGCTGACAAAGTAAGGGTCGACGACGATCTGGAAGCCGTCGTAGAAGGTGCCGTTCTTGTAGCCGGCGGGCACCTTGAGCTTGGCGAGCTGCAAAAACGCCGAGCGGCGCTGCTCGTCGGTGCCGACGTCGGCGAGCTGGCCGAAGGTGATGTCCATCAGGTGGAAGTCCTTGCTGCCGACGGCGTTGACAAACGAGCCCACCTGGTCGTTGTAGAGCAGGCGGGCCATGGCGCTGCGCGTCACGTTGGCCTGGGTGCGGTACTGGCTGGCCAGGCGCGGCTCGCCGACAAAGTCGGCCATGCGCGCGATGGCCTCGAGGCCGAGGACGACCGAGCCCGTCGTGGCCGTCAGGCCGCCCTTTTGCCCAAGGCCCTGGAAGAGCTGCGTCTCCGGGTCGACAGCCTGCGACAGCGCAAAGCCGCAGCCGGCGCGCAGGTCCTCGAAGCGCTTGCGGATAAATTCGTCGTCGCCGGTGCGCATCCAGTAGTCGTCGACCTCCTGGAGGAAGTCAAACATGTAGTCGAGCAGCAGCGGCGCCACGTTGCCCGTGCGGACCGAGATGCCCGTATCGTCGACGGGGCCAAAGAGGGTGTTGATGGGCACGGCGCCGCTGGCGGCCTGCTTGGAGAGCTGCCACTCCATGGGGCCGACGACGTAGTCAAACTCGCCCGTGGCGACGGCAATGGCGCGCGACGAAATGAGGCGGTCGCCGAGCCACGAGAAGCGATCGCGCTTGCCGGCGTCGCTGCAGACGAAGTCGGTGTTGCCCTCGACGCCGAACTCGAGCGGGACCGACTCCTTGTCGGTGAGAGGGTTGCTGTAGAGCTTCTTGCCGTCGACGTTGGACGTGATCTCGACGTCCTTGTACCAGGCCGCCGTGTCCTGCCAGCCGCCGAGGGCGAAGCCGCGCATGGTGCCGCCGGGGATGAAGGGGTTGGGCAGCGCGTAGCCGTATCCGGTCACGTTGAACTTGGCCACCTGGCGGTCTTCGACAAAGATGGTGTAGGCGCCCTCGCCGTGCGAGACCGACTTGATGCGGTGCCACTCCTTTTCGGTGATGTCGAAGTCGATGGGGAAGCGGTCGAGGACGTAGCCGGGCAGGCTGGTCTGGTTCTGGAGCGAGAAGCCGGTGCCGAGGACGAGGGTGTTGGGAGGCACGAGTTGGCGGTCGTAGTTGGCAAAGCTGCCCTCGGGGTAGTTGCTGTTGAGGACGAGGTAGGGGCCGTTTGCCTGGATGGCGTCAATCTGGCCGTCGAGCCTCCATCCGAGGCCGCCGTAGTCGATCTTGGCGTCGAACTCGAGGGTGTAGTTCTGGTAGTTGATGGCGGCCGTCGACGAGGCGGGCTTCTGGCCGCGGATGTAGGCGCCGTGGCTGTCAATGTCCCAGGTGGTGGTCTGGGTGTGCGGGGCGTAGCAGGTGAGCTGCTGGGTGCGGAAGGCGAGGGCCCAGATGTCGGACTCGGTCTTGTCGCTCGAGGCAAAGTAGCCCTTTTTGGAGAGGAGGGGCGATTTGTCGGTGGTGGGCTTGAAGCCGACCGAGTCGATGAGGAGGTTGGAGCCGTGGACGAGGCGGATCGACTGCCAGCGCTGGGAGCCCTGGATAAAGTAGCTGGTGAGGTCGCCGGGCTGGGTGACGTTGAAGGTCTCTACGCGGAACGTGTTGGCGAGGGCGTTGGCAAAGGCAAAGGGACCGTCGGAGCGCTTGTCGGAGAGGGCGGCAAGCTGCTCGGTGTACTTGACCTCAATTTGGGCATAGGGACCGTCGAAGGATGCGATTTTGAACGTGGGCTTTCCGGCGACGTCCCTTGCGTAGTCGACGGTGACGGTGTCGCCGACGTTTGCGAGGCGGAGGGGCCCGTCGAGCTTCTTGCCCTCGTGGGTGAGGCCGGCGTAGTGGGTCTTTGGGCGGACGATGCCGTCGTACTGGCCCGTTTTGGCGGGCGTGTAGGCGGGGATCTTTGGCCAGGGGGTGTCGGTGGTGGCTGCGGCGTTGTTGTTGTTGCCGTTGTTGTTGCGCTCCGAGAGGGAAGCGGCGGAAGCGCAGAGAGCGCCTCCCGCTGCGGCCATGGCGGCCAGGTAGGTGGCAGCGCGCATCTTGATGGACGAGCGGTGGCTGCGGTGGCGAGCGAGGGGGAGCGAGGGAGAAGACAAAGGAGTGTGGTGAGCCGGGAAAAGAGGGGGAGGGGAGGACGGGGAGCGTCTTTTGGGTTGCCTTTGTAGGTTCTTAGGTCACCATGGCGGGTAGGATGGGTCGAGGTGCGGGCTGTGGTAGGTGGACGGAGGAGAGGGACAGAGGGAGAGGTGTAGGCCCAGCACGGTCAGGTAGCAAGCAGACGAGCAGAGCGTTGGCGTGCAGCTGTCGAGTACGTACTGTACCGCCTGCTGTAGGTCCACGCAAAGGGCCAGTCCGAGACCGGCCAAATTGTCACCAGTTGTGGCGAAGAGAGGTGCGGGGAGCGCGTGGATGGGCCGGCCAGTGTGGGGGGGTTGGCCGCGCTCGTGCAGCGGCCCAGAGGCCGGGGGCAGACGAGCCTGCACGCACGCAGGCCAAACACGAGACACGGATCACCTCCGACGCCCAGCACAGCACCGACCCAACATCCGTCCATCGACCCACGCAGCAGAACAGGCAGGCAGCGCATCGACCGATACACACCCTGGCCGCCATCCGGCTGGGCCGACACAAGAAGCCCCACCATGCGGGCATGCCCGAACAACGACAGCCCCCCAAAGTTCCGGGACAGAGGAGCGGGCGATGTGGTGCAAACGTGGGGCCCCCTTTCTTCCTCTTGGCGTCCTTGTCCTTGGCCTTGGCCTGGCTTCCGAATGCGGGGAGGACGAGGCGGGCTGGGGTTGGTGTAGATCGATCCATCTGCTTGCTTGCTCTTGCTTGCCGCTTCGGTTCGGATCGGTTCGGCCAACTTCGGCATCAGTGGGGATATCGAGGGGGAGCCGAAAGGGTGCAGCGCCGGCTGCATCCCCTTCGTCCTCCGACCCACGACCAGGGGAAAAAAATCGAAGCAGGTTCGAGAAATTGCTTTTTGGAATCGGGGATTTCTGTCAGGGCGCCCGACCTCGATCGACCAGTCCTCTTCGATACGTTTTTGCCAACGTCGATGCACCAAAAGAAACGGCTCATACGCTTCGGCCCTTGGCGCGGGCAACAAGCCACACCCCTTCGACCCCGAGGGCAGTCATCCCCGCGCGGTGCCACTTCGACATCAGGACCAACCAAGCACGCTTCGTCACTCAGTCAGGCACGCACGCCAGACAGTCGGGCAGAGTCATCATCATCAAAGGGCAATGCGAAATCCACAACTCAAAACGCTAGAGACGGAGAGAGGGGAGGAGAGAGAGAGAGAGGAAAAAGACGACGGAAAATGCTACATAAAAAGGGAAGCCCAAGAGCCGGGGGGACGACATCAATATCAACGAAGACCATTATCAAAGAGACCTGAAGGACCGAGGGACGAGAACGGGGGACGAAAACGACGAGGAGGGAGCAGGAACAGTGGAAAGCTCGTTGTGGGCGGGTCAGAGTCAGACGCCGACGACGAGGCGCAGAGGGGAACATGATACACGACGAGGGGCCGAAGGGGGGTACGGGGAACGAGGACGGATATAGACGACGAGAGTGGACGCGACGGGGGGTCAGAGAGTCGTTTGGTATCATCGTAATGGCGAGCATCGTAGCGAGTTGGGCAGAGGCCGCACCATGGCGGCACGCTCCATCTTTACTCTGTCCTGCGACCGCGCAGGTTGCCGCTGGCGTGGCTGGCCTTCATCAGCTTGGGGCCGGAAACGTGGCTGGGCGAAAGCCGAGCCTTGGTCGACTGCGACGACGACTGCTGCGACGACTGCTGCTGCTGCTGCTGCTGCTGCTGCTGCTGCTGCTGCTGCTGCTGCTGCTGCTGCTGCTGCGCCGCGATGGCGGCATAATGCGCGCGCTGCTTCTTGAGCGAAAACTCCTCGCTGTCCTCGAGGATGCCCCGCACCTTTTCGCCGGCGAATCGGATCGCCGCAGACGACACGTTGAGCGGCAGGAAGAGGTAGAAGGCCATGCCCTGCTCCCACCACGGGTGCGAGACCGACGACATGCCGTTGCGCTCGTAGTAGCGCGAGATCATGTGGCTGTCGAGCGACGGCGAGCCCTGCGCACCCGACGGCGGACCGCGAGGACCGGCACCGGCACCGGCAGCCGCGCTCGAAGCCGGCGGACTCCTCGCTTCAGCAGCCGCCGACGGCATTGTACCCCTTGGCGGCGAGCCTCCACGCTGAGACCCCAGGTACTGCGGCTGCGGCTGCTGCGGCTGAAGGATCTGGTGTGCGTGGTGCGCCTGCGACTGCTGGGCGTACGGAGCGTGGCGAGCCGGCGATGGCTGACCGCCGTAGAGCATGGGCTGCTCGTGCGTGGGCGAGCCGGAGCTGGAACCAGAGCCGATGCCCAGCGAAGAGGCCGAGGGCAGGCTGCGCGGAGCGTCGTGCAGGTAGTGCCTAGACCCGCTGCCGCCGCCCGTGCGGATTGTCAGCCCGGCGCCGAGCAGGAACTTGAACGCATCGGCGAGCGAGATGCGCATGCTGGCGGCGCGCTCTCGCTCCCGCCGCTCCTCCTCGATCAGCTCGGCGTTGATGGCCACCTCGCGCAGCAGGTCCTCGAGGCGGTTCTCAACCTCGTGAAACTTTTCCTCGGCCCCGAGGCGGAGGTGCTCCTCCTTTCTCTCCGACCGGCGCACCGCGCGGCCGAGCTGGGCGTCGACGTCGCGCAGCACGCGGATGTCGTTCTTGGTGGCAATCATCCGGCGGATGCTGCCGAGGTCCGCCTCGAGCCGTCGCAGCCGCTTGTTGAGCCCCTCAACCTTGGAGCTCGGGTAGTGGACCTCCTCCTGCAGGTGGAGGATGCGGTTGCGGATCAGCTTGATGGCGTGCGTCCACGGCTTGATGCCGGCCGCCAACGTAAAGAGACGGATGTTGAAGACGTTGAGGTAGCGGCCGCCGTCAACCATCGAGCCTCGGATCCAGTTGAGGAGATAGGCGCCAATCAGCGGGCTGAGGACGCAGAAGAGCAGGCTCATCAGCTCCGAGCGGCGCAGCTCGGCGGCGGCGGCCTGGCGCAGCTGCTCGCGCTCGGAACCCTTGAAGCTGCGGCTCGACGAGTCGCCGCTGCCCGTGCGGCCCATAGCCGCGGCCGATGCGTCCTGGCGCGAGCCATCGCCGACGTCGAGGCTGACGTCGACGTCCTTGCCGTCGTCGTCTTCGCCCTCGAGATCGTCGGCCTCGTCGTCGGCGTAGTCGTGGCTGAGGATACGGCGGGTGCGCGAGCTGTAGTAGAGCTCCCAAGGCACCCGGAGGAACTGGTAGAGCCAGAAGCTCGAGAGGAAGAGGAGGATCGCATCGCTCCAGGCGTCGGCCCGGCCGCCGATGACGGCTCCAATCGGCGGGGCCAGCGCGATGACGAGCGGCAGGTAGTGCCAGCCGCCAAAGCTCTCGGGCGAGGTGCCGTCTCCCTCGAGCTCCTCCTCGTCCTCCCTGGTAAGGTGCGGCGGTGCCGTGCGCGCGGACCCAGCGTCGCTGTCGACGAACGAAGCGGCCGAGGCCGACGAGTTGCGACGGCGGGTCCTCGCACTCGGGATGTCGTCGCGCGAGCCGGACCGCGACGCCGTGTTGAGCGGGGGAGGCCGGCCCTGCGTCGCCGACGGCGACCGCAGCGGCTCCGATGGAAAGTAGGAATGCACGCCCGCCGAGGACCGGCTGCTGCCGCCCTTGAGCCCGGTGCGCGATGGCGGCTGGCCGCCTCCGAAGCGGCCGTCGAGCCGGCCCTGGGCCTCGAGCTTCTGCAGGTCGCCCATGTTGGTCGTCTCGCTGGCAACGCCAAAGATGTCGAACGAGTCAATCCTCGTCGTCTCCTCGTCACCCTGGTTGGAGAGGATGGCGATCGCGATCGAGCTGACGTCCTGAAACTTGACGAAGCGGAGCGGCAGCGCCTTGATGGGCGGCCCGTCCGGACCCTCCTCGACGTCCGCCTGCGTCAGATCGAGCGTCTGCGTTGGATCCTCGTTGGCGGCGTCCTCAAAGTCGAGGTTGGGGCGGTTCGCAAACAGCTTGACCTGTCGAGGAGCCGACGGCAGGTTCGAAGTGCTCGTGCGCAGCAGTATCGCCGAGAGCTTGACCTTTTGCTTGAACTAGCGGGGCGGCATCGTAGCGGGCAGGTAGGGAGGAGGCAGGCAGGCAGGAGTAGCAGGGTAGGTGAGACGCTGAACAAGGGAGCGAGGGCATCTTGCGGCGACAAACACTCACGCTGAGCTGGATGATGATCTGCTCGTCCGCGTCGCTGGCAAGGTATCTCCCCTGGCCCGATCCACCGAGAAGCTGCTGCAGCCCGTGGCCGGCCTCCTCGTTGAGCGCCGCCGATCTCGGACCGTCGACGAGGGGCAGCAACGACTCCTGCAGAGCGCAGACGCGAGTGGAACGGCGGTCGCAGGTGGAGAAGGGGCGTAGAATGGAGGACGGGGACCACAACAGTGCGAGGGGATGGAGGTGGGGGAGCGGAGGAAAGCGGAGGCGATTAGCATCCTTGCCATTGCCGCAATGGAACCTTCACCTCTTCTCCATCTCAAAGAGACCGAGAACGGCAGTCACTGCCTTCGTCATCGCCGGCGCAGCTCGGATCCAGGCTCCGAGCGGGCGGCCAGGGGGGTTCGTCGCACCAGTCCGAGCGGGCTCGCATCGCAGCTCTTCTTGACATTGCCATCCGGCCGTTGCCTCCGCCCCTCGCGCCCGACCAGATCTGGAAGCGCGGAACGGCGGAGCGACGGCGGGTGGGCTTAGCTGGCGAGGCGGTAACCTCGCCGGCAGGAGCGCCCGACTCCCCTATCCGAACATGAGGTACAGCAGGTAGGCGCCGAGCACGGCGAGCGGGAGCAAGTTCTCGAGACGTACGTGTCCGTCGGTGATTCCCGCGATGGGGTTGGCGGGACGGGCAGAGCCCGAGCCCGAGGAGCCGCTCAGCGTCTGGCCGGAGCCGGAGAACGAGGACGAGGAGCCGGCAGAGTGTTGCCTGACGAGCGCCTGGAGGCGCGAAGGGTCGGCGCCCTGGAGCGTGTCGACGACCTTTCGGTTCTTGAGGAAGAGGAAGGTGGGCATGGCGCGCACCGAGTAGCGCTGGGCTACGGTCTGGTTCTGGTCCACGTCGACCTTTAGAAAGACAGCCGAAGGGGTCTGCGGCGGTGAACCGGAGGGGATGGACGAAGGTGGCGCGGGAAGGACAAGCACCGTAGCGGCCGTCAGCAGTCTGCGCGAGCGACTGTAGCAGCAGCTGCGGCAGCGGTAGATAAGGGCAGCTCCCGGCATGACTGCTCACCTTGCTTGCCAGGGACTCGTAGACGGGCCGGATGGCCTTGCATGGACCGCACCCTGCGTCGCAGAGAGGAAGAGGAGGACGAAGGGCGGAGCAGCAGGAGGAGGGAACAGGTCAGCGGCGGCATCGGATGTCGATGTATGCAGTAGGCTGCCTCGCCACCACACGAGATTTGATCGGGCCACGGGGCATCGCTGCTATCTAGACGAGACGTACAGGTGGCATGGAAGTCGACGACTACGAGCTTTGCACCGGCATTGTTGAGCTCATTGTCAAAGTCGGTGGCGGAGACGACCTCCTTGACCATTGTGGGCGCTAGTGCGTTGCGACGAGGGTGGCGGTGGCAAGAGAGGCGAAAGCGGGGTGATCAATTCAGCGCTGCTGATGAAGGTGGTGGTGGTGGTGGTCGTTGTTGCTGCTGCAGGTCGGGCTGCGGCGACGGCGGCTTGGTACGTGTGTCGTCGCGGATGGTGAAGGGCGAGAGGCAGAAAGCGACGAGAGGGAAGGGGAGCGGGGAGGGCAGCGCGCGCGAAGATGGTGGCTCGAGCCTGAGTCGTAGAGTCTTGTCCAAAGGGCCACCGCTTGCCAACTTCGCACGCCTGGCCACGCACGCCACGCATGCTGCCAGGGCCCACGCAGCCCGAGGTGGGTGACAAGAGCCGGCAAGCCAGGCTGGGCCCTCTGGCCTGCCGACGCGCTGGCCTGCCTGTGTGCTTCCAAGTCGGGCAGGCCAGGGTGCATGCGAAGGCTGGCAGGGGCAACAGCTCCAGCCCGGCCGGCCTGGCCTGGCCTGCCTAGCCTGGCTTCCCGCGCCTGCGTCCATCCAGTCAGCGGCCCAGCCGAGGCAGTCGAGCAGGCAAGCAAGGGGCAGGCCGCGGTGAGAGCCAGCACCGTCAGCGCGCACGGTCCCCGCCTGGCCTGGCCTGGCCACGTCTGCCCGAGCCAGAGCCAGGAACCGGCGTGAAACACACACGAGGCCGGCACGCGAGCCAGCAGCAGCAGCAGCCTCGAGCCCGATCTGCCTCGACAACGCCCGATGGACCCCTTTGCCCGCCGCCGCCAAGATGCCGCCACCACTTCGACCGCGAGAAGCACGATGCACCCCTCGACAGCAGCAGCGGCGGGCTCTCCGAACGCGGCCCGTCCCCGGTCGCCGCTCGTTGGTGGATGACCGAGGATATACCAGCATGGCTGAGCTGTGGTATGTAGAAGGTCAGTGGTCAGCAGCACCTGTCGTGGTCTCCGGCGACGGCAGAGCCAAGGCGGCAGTGGCCGTAGCTGTCAACCACCTTCCCTCCCCGGCCCGGCGCCTTCTCGTCGTCGCTGTCGCCCACATCGCAGTTGGTCCTCCAGGATGCAGCGTCAATGTAAACGTGCTTCGTGTTCAAACGAGCGTCCGTAGCGTGAACATGGTATGGTATGGCATTAGAGCGGTGCAGAGAGAACGACAGCGGGACTCCTCGTTTTGCTTTCCAGACTTCTAGGCCGATCCAGAGCGGAAGGAAACGGGGCAGCTTAGATGGTGGCGCAGGTAAACGCCGAACGGACCGAGCCGCTGTTGTACGAGTCGATCTATCGTCGCATCGCAAGGCGCGCCGCGACACGTCGTCGACAAAAGTAGGGCAATGTCAGATCGACCGCTCAAACCACGATACGACCAGCCCGAGTCGAAGCGAGAGACGAAGTGCGGTACTCACAATGTCCTTGACAGAGGCATACGTGCCGCAGCCGAGGATCACGACGCCAATGATAAACACGGCCGCGTTGACCAGGCTCAGCACGACGTTTTTGCGCGTCGCGTTCCACCGCCCCTCCTTGAGCAGCATGAACCACATCACTGCGGGCAAGTAGAAGCTGAAACCTGAAATGAACAGGGACGACATCGTCGCGAGCAAATCGCTGAAAAAGGGAATGGCCTCGGCAACGATCCAGGCCACCACGGTGATGAGGGCGACCAGGAGGGCCCAGGTGGTCCATCCCTTGGCGTTGTTGATGTAGCGCGCGAGGTCGTTGGCAAAGACACGCGAGTGGATGAAGCGCGCTGCAACCGTGGTGTTGATGCTGCCCGAGATGAAGATGACGGGTAGCGCGAGGCCAAATACGACCTGCGAGTGTGAATGGAGGCCAGGAACGAGAGGCAAGGAGGTCAGAGGTCGGGGCGCTCAAAGGACTGCTCAAGGACAGCAAAGTGCTCGCGATGGTCCCACCTACCCTGGAAACGGTGGCGCCGGCGGAGAGGAGGGCGGGCGACTGGACGTCGAGGCCCACAAAGGCGTAGATGAGCGAGCCCGAGAGCGAGTAGATGATGATCTCGAAAATGCCGAGGGCCCAGATCGACTTGGTGTAATCTTCGGGCTTTGCCATCTCGTCCATGAAGCTGAACTGGCAGAAGGCGAACGAGTAGGCGAACACGACGTTCGAGACCTGGACGAAGGCCTCGCTGAAGGTGACGCCAGGCTTGGGCCATGCGGACCAGTTGACGGCCGAGAGGCCGCCGGGGGCGTCCGAGGCCTGGACGCCGGTAGCGACGATGGTGACAAAGACGGCGACGACGATTGAGGCAAAGTCGATGTAGCCGAGGATGGCCATCTCGGAGAAGGTGGGCGGGAGGGCGCAGAGGAAGAGGATGATGGCGGATACGACGCCAAAGACGAGGGAGCAGACGCCTGGGTTGTTTGCGAGCGACTCAAAGGCGATGGTGCCCGTGAGGGCGTGGGAGCCCGTCGAGAGGGTGAGCTGGGCGACAAACATGAAGCTAAAGATCCAGAAGCCGACCTTGCCAAACATGAGGGTGCCGGCGTCGGTGTAGTGCTGGATGTGCGGGAACTTGAGCTTGACCTGGCCGACGATCCAGCTCGTGTAGATGGCGACGATGCCGATGCCGACGGTGATGATCATGCCGGCGACCATGCCGAGGGTGGCAAAGACCTTGGGCATCGAGAGGGTGCCGAGGGCGACGGCCTCGACAATGAGGCAGATGGTGAGCTTCTGCCAACCGAGCTTGTGGTACTTTTGCTCTCCCGCCGCCACCTGCGCCTCCTGCTCTGCGGTCAGGGTGTAGGGTGCGGCCTTGGCGGGCTGCTTGTCGCCGTCGCCGTCGGCGGCCTGCTTGGAGAGCGAGGTGCGCGAGGGCGAGGGTGCCTCGGAAGAGGCGCGTGGCGCGAGCGACTCGGACATGGTCGTCGTTTGGTCCACGCTGGCGGGCAGGAGGCGGAAGGGGCGGCAAAAAGGGGTTGGACGAGGCGCGGTTGGAAGACTCAAGAGGAGATGGAGGAAGGGAGGAAGAAGGGGTCGCGGGATGGACGAGCAGCAAGGCGACGAAGGATGAGGGGCCCAACGGCGCAGGGCGGGGGAGAGGGGCAGCAGGCAGGGGTGGTGGACAAAAGAGAGAGGGCGAGAAGGGGGTGCGCACAGGCAGGGCAGGGCAGGCCAGGCATGCGCTCGCAACGTGGAGAAGGAGGGACGAGGGAGGGCAGCCAAAGAGGCGGACGACATCTCCCAGGCCTCGAGAGCGAGAGCCAAGTTTGAGCCGGTGACAAGACCAAGCCGGGCGAGTCGACCACGGACGGCGGCAACCAAAGTCGATTGCGAGGCCATCTCGAACGACAAAGCCGAAGGAGCGAGTCAGACGTCGGGCGCAGCGAGCCGGTCGAGGAACAGGCAGGCAGGCCAGGCAGGGGCCGACGGCAGATGAGAATTTTGGCACTCAGCGCAGCGGTAGCGGTAGCGCCAGCGGTTCCGGCTAGCGTTGCCTGACACCTGTTGCTCGCTCGGTCGAACCTCAGCCTTGGTTTCGAAGCCTCTCTTGGCCAGTCCCACGCGAGCGGAACGGGTCGGACGTCGCTCTACTGCGCCGAGTACGGTGCCGGTGGCATCTTTTTGCTCCCCGGCGCCCCCGTCTTCGTCCAGCTCGAACAGCTTACACTCGGACGGCAGGCTACGATCTCAACGCCCCCATGGTCGCTACCGTACTGTATGTACTCCTGGACGACGACATCCACCATCGGATTTGACGGGCTGCCATTCGAAGGCCCAATGCGCCAGCCAGGTCGGCGTGTGAGAGGACGAGATCGAAGAACGACGGAAGCGCCGCGGTCTATCCCTGCCTTGTTCCGGAGCCTCTTAGATTCTTGCATGGTCGGGGAATTTGGCCCGCTTAATGCCCGACGGTCGACGCTGCGCTGCGCTCTGCCTGCATTTCCGGCAGGCTAGACCTAGGGCGCACGCGAACGCAGGCAGGGCCAAAACGAGACGGCGGCCCGCCGCCCGCCGGCCTTTTCTTCTGCCTGCTTCGGCTCAACCGCCGCTTGGCTCGCTGCCCGCCTGCCTGCCTGCCTGGCGGTTTCTCGGAGGCCTCGCCGAAATTCGCCTGCCTGCTTCACCGCACGCCTGCCGGGCGGACAGCTCAAATTTGGCCGCCGCCGCGCCGCCACCGCCTGCAGAAAGGGTTCGTTCGGCAGGCGGTCCGTCACCACCGACAAACCACCACCACCATCCACCATTATTCCACCTCCACCAGCGCCGCCGCCGCCGCCGTTGTCGTCCCGCCTCCCGTCTCTCCGTCGCCGGCACTTGACCGACAGCCTCCGTCCAATGACCATCTCCAATCCTCGACCCTTCTGCACTCGTAGGCACCCCTAGCTGTGCCTCTTGATCCACCCCTTCCCCGCCTCCATGCGCCGCCTTATCTCTACCGTCCAGTGCCCAATCAACGTGCTCGCCATAACACAGCGCGGGTCTCCGCCTCCCCTGCCAAGCCCTTACTCCAGCCTGGTCAAGGCACCGACGGCAGGCTGGCCGAACGAATCACGATCGCCTGCCATGTGCGTGTCCCTCCTCTCTATCGCACCTATCGGCATGCTCGCTTCGTCGCCGCGCACATCATGGACCGCGTCCCGCGTCCCGCGTGGCGTCGGGCCTCCCTCGTCCCTCTTGCCGTTGACCCTGGCCTGGCCTGCCTGCTTGCTTATGTCCGGCACGCCGTCATGCCCGTTCGGATCACCATCCACATGGCTATCGGTGCTCGCCTCACACGCCCAGCGCCGCACTCAGACGCTTTGCTTCTTCCTTTTCGAGCCTGCCAGACATTGACCGCCAGACCACGGCAAAAGCAGCCGGTCATCAGCTAGAGCCGAAACCGGCACGCGGACGTCGTACCCACCGTACCAGCCCTGCGCCTACTCACGGACGTACGCGCTCATCTCCCAGCTCGCACCTGAGCAGCTCCCTGCGCCACGGACAGCGATAGAACCACGGAGACGGTCACGACCGTGTCAGGCCATCTGCCGCGCAGCCGCAGCTCGTCGCACCAAGAGATTGCCACACTCACAGCAGTTGTGCCAGGTGCGCCGCATTGGCGGGATCGGTGCTCGGCGCTCGGGCGTCCAGATCGAGGCAGACGACCACCTTGTCGGCCCCGACGCTCTGCACCGGTGGCAAAAAGCCCGCCTGGCCAAAGCCGCAATGCGATGCCGCCGCAGAAGAGTCTTCTCTGGAACGTCGAGGGATACGCTGGTCCGGTGGACAGACGTTGATGCACGTCGACGAGGCGCTCGCGCGCTTCAGGGTGATGGCCACCAATGTCGTCCTCCCGAGATCGACCTGGCAGAGGGCGGGTATGCGAGCAAGCGAGCGAGCGTCAAAGTGAGTTTGGTGAGAGCAACAACGCAGCGATTAGTCTAGTCTCGCTGCGAGAGGCCCACCTCCAGCAGCTTGATGTCGGTCTGGTCGATCTCCACCTCACTCCTCCAGGTGGCTGTGTTGCAGTCCTGCCCGACGTCGATGACCATCGCCTCGATCTTGATCAGCCTTTCGATCTCTGTCGCGTTGGGCCACAGCAGAACGCAGCGCTCCACCCCGTCCACCTCGTCGTCCTCGGGTGCCCTGCCGGGGCTCGACGGTTCCGAGACGACTGCGCGCAGCTCCCTTGCCAGGCGAAGCCAGACGACGCGCTGAGCGCTCCAGTCGATCGACTTGGACTCTTGCGGGTCGTCCCAGGCCAATCGGATCCTCTCGGCCGGCCGCGCCGGGCGAGCTGCCGTGGCCGCCGAAGCAAGGTAGACGGTGCCATCGACGGAGAAGAGCGCGGCGGGTAGGCGGACGATGTCGTGGAAGAAGGGCATCTCGGTCGCCTGGGCCTTCGTCGCACAATTCAGGAGCGTCGACAGCGTCTCGTCGAGGTGTCGCGCCGCCAGGAACGTAATCGGACCGCTTGATCGCTGGATCCGGTCGACGAGCTCCAGCCAGATCTTGGCGATGAGCCCATCGGCCACGCTTCGGAGCCGTTGTAGCGTTGCCGGCTCGCAAAGGTCGAGAGGCTGGTGCTCAGCCTGAGCTTCGCGGGCGAGGACCGCGTGCTCGACGATCTGTGCCGCCTTTTTGGCCACGTCGAGATGGAGCACGATGCGCTGTTGTGGGTGGGCCTCGATGCGCGCCTTTTGGCAACTTGCGCCACAGAAAAAGGCCGACGCAGTCGAGAGGGCCTCGATGCGTTGCGCGGTGGCGCTTCCCTCCTTGATGCTGAGGACAACATAACCTGGACGCTTGGCCGACGAGGTCCACACGTGCACCACATCGGCGAGCACGATCTCGAAGAGGCCGAGTCGCTCGTCGTGTCGTCCCGGGCGGATCTCTTCCGGCTGATCCTGGTCGGCGACGAAGGGCCAAATGGCGCGCGTGTCGGCGAGCACCGTGTCGCTGTGGCGGCAGCGTAAATCTGGCGGGAGCAGGTCGTTGCGGGTAATTCGGGCGCCCGTGTCTACGTCGACAAAGAGGCTGCCCGACGCCGTCAGACAGGCCTGGAGCGGCCGTATGGCCGGCCTCGTTTCAAACAGACGCGTGCCGACTGCCAGTGTGGTGATGCCGCAGCTGACATCAGTGGGCAGCAGCGCAGTCATCGACGTCCGAAGGAGCTCCTCGACGGGCGGAGGAGGGGGCGGCATGTCATGACCGCCCAAACGGGCTTGATTGAGCTCGCTTTCGGGCGAGCACGTGGGTTCGCCCTGGGAGGAGCCGCTTGGGTCGGCTGTCACGGCTTCCTGGGACGACGCGGAGAGCGACGCCTCGAATGCTTCGCTCTGGTCGCGCTGGATCCACGCCTCCCGATTGCCCTCGATGCTCTGCCACCTCGATCGGATCGATGAGACTCTTTCGCTCGCACCTTCGACGTCAAAGGGCGCATGCTGGGGACGGTGCGAAGGCGGAAAGCAATAGGGCCCGGCGCGTCGGTCTAGGCGCCTCGGAGGCGGGTATCGAGCCATGTTGACACCACCTTGTTGGGCTTGTCGTTGTCGTAGGGGCGATGTCGAAGAGAAACGGGGTCGTGATGGCAGGAGGGCGATGCGGTGGCGGCGGTCCGGGGATGATGGCAAGAAGGAGTTTCAGGACGGACCTCTGACCGGCTGAGCGGAACGGCGGGGCGCGCCCGACCGCCTCTGAGCCAGCCTGGAGTGCCGGCTTGGATCTGCTCGCGCCGCCCCATCGGATCAGCCGGCCATACGGATGGAAGACGAACGGCCTGCCTCTGCTTGGGCGGAACCAGGAGAGAAGGCTGGGGGGCTGCGCAGACGCGCGACCGTCCGGCCTTCTGCGCCGCTGGGGCATCTGAGGCCCTCTGGGGCGCGCAGGCGCCAGCGCAGCGGAAGCGCCGCGCCGCATCGGCTAAGCAGAGGTGGGTCTGGTCTTGACGACGAGCGGTTGCGGTTGGGGTGGTGATGATTGGTGAGAAGAGGCTAGCCAAGCCAGGCCAAGGCAGGCAGGGCGACCGAGTCTCGCGCAGTCACCCCAAATGAAGCCGTGCGGCCAGGCCCAGCGGGGCTGTCTGCGCCCGCGCCGGCCTGCCCTTCGCAGCGCGGAGCAGCATGCAAGCAGGTGGGTGAAAGAGACCGCCGGGTCTGTCTGGCCCATCTGCTCGTCTGCCTGTCTGCCCGCCTCAACACCTGAGCGCTATCAAGCAGCAGCAAGTGATTCGCAGAGGCTCGCAGTGGTCAATGCACCACCAGCTTGACTCGACTGCTCTGAGTGAGAGCGTGTGGCAAGACGCGGCCGACATCGTTGCAGGATGGTGCCTCACCTGACGATGTCCCACTGCTTGCTTGATGCTCCCGTTCCAGTCCTTTATAGCTGTTTGATGGCCCCGACCCACTGAAGCAAACTTGCTGATGGATCAAGCAAGCTGAGAGTGCCCATCGAGCAAGCGGCTTGCTTTCAGGGTGCAGGCCGTCTGGAGGATTGACCTGCTTCAAGGCGCGTCCTCCTCGGAACAAGGTTCAAAGCGCTGCTGCAAGTCGGAGCGAAAGGGACGGGCTTTCAAGCCGCTCTTGTTGTTGCTGTTGTTGCTATTGTTGCTGTTGTTGTTGCTGCTACCTAGTCTGCTGCTGCTCTTCTCTTCAGGAGGTTGTCGGGACAGGCAAGAAGAGGGTCGACTTCGACATCAACAAGCAAGGTGCCGGAGAGGCCGCGGAAGGCTTGATCTTGTCCTCGACCCCTTGAGGACAGTCGACTGGCCTCCGGATCGCCGGTCTTCATCGAATGCCTGCACATCAAGGCGTCTACCGCCCTCATGGCGCCAGCACGGTCCTCGCCTCGGGTAACCTTGGTGAGTCCGGCCAAGGTCGCCGCTTCAGCGCTCCGAGTCGAGACCTGCCTGAGCTCATCCCGACCTCGACACAAGGGCGACGGCGATGGTTCGGATCGTGACATTCTATTGTCCAGCCACCACCTGGCGACCCACGTCCCCCTTCACCACGTGAACAACGACAACGACGACGAATGGAGGGAGGGAAAAAGCAGGCATCTATGGTACGACGACGATATGGACAAGGAAAACAGAGCAAGCCCATGCAGGGTGGGGGAGGGGAGGAGAGGAGACGGAGCGACTAGATGGGTTCGTCGCGGGGCTCAATGAGGATCTCGTTCATCGAGACGTGCGGCGGCAGGCGGAGGGCATAGACGATCGAGTCGGCCACATCCTCGGGCGCGAGGATCTGTGCACCGCTGGCCCCGCCGTACTTTTCCACGGCCTCGGCATCGCTGCTCATGTTGAGCAGGTCCGTCGCCGTATTGCCCGGCTGCACCGAGGTCACCTTGAGGCCCGTGCCCGCCGTCTCGAGCCGGAGCGACTGCAGCGTCGCCTCGACGAAAAACTTGCTCGCGCTGTACACGCCCAGACCGGGGAACACCTTGCGCCCGGCGTCCGACGAGATGGCAACGACGTGGCCCGATCCCCGCGCCAGCATCGCCGGCACGCTGCTCGAGAGCACGTTGAGCAGCCCCTTGCAGTTGACGTCGACCGTCTGGTCCCACTCGACCGTCTTGACGTTCTTCATCAATGTGTAGTACATGACGCCCGCGCACGACACGATGACGTCGACCGGTCCCAGCGCCGCCGCCGTCGTGCGCATCAGCGACTCGACCTGGTCCCGATCGGTCACGTCCGTCTTGTGCAGGTGGACCTTGGCGCCCGTTGCG